GAGCTGATTTCTGCTAGGAACTGGAGCCGCTTGACGAAACTAGCAGACGATATCTGTGGAAATGTCGTTTTGACAAGCGGAAATATGATCGTCCACGCGGGATTTTAATAACATGTGTGTGGCAAATCTGAGGTTTATTATTCTGAAGCCAGCTGATGTGTGTGTGTGTGTGTCGTGTCAGTCGTCATTATAGCTGAACCGCTAGCTGGCAGCTTTATTGTGCGATGTAAACGCATTAGCCGCTAGCTCGCGCGCGGAGGGTTGTGATGACGGAGATGAGCGCGCGCTGTGTTCCTGATGGTGTAAAAGCTCTTCTGAATCTGTGTCTGCTTCCGTCAGGACAGGACTCTCATGTAGTCGATGTCGATGTCATTGTGTGTGTTTTAAGTGTGTATTCATGCGGTCCGCCTCTGAAAGCAGCATCTGTGACGGAGGCTTTCACTGCTATTCTACACTAATTGATTTCAATCTTCCCAGCATGCATCTGTCCAGCGGCTCTTCTTCTGCGGGAATAAAAGCGTCTGGCCTTTAGTGTGTGCATGTGTGTGTGTGTGCATGTGTGTGTGTGTGTGTGTGTGTTATTAACTCCCCGCTAACTTCATGTGGCCTTTGATTTCTAGATACACACACACACACACACACATACACACACACACACACGCACACACACAGGAACTGTTGCAGACATAGATTATGGCACATAAAACATTATTTGAAAACATGGAAATCCTGAAGTGTGTGTGTGTGTGTGTGTGTGTGTGTGTGTGTGTGTGTGTGTGTGTGTGTGTGTGTGTCATTTAGAGGCAAATGACTCCCAGAATTGACCTAAATAAAAAGCTCCATATGATATAGAAAAGTAAGCAGTGGTTTGTCTGTATTATTATAATTAGCTGTATATATAAACGAATGAGATCTTCAGTTCTGCCAGCGCTTGTTGAGATGTACTGTAGGCTGTAGTGTGTGTTTGACTTGTGCTTTATATGTTGCACACGCTTCATTAATTCGTTGTTTATATTAAAAAGAAACGGAAGTTCTGAACGAGATTTCGATAACGAGTTTGTCGTCTTTATAAGCGCTTTATTACAGTTTTTCTGAATTGCTAAAACACATTTCTTGAACCCATCACACACTTTCTCAAACTCTATGATTATATGAAGCTGATTGCGTGAATATTATAATATAATCCCGGTCACTGGATATCGGTGGGTTTACATCACGTGTGTAACTGACGATGACGTCAGTCACTGGATTTACAAAAACATTGAAAACTAAAAATTGTTTTTGGCTTTAATTCACAGTGGAATTTTTTCAGTAAATGTCAGTTTACTTTTTACGCATTATATATATATATATATATATATATATATATATGAAGAGTTCAGATGCAAAAGCCTCTAAGTGCCATTTGAAATTTTCTTCTAAAATGATAATTTTTATCAAGCTTGTATATTGTTCAGTAATTTCACTTAAATGACAATAATTGTTAACTGTTAAAAGTTAATAATAGTTAACTAATAGAAGTGAATTGATAAATAAAATGTATTTATGATTATGACATTATTTTTGAAAGCATTCTCATTTACAGTATTTTTACACTAGTGCTTATTCCCAGTACTGCAGCTTTGAGGCGGGCCGGCACTACCTTCCAGACGCTGCTGCAGTTCTTCATGGTCTTATTAGTCTCTGTTTTTTCTTAGTTTCAGTAGTCATGGCAAAGCAATAACTAAATCAGCATATTATTGCAAGAATTAGATGCTTCGTTTCCAGTCAAGACTTAGAGAAACGTGTGCATGCGTTCATCTCCAGCAGTGGATTACTGTAATGGCCTCCTCACTGGCCCTCCTAAACACACCATCAGCTCATACAGGACCAGAACACATGAACACATCACACCAGTCCTCAGGTCTCTACACTGGCTCCCAGTTACATGTAGGATTGATTTTAAAGTATTATTACTGGTATATAAATCATTTAATGGGTTAGGACCTCAATATATTGCAGATCTGCTCACTGAATATAAACCCAACAGATCGCTCAGATCATTAGGATCACATCAGCTAAACACGAGGGTTCACTCTGAGCATGGAGAGTCTGCTTTAGCTATTATGCTGAGGAGATCAGATCAGGTGTGCTCCTACAGTAGAAACATTCACATCCAGACTCAAAACACTTCTGTTTAGCTGTGCTTTTACTGAATGAGCACTGTGACACTGTACGTCCCACTGTTTTTACTGTACTTCATTTTATTTTTGATTCTAAACTGTTTTAATTATTCTGATTTCTCCATGTAAAGCACTTGGAATTGCCACTGTGTATGAAATGTGCTATAAAAATAAACTTGCCTTGCCTAGTGTGCCTAAGACTTCTGCACAGCACTGTGTATATATATATAATCATTAAGAGTAGATCATCAGATTGAACTGGCCCTGTGTTTGTACCTGTGTGCAATATATATATATATATATATATATTAGGGCTGTGCAAAAGTTAATTGCGATTAATCGCATCCAAAATAAAAGTCTGTGTTTACATAATATATTTGTGTGTGCTGTATATAATTATTTTGTATATATAAATACCTATGCATGCATGTATATATTTAAGAATTATTTGCGCTTAAATTCTGTATATATTTATAAATAGATAATCTATATTATATAATTATAAATATTTTATATATGAATAACACATTTTCTTAAATATATACATGCATGTGTGTGTATTTATATATACAAAATAATTCTATACAGCACACACAAATATATTATGTAAACACAAGACTTTTATTTTGGATGCGATTAATCGCAATTAATTTTTGCACAGCCCTAATATATATATATATATATATATATATATACATGTTTAAAACTTCCCTGAGGCCAGTGTTTGTGTTGAGCAACAGCGCACCCTTCTGGACAGTTTATTATTGAGAGTGTGTGTGTGTGTGTGCGTTTGAGAGTGTGAGAGAGAAAGAGACAGAGAGAGAGAAACTGTTTTTTTTTTTGTTTGTTTGTTTGTTTTCTGATATATGCATGTATTTCATGCATTTGTTTACTGATTTATTTACTGATTATTTGCTCATTGCCTATGTAACGGCCAAGCTTTGGCAATACTGTATTAGTCATGCCAATAAAGCTCATTTGAATTTGAGAGAGAGAGAGAGAGAGAGAGAGAGAGAGAGAGAGAGAGAGAGAGAGAGAGAGAGAGAGAGAGAGAGAGAGAGAGAGTGTGTGTTTGTTTTCTCCCTCACCTAATAAACTACAACATCAACAAGAACATTGCTGACCTACCGCACAGTTTGACCCATCTGGGCCACACACACACACACTCTCTATCACACACACACACACACACACACACACACACACACACACACACACACTTCGACAGCTCAGAGCTGATGGTGAGATGACACAGTTCCACAACACAAGTTCAACAGGTCATTTCTACTTATTTATACCAAATCTTTCATTATTGTTGATGATCTCACCAGGAAAAACTCCAGACAACTAAATCGTTACGGTAATAAAAATATATAATTTTGCATGATGACATCAGAGCAGACGAGCCTTTGCATATTTGACCCGAAGTGCATGTGAAGATCACACACACACACACACACACACACACCCACACACACACGTGGTGTATATTTTGGAGGTCATTTGGTGAAGAGTGTTTATGAAGTGAATGTGTGTGTGCGACACAATCATCCAGACTCTCTCTAATGCATGACCTCCATTAGTCGTACGCCCGACTCTCAGAGTGACTCTTCAGGCCCGATGAGGTCACCGATCGCACCAGTAATGCTAGCATGTTCAAAGCAAAAACAAACAAAAAAAAACAACAAAAAAAAAATCAGTTTTGGTTTCATGGGGACTTTTCCATGGAAACAATAAAGAACCTTGTTATAACAGCACCACACACACACACAATAGTGGACCTCTCTTTACAAGAGTAAGCCTGAAGGAGTGTTTTTTAATAATTTTTATTTTTAAAATAATAATAATTTAGTATGAATTTATAAATGAAACAATGGAAGCTTGTTTCAGCCACAAAACATTTAAAAAAATAATTGCGACTTATTTTCTTAGTATATACCTCGCAATTCGGGCATCTTTCCTCAGAATTGTGAGTTATAACAATTCTAATGGTGAAAAAAGACTGACCTTTTCCCAAACAACTCACAATTCTGACTTTATAACACTTTTTTGTCTCCCAATTGAGTGTTTATAAAGTCAGAATTGCGCGATATAAACATGCAATTCAGAGATAAAAAGTCAAAATTGTGAGATTAATAGTCACAATTACATGTTTTATTCTCTGGCGGCGAAAACAAGCTTCATGAAACCGCTCACTTGAGGATCAGCATCTCTTTCACTGACGATTTTTAGCAACTTTAGATAATTCAAATACATTTTAAATGCTGCTTTAAAATGAGCAAACTTGGGTTTAGAGTTACTCCATTTAGTATGATGAATATAAAACTTTCCTAATCACAAAAACTACATGTTTTCTTTTGGAAAACTCATATTCATATTATATGAGTGAAGTAGTTGCAGATGATTTTAACACTACACACTGAGACATCTCAAAAGATTGATCGACAGGGACGTAAATAAACTGAAGTGCACACTAGACTCTCTTTCACAATGACAAACACAGCAAACAATCGATATCCAGATTAAAACGCTCTAATGTGTCTTTCACATCATATATTCTGTGAGCATTTTTAAAGGACACCTCTTTGGTTTTATGTGTTACACAATAAGAACTCCGACTACCCGACCAAAACTAGATGGAGGAGAAGAGGTGTGAGCCAAAAGAGATCCAATCGGCTGTTTACTGCATTTATCATCATGGTTAAAGTAGAGTTGTTCTTCAGACAACACTGGCGACTTAATGAAGGAGAAAATACAAACTGATGTTTTCCTTCCCTCGGGTCCACTGTCGCTCCCGGTGAGCGAGTGAAGCGCGCGGCCTCTGGCGCCCCCTTGCGGTGAGGCGCGAAACCGCTCCAGTCTTTGTGCCGCCGCCATCTTGACCAGAATCCGGATAATCATCATCTCAACACACTGATTTACAGCAAACACACACGACTACAGGTGAGGACATGCATCTCACACACAACGCAAACTGACCCTGACCCTAAACCCGACTCGTGTTACTTAAAATCACGTGTCGGATCAGCGTTACCGTCAATACGGACCGGCGAACCTGCCGTTAGCTAACGCTGGTTAGCCGTTAGCAGCTCCAAATCATCATAACAACAATAACAAAGCGTAAAATATCTCAAACACAGAACAAACTAACCCTAAACCCAGCTTGTGTAACTCCACATCGCGTGTCAGATCTCGTTACTGTTACACAAGCTCCACATCATCACAACAATCAACACAAAACACATCTCAAACATGACAACAATCTGCTGTTATTCTGCCTGTGTGTTCATGTGAGTGCAGTGTGTTGTGTTTTTGAGCTTCTGCGACAACTACACATCTTATTTATTTTTATTATGTTAGCAGTTTCACGCTGTAACGGTTAATATCGCGTCTATAAATCATGTGACATGTACCGAGGTGAATGAGCTTTTCGCTAATAATAAGTCATCTAATAAGTTATATCACGCTGAATCAAATGTTCATACATGTTCTAATTTGTTACACTGTTTTATTTAAATTGAAGTTATGTTACACAATTTCTTTTATTATTTTGATGTTTTATTATTAATCTGTGTATTCCTAGCTTTGGCAGGATTGTTGATGATGATGAAGGTGTATCATGATTGACAGTCAGACTGTCCTTATGAATGTGGGTCAGTGTTGACGTCTGCTCAGTGTGGGTCTTATGCTTTCTTTCTTTAAAACATTTATTAAGAAATGCTATTAAACCAATGCCATGTAGGCTTACAGAGTTCCTCAATTAAGCAAATATTTACATTTGCTTCTGAACTCAGTGCCTTACCACCAGACAAACACAGTCAAACCAAACATTATTCAGACACCAGATATAATTTTTTATACTAGTGTGTGCAGGACACTACAGTTCATTAATGTAAATGAAGAGAGCAAAATAAAGTAAAGTGTGACATATTACACCCAAATATTCCTCATCCAGTGACATTAATAATCATTCAGGAGCAGAAGTGACTCCTCCACTTTGAGCTGATGATGTTCTGCTGAAGTGTGTTTTCTGTAAGTGCTAATGCTCTTTTACACACACACTGAACAACATGAAGCATTGCTTGCTCACTGGTTGAGCTAAACTGCTATTATCTAATTGTGGAGTTCAATTTACCAGATATTCAACATAATTCATGTGTGAGAGTCCAACAGAAGGACAAAACCAGTCAAATATCAGCATATTTTATCACCATTCTCTAATATATAGCGAATAAACTGATAATGTGAGAAATGTTGAGGCTGTCTCAGTGAATTTTGGTTTGCCTGTGTAATATGATTAGTAAGTGCACTTCTGGGATATTTCAGTGGTGATATTTCGTGTGTTTCAGAGCGGCGATGGCCACTGCACCCTACAACTACTCCTACATCTTCAAGTACATCATCATCGGTGAGTAACAGCAGACATGCGCTGCGTCGCGGCTACGAGTGTGACGGTCATTGTACTGTACTCTACTGTAAATGAAAAATTAAAAAGTAATGAATTACAATATTGTGTTACTCCCTTTAAAAGTAACTTTCAGTCTCTCTCTCTCTCTCCGCAGGTGACATGGGCGTTGGGAAGTCCTGTTTGCTGCACCAGTTCACAGAAAAGAAATGTGAGTATGAGACGTGAGGCGTTGATGATCGTCAGGCCTTTCCTTCAGCATGTTAAACACACACACACACACGCACACACGAGCGATAGAGACTCAAACAGCCTCTGTGTGTTTCACAGTGTTTGTGAGATGATCACTCTGGGTTTGTTTGAGGGGTCCTGAAGGAAACGCTGAGTTATGTTGTAATACCAAATTTAGTATTTTAAATTTTGAACTTTTATCAAATGTCTTGGAGTATCGCAATAATTAGAACTAGAATATAATTTATTGTCCGCTAGGGGAAATTTGTCATGGACTCAAAGTGCGTGGTGCAAAGTAGTAGCTGCCATTACAAACTATAATACACATAGTAAAACAAATACCAGCTAAAGACGTACATGTAGACTACACAGACACTCATGACACATCTAATGAAAATCTAAAAAAAAATAAAATAACATACAATACTAAAACAACAAGCAGAACACCAAGTTATTGCACACTTCTCATTCCTCCTCGTACAAATCTAAACATTTTGACGGAGTTGGGTATAAAAGAGTATTTGTAACGGTTCGATTTGGTTTTGGGAATTCTGAACCTTCTGCCCAATAATATCATATCGTGATGTGTATCGAATCATGACATGAGGGTATCGTTACACTCTTATTTATTTATGAATTCAGATGTTCTGTTGCATAACTCTGCGTGTGTGTGTGTGTGTGTGTGTGGTCCTCAGTCATGGCCGACTGCCCGCACACCATCGGCGTAGAGTTCGGCACCCGAATCATCGAGGTGAGCGGGCAGAAGATCAAGCTTCAGATCTGGGACACGGCGGGCCAGGAGCGCTTCAGAGCCGTCACGCGCAGCTACTACAGAGGAGCCGCGGGAGCGCTAATGGTCTACGACATCACCAGGTGTGTGTGCTAGCGGTCCGACGCCCGATCCTCACAGTCAATGCCTTTTTTTGTATTTTATGATTGCTTGCAACGGTAATTAAAAAATACATGTACACTGTAACTCAAACATTAAACACAACACAGCTAGCACACGGCACGCTAACTATATATGTGTGTAGCCTAAACAGTTCTTCTTAGTTACAAACCAGAACCCTACCCGAAACCAGACCACCGCTGTCACTCAACTGGTGTGGCTCACTCACTTTATTCCATGTGTCTGTACAGGAGAAGCACATACAATCACCTCAGCAGCTGGCTGACTGACGCCAGGAACCTCACCAACCCCAATACTGTGAGTTCAAGCCTCCATCCGACTGCATGTGCACCAATAACTAACGAAAAACCACTGAAATTACACTAGCAACACCGTAGCAGAACATTAGCATTTCTGCCTGTAAGACATTGAGGTGGTTTGGCTGTGAGAGATGTTTGCTCCCGTGTGCTTGTGCAGGTGATTATACTCATAGGAAACAAAGCAGATCTGGAAGCCCAGCGAGACGTGACGTACGAGGAGGCCAAGCAGTTCGCTGAAGAGAACGGTGAGTAAAGCCTGTCCTCGTGTGATGTGGAGCGGCGTTGAGTCCTGATCCTCATCGGTGTGTGTTTCATTCTCAGGTCTGCTGTTCCTGGAGGCCAGCGCCAAAACGTGAGTTATTCCAGCATGACGAGTGCTGTGTTCATTCTCATAGCATTACTGGCATATTGAACCATCTGTTCAGACATCAGCAGAATACATCTCTCACTATATACTTACTTATATACTCAGTACTCTCTATATACTCACTGTATACTCAGTACTCACTATATACTCAGTACTAACTATGTACTCACTGTATACTCAGTATGCACTGTATACTCACTATATACTCACTAATACACTTAGTGTGCGCTATATACTCAGTACTCACCATATACTCTATATACTCAGTACTAACTAAATACTCACTCTATACTCAGTACTCACTATATACTCACTAATACACTTACTGTGCTCTATATACTCATTACTCAGTACGCTCTATATACTCACTTTATACTCAGTACTCACTATATACTCACTAATACACTTAGTGTGCACTATATACTCAGTACTCACCATATACTCTCTATATACTCAGTACTCACCAATCACCATATACTCTCTATATACTCAGTACTCACTATATACTTATTATTCAGTATATACATGGTACTCACTATAGTCTTGGTACACACTATATACTCTACTCTCTATATACTCAGTACTCAGTATATACTCTCTATATACTCAGTACTCACCATATACTCTCTACATACTCAGTACTCACCATATACTCAGTACTCACTATATACTTGGTACTCACTATATACTCATTATTCAGTATATACATGGTACTCACTATAGTTTTGGTACACACTATATACTCTACTCACTATATACTCAGTGCTAACTATATTCTCTTTACTCACTATACACTCGTTACTAACTTTACAGTATAAACATGGCACACTTACAATCCGAGTGTTGACCTCCTGTAAGCTTCTAGGTGACAGTCGTGTGTTTGTTGTCGCAGAGGTGAGAATGTGGAGGATGCTTTCCTGGAGGCGGCGAAGAAGATCTACCAGAACATTCAGGACGGCAGTCTGGACCTGAACGCAGCAGAATCAGGTGTTCAACACAAACCATCAGCGCCGCAGGGAGGCCGGATCACCAGCGAACCCCAGCCGCAGCGGGAGGGGTGTGGCTGTTAATGACATCATCATCATCACCACGCGCACACGAGCCGCAGCGGGAGGGGTGTGGCTGTTAATGACATCATCATCATCACCACGCACACACGAGCCGCAGCTGGAGGGGTGTGGCTGTTAATGACATCATCATCATCACCATACACGAGCCGCAGCGGGAGGGGTGTGGCTGCTAATGACATCATCATCTTCATCACACGGCCCGGTCTCGGCCCAGATACGGCTACATGTGCTCATTTGCTCCTACCTTCCTCTTAACCTGTCCATCTTTCTATTTCCCCATCATCCTCCGACTAATCACGTGACGCATCGGCTTAGGGGAGAAGAATCTGCTGATCACCATTCAGGCTCTTTTTTATTGATATTCGTTTTCTATCTCGTCACATTCGTCGGCACCGCTCTGAGAAGCGAGACCTGTCGCTGAAGGCAAGCATGATTGTGTGGAGAGTTCGGGTCGGCCACCGCCGGGACGCTCCACACGCATCTGTAAACGGGATCCCACGTGTGTCAAGGGTTGGACAGCTTTATGAATCGAAGACACTTTATGGAAAGATGATTCTTTCTTCTCTACTGCTCCTTGATCGTTCGTTCGTTTGTCCTTACCACTGTTATTTTATGTTGCCTTATTGTTATTCATGTTAATATTATTACCATCAGTTTAATCTTTACTAGCTCAACACAGTTTGGAGTTGAGTTTGGTTTTACAACACTGCAACTGTTTTTGTATAGATCTATGAAATGTGATGGAAACGCTCCAGTTGTGTAGCCTGTGTATATTAACACCACGAGACTTCTCGTGAAGCAGCATCTGTGTCTTAATTCAGTGTACGTACCATATGAAGTCTGATTCAGCTGCTGTATATAAGGCCATGTCTGCTGGTCATGTGACCGACTCTTCACGCAGAAAGACGACGCTCACGAACTCTCCAAACACGAACGTCTCTGTCTGAATGACCCGAGTCGAAACAGTACATATGTATAAACTCTGAATGAGCTGTGCTAACGTTTGAAAATCTGTTTTTGTGTATGTATATGATTTTAAAATGTTGACATTTTGATTTTAATGACAACATTAAATATGCTCTAGCCAGAAAACGGCTCAGCTTCATTCTGAACAAACCAGGATTTATCAAATGTAGCTATTTTTAAATATCTTCAGTCAAGTCTTAATTGTGATTTTAGGTGCAAACAGCAATTGCTAAATGCGATTATTAATATTCAAAAGGCTACAATTTAATGGAATAAAAACACTTGCACTTTCAGAAAACAAATCTAGAAAACTATGTAAAATCCGATTTTAAATACATCTATATATCTATCATTTTAATGTGCATTTTGTGGAAGAACATTGTTGTGGTTGAGCTTCGGTTCTGTGCGGATGAAGATGGACTGGGTCCCGAATCCAGGGATGATCCTGAAACTCATTAAACATTCACTCACAGATGTAATCAGTGCAGATGAAATCTGAAGAGTTAGTTTTACCCATTAATAAACACGCCACTTCCTCGAGAATAAACTCCTCGATAATATAACGAGACGCGTACGAGCAACATCCCGACAGGTCCAAAATATAAACTCTTATTATAGGCTTGCTATAGGGAATAGAGTCATTGCACTGAAACTGTCTTTTGGACCTTGAACCGTTTGGTTCCCATTGAAGTCCATTATATGGAGAAAATCCTGGAATGTTTTCATCAAAAACCTTCATTTCTTTCCGACTGAGGAAAGAAAGACATGGACATCTCGGATGACATGGGGACGAGTAAATTATCAGCAAAAGTTTTTTTTAAAGTGAACTCCTCCTTTAACAACCATGTTTAAATGCACAACATGAGAGGCATAATGACAACACGACAGCAGAGAATGAACTCTTTATGTTGTTCAAGTAGCAAAATTTCTTTGTATTTTATGCAACACAAAATTGCACCAAGGTTACAGGAAGAATCAACAGAAAAGAGAAAGCAAGTGACGTGTATTTACAAAGATGAGTCTACAACAGGGTGAGGTTGAATACACATTAAAAAGTAGTGGCATGATTTTGAAGAGACGAAAACAAAACGTTAAAAGTCAACACTGGGAGTACCGTGTTGAATCAAAGGCAGCTTGTGGTTGGCTTTCTCCTCGGGCGTCACAGTCAGATGGCAGAGAGTCGGAAAAGACAAACTAATACTGAAAACAACCGCATTATTTCAATTATGCAAGCTCTTAGTAAGACATCCTCAATGAGAACTATAACTTTAAGACGGGCGTGTGGTCATTGGATAAAGCTGATTCCGTCAGTGGTGTGTGGAAAACAGTGGTACAATAAAAACATCTATACATACACTGCTTCTTAAGCTCTGATTCGCACTTCCAAGTCGTTCTCCTTGAGACAGTAGTGTTTCATTCGCTCTTTAAGGCCACGGTGTGTTTAGGAGAGTCGTGTGTGTGTAGTGATTGTGCTGAAGGAACACTTGTTCGAAACCCTCGACAGGATCAGGAATGCTGGGAAATCCGCGCGGGTCAGCTAAACGTCACTCGTGGCACAGTGTCGCAATCATACAATCCGTAATCAGTCAGCTTCCTCATTTCACAGGGACCGTTCACATCTCACAGCAGAGCCCTTTCTTGACCAAACCACTCGCGGAAAAAGAGTCAACGCTATGATCTCGAGTGTTTCTTTTGTAAGCAAATATATTTTGATCTCTAAAAAAATATTGGAAATTGTGAGGTGTTTTTCGGTCACAATCACCGCAACGCTGAGATAATGCAAGAAAAGTCAAAGTCAAGTTGTGGAATTGCGACTCAAGTCGACCTTTCTACCTTAAGATCGCCAAACGAACTTTCGGGGACCCTGTTTTAGAGTCGTCCGTAAATGTGTCTGTTTGGCACGAGGTGGGCTCCCTTAGAGAGTTCGTCCACCCAGAGAAGAATCTAGATATCGATCGCATCCGAGCGTTTCTCCGCTACCTCTGAACGATGTCGGTGATCTCCTTGACGGAGGACAGCAGCTTGGAAAAGTCTTGAGGCGTGTTGGCGCCCCCGGTGGCCGCTGGGCAGATCTGCAACTCACGAAGACTGCTCTCCAGCTTATTGATGGCTTCTCGGAAAGCAAACTTGTTGCGCATCTGTTGGATGGACTCGACGAAGCTTACGCAAAACTTGGAGAGGTTCTTCCCGGCCTCCAACACGGCACTATGGCTCCCGGTTTGCTCCGAGATCCGTCCGATCGCGGCTCGCAATATATCGGTGCTGTCCAAGACCATCTCGCGCGTGATGCAAGAGTTGGAGAGTCTTTCCGACGGCTGGCGCGTTTTCCTCAACGAGCGGCGAGTCGTTATGAGAGGAATGAAGTTGGATCCGGGGTCTCCGACAGTCGTTCCCATTCCCGGAAGCTGAGCACTCGGAGACACCGGAGAGGTTTTAGTGGGAGGAACTTTCGAGGTGTTTTTCTGCAGTTTCTTGGCACTTTCTTGGGAAAGACTTCCCTTGCATAGGTCTGTGGATCCGGGATTAGAGGGATTCACTTCAGAACCCTTGATTTTGGTATCTGAAGACACATCAAATGTAGGGCTCCTCGAAGTCTTCCCAGACTTGGTGCTGGAGACGGGAGGCGGAGGCGGAGGAGCAGGTTTGGGTTTTGCGAACTTTCCCTTCTCCCGCTCTCTTTGTCCAGGGATTTCCGAGGTTTGCTTGAGCCTGCGAGGTCTGATTTCATCCAGAGTTGGAAACACGTTGGGTTTGAAGAGCTCTGCTTGCAAGGCACTTGTTTTAGAGGTTTCTGTTTGCGGGCGTCGCCCGAGTTTCGGCGTCAGAGTCAAAGGACTTGATCCGGGACTAGACTCCGAGTCCTTGAAGACTTCATCCGACGCATCCTCGGTTTTCTTGGGAAGGCGCGGAGGCGGGGTTAGGGTTCCACCTCTCGGCATGCAATCTGCTTTTTTGCGTGGCAAAGCCGGCTTGCCTCCGATGGTTCCCGACTCGAAGTGAGAAGATTGGATGTCACGAGGCAAAGTGACCGATTTCCAATCGGATCGCTGCGATCCTGGAGGCATGCTAGATGCGGACGAAGACCTCAGGAAGCGCTTTGAGTTTGACATTGGGTCTTCTTCTCCTGGCGGAGTTGTGGCCAGTTTCCCTGACGTCGTTCCCGTGCCCTTTTTCCTTGAATGAGGAGGGAAGAGCTGACCGGGATACACTAGGGCTCCATTGGTGACTCCGGACCCAATCAATTTGGAAGGATCGATGCCTTGCGAGGCATCATTGGTGGGAACCCCGTTGTTAAAATCATTGCACTCGGGACCCAGTCCTCTCCGATCCAGGTGCCCATCCATCTTCCCGAACGAGCTGGAGCGTTTCGGCGGCGCCGGAGCCGTTCTCTTCTTTTTCTTGATGTAACTGAAGGGATTCATCCGGAACTTATCTTTATCTTTAGTCAAGAGCCGATCATCTTCGTTCAAGTTGCTGTCGAGGGTAGGCCTCGGAATCATCGGGAGCTCAGGCTCTGCTGCGTCTGCAAAGGGTTCAACTCTTATTAGTATCTCTCACTAATCACAGGGAATTAAAGGGATAGTTAACCCCAAAACTTACATTAGGCCATGATTTACTCGTCCTTAAGTCATCCTAGGTGTATATTACATTCTTCTTTCAGATGAAGTTTTATTAAATAAAAAAATGTCCTGGCTCTTCCAAGCTTTATAATGGCAGTGAATTGCTGTTTCTGTTTTGAAGTCGTTAAAAGTGCATTTTATGATGGATAGATGCACTTTTATGATGATAGATGCACTTTTATCATGGACAGATGCACTTTTATGATGGACGGGTGCCCTTTTATGATGGACGGGTGCCCTTTTATCATGGACGGATGCACTTTTATGATGGATAGATGCACTTTTATGATGGACAGATGCACTTTTATGATGGATAGATGCACTTTTATGATGGACAGATGCACTTTTATGATGAACAGATGCACTTTTATGATGGATAGATGCACTTTTATCATGGACAGATGCACTTTTATCATGGACGGATGCACTTTTATGATGGATAGATGCACTTTTATGATGGATAGATGCACTTTTATGATGGACAGATGCACTTTTATGATGGACAGATGCACTTTTATGATGGATAGATGCACTTTTATGATGGATAGATGCACTTTTATCATGGACGGATGCACTTTTATGATGGATGGATGCACTTTTATGATGGACAGATGCACTTTTATGATGGACGGATGCACTTTTATCAGGGACGGATGCACTTTTATCATGGATAGATGCACTTTTATCATGGATAGATGCACTTTTAAGTCGATAGATGCACTTTTATCATGGATAGATGTACTTTTATGATGGACAGATGCACTTTTATCATGGATAGATGCAGTTTTATCATGGACAGATGCACTTTTATGATGGACAGATGCACTTTTATCATGGATAGATGCACTTTTATGATGGACAGATGCACTTTATCATGGATCGATGCACTTTTATCATTGGATAGACACTTTTATGATGGACAGATGCACTTTTATGATGGATGGATACACAATATGAACTTGGACATGGACTGAAACAGCAATTCACTGCCATTAAAAAGCTTGGAAGAGCTAGTACATTTTTTAATATAACTCTGATTGTATTCATCCGAAAGAATAAAGTCATATACACCTACGATGACTTGAGGGGAGAGTAAACCATAGGCTAATTTTCATTTTTGGGTGAACTTTCCCTTTAACTAGACAGAGCACAGCTTACCCGGGCTGTCACCATCCCTACTGTCCATATGTCTTCGTAGTGTCCTCGTCTTAGTGGGAAGTTCTGGGGCCTGTTGTATTGGACCCAGCGTCAGCTTCTTACCCTTCTTCCCCAACTCTTTCTCCACCTCTGCAACCCATAAACGTTTAAAACATGAGCCACAAGAAAGGTACATGCAAATCTCTCTATTCCTCCAGAGATAAAGTCATACCATCAGAGATACTGGACTCTTGAAACATAGTCTCAAACGCCTGGTGGGTTTCAGCAAAAGAAGGCCGCTCTGCAGGGTTCCACCTCCAACCTGAAGACAGAAACACTAAAGTCAGTTCAAAGGTCAACCTAAGACCTGTAGTTGTATTCATTTGGACCCGAAACTTTTTTTTTTTTTTTTTTAATTGAGTGTTCATCAGAGGGTCCAAGACCTGAGGACTTCCGTCACACTTGAAACACGAATTCACAAAAAATAAAACTGAATTGAGTCGGAGGAGTTTTGTGGTTAAAATGTAAAAAAGTAAAAAATCCTTCCCTCGCCGGTCAAGTTGACCCCTTTAGGAATGAGTGGAATGCGAGGAATGCTTCAGTACACATAGAAAAACCTAAAAATGCTCAAAAATGTGAATGCACACTGAAGAAAAACTGACTTTAGGACCCAGCGGAACAGCTCATTTGATAGAGCTATGAGGCCATCTAGTGGCAAGAATCATGAAATATCATGTATATTATTTATTTTCCACAAGAGGTCGGCAGACTTATAATGCAAGATATTTAGAGTTGAATTAAAAGGGTTATGAAAGAAATTATTCTTTTGAATTTCAAGTTAAAATAAAATTATTCTTTTGAATTTAAGTTAAAATAATGTGAGGAATGTGTTTGAAATTACTATTTATCAAAATTTAGTCATTTAAAAAAAAAATTACCCAAAAAAATTGCATTCAAAATAATTAAATTAAATAAGTACCAAATTAAGTATAATTTTAGGGCTTTGGGTCATGACCCTTGAGGGAAAGATGTGTTCCCACAGAGTGCGAGGGAAGGTCACAGTTCACTCGTAATCATATTGGAGTCGCTTTTCTTAAATGATCTGAAGAGCTGCTTACAGGCCCTCATGAGCTCATAGACTTTCTCCGGGCATCCCTCGGGCCGGTCCATGCGGTAATCCTTCTCTAGTAGCTCGTAAACTTGGGACAAGTCAATTCCAGGATACGGAGACAACCCATAGGTGGCGATCTCCCAAAGCAGGACTCCAAATGCTGAGGAGTTCAAGCAAGAACGTCAGTGGGACACGAGCATCAACAGCATCAGCATGTCATCGATCATTGCTTACCCCACACATCGGACTTGATGGAGAATTTGTTATAGGCCAGGCTCTCCGGTGCGGTCCATTTAATGGGAAACTTGGCTCCGGCGTGGGCTGTGTACGTGTCTCCCGTCATCAGGCGACTCAGCCCGAAATCTGCCACTTTAACCAAGTGGTTTTCCCCAACTAAGCAGTTACGGGCAGCTAGATCCCTGAAACAAGAGCCAGACTGTCACTGCATAACAGTTACTCATTCTATGTTGTCCTGTATCTGATTGGTTTGTGCAGAAAATGTTCTCTCAAATAAATTGCACACAGGATTGTGAAGACTAGGGCTGAGGATCGGAAATCTATTCTAATTCTGGACTCCAATACTTGAGCTCAGGGATCGGATACTAGTTATAAAATTAAAATTTCTGGAACTGGAGTGTGTGAGCGTTTATGATAGCAGATCCGCTGATAGACGGATTGGTTTGTTTGTGGTCAGTTGGTTTGGGCTTGAACTGCAGGTCTGGCTCACCTGTGTATGAAGTTCTTCTTCTCCAGGTACTCCATGGCGGAGGAGATCTGCGTGGCCATGTGGAGCAGCACCACGGCGTCCACCTCCTGGCGGTTGCACTCGCGCAGGTAATCCAGCAGGTTCCCGTGCGTCATGAACTCGGTGATGATATAAAAGGGAGGTTCCCGTGTGCAGACGCCTGACGTGAGAGAGGAGCACAGAACAGGAGCACCTTCAGGATCATCAAGTCAGCTTTATTTATACAGCACGAGTGTTTCAGAGCAGATTTACAGAGATAACAGCCGATAATGCAACTCATGTTTTTATTAATCTTGATTGTGTGTGTGAACTGCAGCGCTATTAGAGACTCGTGGAGTTTGGTTAAATCATAAATTCAATTTCAGTTTGTTTTCCCCCAACTCCACCAGAACACTCGTAGCATCCGATCCTTCTGTGATATGTCTTTTTTAACCCTCTGATGGTCTTCCTTTATGAGTCACGTCCTGGGCCTTCCCGGTCAGAAGTGACCGGAGGCCTAAAAAAATGAAACTTCTTCCATCCCAGTAAAAGCAATGCAATTTATTTTTGTTCTATAATATTTATTCATTTTAATTTAGTATTTTGAGACAATTTGATTGAATTTATTAATATTTACGCAATATTTATGGTCTATTTTTTCAATGGAAATATATATTTTTTTTTTTATTTTTTTTTATTTATTTATTTTTTAAATTAATGCAGTATTTTTGTTTAATATAGAGTCTAGGCCTTCAGAAAAAAAATATTTTTTGAAGAAAATTAGCACCATGTGGTTACAGTATAGAGAAAAAGTGTAGAATCATCGTGTAACCACTAGATGGCATGTACAGCTCTCTATGGAGAGGCATGTGAATTCCCCAGCTGTTTATGAACACATTTTTTTTTTCTTTTTTTTGCTGGATTTGAATATACAGTTGAATTAATCTCAAAAACTATTTTTAATTAAAAAAATTGTAGAAAAATAAATAAAAATTGCGAATTTTAGTTTTGTAAATTTCCCATACATTTCCTATGGGGGTCATTTTTGACCGAAGACCACGAGTGTGACCATTTTTTTACGACCAATTAGCATGCTCGGATCATGACCTCAATTTTTTTTTGTATTCGCATACCCAATGCCAAAAAAAGTCACCAAGTATCATAACCTTCCAATGAAGCTGTGATTTTTAATAATTCAAAACAGAAAATTATTAGGGTTAAAAAGCATGATATTCACTGCCATTTTAAATTCTGCATATTTGGCACAAAAATTAAAGGGCGTACGGCATTAGAACAACACCAGGGTGAGTACATTATGACTTAAAGGGATAGCTCACCATAAAAAGGAAATTAAGTATGAACACTTGCATCTAATTACAAATGTTTAGTTTCTTTCCACCTCTGAGTTTCCACCGCTGTCAGCTCTAAAAGTGTTTTAATTAAGAGAGATTAAGGCTTCGAGAATACTGTGTCATAAGGCCTGCAATCTTCTGTTCTTATTCTGTGTTGATTCAAAGTATATAGTCCAACAGAGCGACTCACTCAAATCCAGGATCGAACCACCCTGGTGAACTGGCCTTTAGAAGAAAATCTGCATTTCCAAGGCATTCAACTCGGTTTACTTTGGGAGTATTCTCTATTATTTAAAGATTAGTTGGCAAGCACTATTAGTCTGCACAGATACGTGAGTCGGACAGTGTGGAGCCGCTAAACACACTCACCCAACAGCTGCACCAGGTTGGGGTGTTTGATTTCTTTCATCACTGCAGCTTCTTTTAGAAACTCTTCCACTTCCATAGTGTCTTCCTGCACAAGAGGGAGAAAAAACAATCACACTCAACTTGATTCTACCGAACCCTGGTGTGTTTGCATCTTACGTCATCGCACACGTGCCCGACACATGACAGAACACAGAACGCGGGTCAATATATTGTGTTTTTTATTAATTTGGTGCTATTATGCACAGCTGAGTGAGACAGTGGATTTCCATTAATTATTTGCCCTGCAGGCTCACTCTAATTGAGTCGCGATTGATCGTTTCACAGCGCTAAAAGCATTCAACGAAAAAAGTGCAAAAAGCAAATAATTTTACTGACATTTTGAAACGCACTGATTTGTCACCCGGTGGAAGCTCGTCCTTTTAGTTTTAGTCTTAGTCTTTTGGACGAAAATGCTTTTAACTTTTAGTCACATTTTAGTCACTTGTAAACTTAATAGTTTTAGTCAAGTTTTAGTCGACTGAAAACACAAAAGGTTTAGTCAATTTTAGTAAAAAAAAAAAAAGAAAAAAAGTAGTCTTTAACAAATTAATTTAGTTTAAAAAGTAGTGGAAATGGGCTTAGGATTGACAGATTTAGCAATGTTGCAGTTCATAAAACAAGCTAACCTTACAACCTTTGCATAATAAACTAGAATTTCTCATTGATGGAGATGCAGTGCTGCCATTGCCAAGCTGTACTTCATTGTCACATTGGGCAGAATCCCATATTTATCCCCATATTTCAAGTTATAGTTTTACCCCTGAATATTAAAAGCTATTTTCACCAGTTATCACAGTAATAAAACAATAAAGGAATGGTTTAAAGTTTAAACAGCAAAAACGTTGAGCTACTAGAACATTGTACACAGATAAAGTGGTAACAGTGAAATCACTGTTTTACTCCAAAAAAAAAGCCAAGAATAAAAACATTCTTACTTTGGCAATTGTGGCTTTATTTGAGAACTTGCTAAAGTGCAATGAACAACGTAGTATGCAACAATAAGATGCATATTACACAAACATTATGTATACAACCCAGTCTATCTTTAACTTGTGCAAACTGCAAAGTTGCAAACATTCTGAAACAAAATATTAAAATAAATATCTAATACTGAGGTGCATTGATCAAAGAATGCATACTTGAATATAAAGTATGAAACAAACATGACACTTGGATTGTGTTGAACATAAGACAATCCCTGAATAAACACTGTATTTGGTCTTGTTTAGTTCGGTATTTTACACTTAAAGCCGTGTTTTAAGATCGTTTCTGATGAAATAGAACGGCTAAGATTGAAATTTGGACAAATGCTGTTGTCCCGAGAATTTTAGGTTTGTGTGTTAGCAGCACCCACACAATCATTCATAAAACACATTAAACATTCGTTTACAAAGACGTCAAACTCACCGAGTGGTCGGGGATGTTCACACAAACATCGCTGCAAGATATGCTTTCCAACAGGTTTTATCCTAGTCTTTGTCCGACTCTACTGACTTGACTTGGTACAAAAACTACCATTAAACCCTGTGTTGTTGTTGTGTGGAATCTAAACGGCAGCATTGCTGATACTTATTTTTAGCTCCATACAGACCAATTTCACGCAAATCAACGAAAACTCGAAAACGTCTCGTCATGTTTTAGTCACCTCAGAGCTATTTTTAGCTAGTCATCGTCGCGTTATCGTCATAAAAAAACGTTGCGTTAACGAAATCATTTCGTTATCGTCATCACTGGTCAACATGGACTAAAAATTAAAAAAAAGAATGACTAAAACTACAGCGGGACAAAGCCGAGCCGAGGACATCGGTGTGTGTCACTGACCTTTAGTGTTTTGACGGCCACAGTGAGGCTGTACTTCTTCCACACGCCCTCGTACACCTCCCCATACTGCCCTCCGCCCAGCTTGTGCTTCATCGTGATGTCCGTGCGCTCCATCTCCCACTTGTCATAGTTGGGCGACACGCCGTAGATGGTGGGCTTGTTGCGCTTGGGAGCCGGGTAATGCAGCGTCGTGATGAGGCCGTCCGACACCGTGGAGTGATGATGGACCAGCTCTGCCAGCGTGTTGAAGCGGCTCTCGGACGACACGTACAGCTGGAGACACACACACACACACACGAGAGATGCTCAAACCTGATCTGAACACACCAGTTACACGAGCACACTGGGGGAATACTTGAGGCCAGGGGTCGGATACTTGTTATAAAATTATCGATTCCTCTGTGAGCGTTTCAATATGAGTGTAGAGACTGTGTGTTCGTGTGTGTCGGACTCTTAAAGTGACAGCACTAATATTCCTGCCGTCTCTATAATCACACAGCAGAAGACTGAACACACACTCGCTCTACACTGGATATCTTTAATATTTATAATCTGTATTTAATACGGTGTTGATACGGCAGTGGTAGACACGGCCCTCGTAACGCAGCGATATAGACCTTACACTAGGGCTGGGTATTGAGACAAATTTCACAATTCGATTCGATTACGATTCGATTCAATATCTATTATTTTGGATATCAGTTACAATAAATGGCCATTTTTCTTAAGGGAATCAAATCTCTTAAATGCTGTAAACTATGGTCTATATATATAGTCTAGTTGTAGCCTATAGGCTTCATTAGCCTAATATGAAGGTAATAATGAACTGTTTTGTAGCTATACAAACACTTAAATTACATTTTTATTTATTTTATAATAAGAAGATTATGTGAAATATAAACATTTAAATGGTGGCTGTCATAAAAACTTGCCAGATTTATTCAAATATGCATTAAATATTGAAGAACATTAAGATTATAATGCATATGTAATATGGTGTATATATTTAGCAAAATGCTCCTCTCTAGAGTTATTTTTTCTATCTGACTAACGAGTTTATGTGGGTTTTCTGAGGTAAATATGACGATACATTGATTACAAGCTGTTTAACTGACGTCTTTCCACGGTTGAAACCAGGCGCGGAGTTTGCGGGGGGGCAGGGGGAGCGTTGCCCCCCCGGTGGCTGAAACGGGTAATCGCATTTTCTTAAAAAAGCTGTAAAAAAAACTACCAACCCCAATCTCTTTAAACAGTTATCGCTCACTCGGTCGATTGTGTCATCTAACTCTGAGAGAAGCTTTTCTGCGATAAATGGGCGTCAAATTGAAATGTGCTGGGGACAGAGACGTACTCGAAAGGGCATTTTCACAAGTGCTGGGTACGCATTCATTCTTTTTCTCTCTTTCGAGTAGGTCATGTTTTGAAAGACGATGTTCTGTAGCTCCTGATGTACATAAATAAAAATGAGCACAATGTCCGAGTATAGTGAGTATAAAGTATATACGCCCTTTATTGCATAAATAAAAACGAGCACAATGTCAGACTATAGCACTTTTTTCATGTGTATAGTGAGTATATAAAGTATATACTCCCTTTTTCGTGTATACAGTGATGGTCCAGATCCAGGACTCGGGAGGTTCGAGGTTCTAATCCGCACTCGTAAAGTTTTTTTTCCCCTCATCAAAACCAATAGGTAGCCTAATCCCGTGTCTTAAATTTTTTTCAATGATTCATGAAGTATAAATGCGAAATTTAACTAGTTTTTTAATCATTATCATTGCCAGAATGTGTTTTGAAAAAAGGAAAGAAAACTTTAAGGTTGAAGATAATATTTTAACAGTGCAAAAGTGGTCCACATTTCATGATCCTATAACGAAGATGCGACGCGAAGTGGCTGTTAATGCGAAGTTCTAGCTGTTTACAATGACATAAAGGCAATAAAATATCAGTGTATTGTTTTACTGTTTTTTCTTGGGATAAAAATAAATATGTGTTTATTTAGCATGTTTTTTTTTTTGTTTGTTTTTTGCCCCCCCTGGCTCGAATGTCAAACTCCGCCTATGGTTGAAACGCTGATTGAGTGAATCAATGTGACATGATCCGGATTTGGATAAGTTGTACTCTATCTTTAACACACTTTCAGATGCTCATTCATGTTTATTTGGCGCTGTGACTGGTATTATTAACCCGGAAGAGAGATCAGCGCTGCTGCTTCTCCAGAGCGATCTCACGCCACAGCGACAAAACGCTATTTATGTTTTTGAATTTGAAAATGACATAATTTGAAAATTGAGACTTTGTTTCATATCAATAGTAACAAAGGACAAAGATTATTGTGATTTTTTGGATGCGCGTCCCATTCATTCAAATGAAACAGGATGACTAATCGATTCTTGTGATTTAAGAATCGATATCGGTTCGTAAAAATGAGAATCGATTAATATCGAGAAATCGATATTTATTACCCAGCCTTACCTTACACACACACACTCTCTCACCTTGCCGTCGGAGGCGGTGTTGATACGGTAGTGGTAGACGCGACCCTCGTAGCGCAGCGATATGGAGCGCTGGCCGGGGCTGCTCTCGCTCTCGCGCACCAGGAAGCTGCCGTTGATGCCGCTGCTGAGCAGGTACTCGGCGGCGTTGCGCGACACGGGCCCATGGTACCAGCTGTGCTTCTCCAGGCTGTTGACCGGCGTGATGTAGTTACTCGGCACCCAGCCCTGCCCGTTCTTCGTCTGCGCCTCGCACCACTCGCCATTGTGATTGTATCCCAGAACCCTCAGCTTCTCTCCTGGTTATAGACACGTTACAGTCAGTCACTCCATGCATTGGGCCGGCTCTACCACATCACATGTGGGTCTACTGCAGTGTCGTCAAAAGTACCGACTTCGGTACCGACTTCGGTACCTTCAGCGGATCGGTCCTGCTTGTGCTTTCATAAACGCTCACACACTCCAGTGCGCTGATCATTGTAGCCAATCACAGACATTTCTGATGAGCTCGTGAACACACCGGCCAATCAGAGGCGTTTATGATTCCACTCAAAACTTCACATTTTTACAATTTCAGTCTCGACTTGGTACCGAAATCGGTACTTTTGACAACACCAGCCTATTATTCAATTCACATGTATCTGTATAGCGCTTTTCAAATTACACATCATTTTAAAGCAGATTTACAGAACATTACAGTTTACAGTCATCTGTCATCAGAGAAGACTGTCTAAGTTATGCATTTTAGAAATGTACATAAATAAAAACAGTTAGATAAAAAAAATATTAATTTAAACAATGTAGTAATTTAAGGCAGAAGCAATGAGCTCATTTAAATAATGAATACTTGTTAGTTAACAAATGTTTATGACATTTATAAAAATGTAGCATTGGTGACATTAGGCTATTTTGCAGCTGTGCCGTCGAAGTAATCGTGAAGAGATGTGATTATTAAAGTTTGCTTCAAAGGTTTTCATTTACATGTTTTTTGCATGAATGCATTGACCAATTAAAGGCATTTAAATACACACACACTCAACTTTAATACTTACTGATCATATGGAAATACCTTTGTGCCAATAATACTGAACGTAACTTTTCAAAAAACTAATGCAAATATAAATGAGTAAAATATCTGTAAAACTGATTTTTTTTTTAAATTAATTTTTTTTTAAATTAATAAAACAAAGGCAAATTTTTGGACTTTGTTTTTAATGCACTACATGTTTTGCTATTCTTTCACTAATCTGAACTTACAAATGTGCTTCCAGACTTTTCATTTACGCTTCTGAAGGTTTTGTAGTGTGATTTACCGTTTTTAATCCTACACGAGGTTCATACAGATACTGTCAAATTAATTTCCAGGACTTTTAAAGCACTATTGTTTAGGTTTCCAAAGACTACAATCAGAGATCGCACTTATCAAACAATATCTTTGTTTTATTTTTTTACTCAAATTACAGATATAAGCTATCCAAAATACAACTTACCACATATTTAAGAATATATATTAAATACAACATTTTTAATGGCTATTGTTGTAATAAATAATATTTGATATTATAATGTTGGCGTACTTCACATCCAGAAGCGGTTATCAGTTAACACTGCGTTTGTTTTTTGCGAAAAATGCATGAGGAGGTTTTTCAGGCCATTCGAAAAGTGAATATTTTGCAAATCTGCAATGGAAAGACATTTACAGTCACATGACTTAGACGGCACGGTGTGATTGGGCAGAAGACGAGACAGAGTTCTTTATTAAACTCATAAAAGACGGAAGAATTACAGGAATACTGGATTCTAAAGCTCTAAAGATATGACATCATCAGGACCTGGAAGCAGAAATGAGGAGAAACACCCGGAAACTCCTCATATGAGCCGCTCTAAGTGTGACGGGCTTTCCTTGCCAGTAATGCTTGGATAACACACACACGTCTCCTTCAGTTAATAATAATGGCTAGTGCGGTGACTGGGATATACAGTAAATAAACCATATAAACCAACATCCGTTGTCATGGTTATGGCGAGAGGAAAAAATGACGTTTTAGCCGCATAACATCGGTTAACGGAAACGCCGTCATTTCGCAATAAATCGCAAAAATTTTGTGCAAATCTGTAAAGAAAACGCGCCTTGTGAGCAATACTGCCGACCAGGGTGAGAGGTCAGACGGACCCCTGTGCCGAGTGTGTGAGGTGCAGGCTTCAGGTGACGAGTGTGAGTGTGTTTCCCACCTTTGGTGATGCTGAGAGTGTTGTCGCCGCTCGCTACGAAGTCATACAGCGCCACGAACAGGTTGGGGTCGTTCTCTCCGGGTCCCGCCAGCAGATTCTCCTTGGAGTTCCAGCGAGCCGCTTCAGAAAGACCCGGAGGCTCGAAGCCGGGCCGCTGAAGAGCTTCTGCAAACACACCAGAGGTCAAAGGTCAATGCACCACACTGAATGCTGGGTAAGGGTAATTCCCATTACAATAGCACAGAACGATCTGACCAACGCAAAAGAAATATTTACAAAAAAAGAAAAGTGTGTGTATAAAGATCTTACATAATGAACTGTTATGTTTTTATTATCTTAGAATGAGCGTTTCTCTCTACACACACCGCGGGCCCGCTTACATGTTTCTACGGTGGCCCTGAATGGACAAACGTGTTTCGTCACTATGTTGTTCTTCATGATAAGAAGCTGCTAAAGTCAGCAAATAAAACACTGACACAATGATGAACAAGCAATATTCATGATAACATTGTTTTACAATGTAAATTAAGTAAACCTAATTTCTTAATTTATGTTTGCAAAGAAACCTTAACTGGCTACTCTCTGCGATGACTTCACTTCCTGTCGGCCACTGTAACTTCTGTTGGGTGCAGTTCACAACCTCACCACTAGATGCACTAAAACGTACACACTGCGCCTTTAAAGCAGAGTTGGCAAGTTTTAATAACATAACAAGTAACGTTCAATCATCATAAAGGTTAATTTCACAACGCAAAAGGTTGAAATATTTTAAGATTTTTTAATGTTTGTTCCTATTTCTGTGAAAAACTTGATTCATCACCATCATTTAAAAGTTTTAACTTTTTTTATTATTTTAACAGAATTGGATACTTTTAATCAGCAAGGACACATTAAATTGATCAAAAGTGACAGAAAATATATTTATAATGTTACAAAAGATTCTGTTTCAAATAAATGCAGTAAAAACATAATTCGCATCTGTTATCAGTTACTTCACACAGTCCTAGAGAGGTTTCACATGCTTTCGGCCATTCCCGGAGCTAGACCAGGACAACAGGACACAATGACTAACTATTACGACAACAGTGGGTTCTGGTAGTTGAGAACGTTTGATAAAGGAAGGAGTAAATTTTAGATAATGTTCACCATAGTTAACATGAGCTCATAAAACTGCACGAAATACTGACGATTATACAAGAATCGGACATTACATGAATTATACCGCTGTGTGTCGCCATAAACTGCTCATTCTTTGCTTCACGTCAAACTCAGATCCATCGCTATGATCAAACACAGGAAAGACTAGCATATTTCTGAGACAAAACATCAATACATATTACATCCAAGCAGACGATTTTCAACTTTTGCCCTGATAATTGTCAGTCACACTTGGTGGCTCTATTTATTTCCATTTTCTTCAATTAGGTATCATCTGAAAGCTTAAACATGCAAATATCTTCCTGTGAAATCATTGTTAACTTACACCATAGAGCGATACTTTAAAACCTTTTAGCAACTTAATATTTTTGTGATATCAACTTCAAATTTGGAGCAAAACTTGCTTTCTTTAGTTTTCTAGCAGCTTTACAGTACAAACTATTTCGTGAAATATATATATTTTGTATAACACCATTATATGAGAACTGAACTGAGCTGGACGATGGTTTTCTCCAGAGCAGCTATATATATAAACAAACTAAATTAATAACTGTTTACAACAAAAATGAGGCAACACTGAGCTGGACTGAGACGCTTTTCTCTTCTGGAAACAAGCTTTGAAACACTATGGTGACTTGACTATTAAATAAATGTTTAGTTCAGGACATTTGCTCTACAGTAAACTTCCATACCATTTCTCCACTCTTCTTGAGTGTTTTCTAGAGACCAACATTAGGGCAGTGTTTCAAAGCATTAATGCTCAAGTTCAAATCTCTACAGGGTTAACTGGTTAAAAAGGTGTTTTCCAACCGTTACTGGCCTTCAGTAATCTCACAAACGCCTCGTTATTGTTAAATCATTGTTGAAATTGAACACACACACACGAGCACACACTTGTGAGCTAAAAGATGCATCCAAACTCTCTCCACACACACACACACACCAAACTGCACGGCTCAATCCAGACAGGAATCAGATTTCCCAGTGTTTCCTCCTCCCTCGTTTTTTCCTCTCTTTCTTTTCCTCGAGCCAGTATGTCTGGCTTTGCTCTCGCTCTTCCCCCTCCTCCACTTTCCAAACACACAGGAGAGCCGAGGCCTGGATTTTCACGGGTCCATCGACACAGATCCATCCCTAACCCGAGTTCGGTCTCGGACACTCTTGATATCCTCACTCACACACACACAGACAGTCGCTTACCTTCAAAGTAACAGCTGGAAGACGAAGAAAGACCTTTCTTGGATTTACAGCCCACCAATTTTAGACAAATTTCCAACATTTTCATTTGCTTCCCAAACACGACCAAATCGAAAGATATAATCCAGACAGTTTCTCTTTTATCCAAAGGAAAGTTCAAAAGAAAGCAGCCAAAAACATGAAAAAGTTGCGTGTTAGTAGCTCAACGCGAAGATGAAGTCAAACGCGGCTTTTCTTCATCTTAAACCCACTTCACTCCGTTCTTCTAGCGAGTTTCCAAAGTAAGAGGCTCCATTTTTCCCTCCGTTCTTCTGGTTTTCTCTGGAAACTAGGAAACTAGCCATCCACACGCATACTTCCCACAAGTGTGTAGGAGTTAAACCAAGCACTTTGACGATAGTGTTGTCTTTTTCATGGTGTATGTCGTCTTCAGAGACGATCCAGAGGAAAAGCAAGAACTGATCCCTGCCAACAAAGAGGCCCTTTCAGGAGCGGGGCCGATGACATCACTGCCGATGACATCACTGGCTCCGCCCCCCGGCTGAAACCTGCAGCATTATCGGAGTGTAACTGGAATCTGCCTTTGTCTTTCCGTTCCCCCGGCCCCTCCTACACAGGACTCGCTATCTGTTGCTCTCAAGATGTGTTCAGGCTTAAAGCAAAGGCACTGGAGCATAAGAGCATTATGCCCACAGACAGTACACAAAACCATCTGAAAGCTGAATAAATACCCTTTCCATTGATGTACGGTGCGTTGGGATAGGACAATATTTGGCCGAGATACGAACCATTTGAAAAAAAATAAATAAAAAAAATAAATAAATAAAAAAATCGAAACTTTTGAGAAAATCGCCTTTAAAGTTGTGCATTTATGTTCGATTTGTGCTGCGTTCACTCACAAAAGTAAATGTTTTATATATATTTATTTCATTTATTCACAACTCTACTATTGAATCCAGCGTATCATCAACGCTCGGGTGAGCTGTCCGTCTGTGGGGTAAACTAAACCCTATTGGCTAGTTAAAAAGGGGGAGGAGCCATTCAACATGTCCCGCCTTCGCTTCCTGTTTCAGTGGAAACTGCATCAACCCATCATACAAAGCTGTGCGTTTCACGGTACTTCAGTGGGGCTTTAAAAAACCTGCCCAGTGTTGCCCTCCAAACACTGGTCTACTGACAATAATATGGTTTATAATTAAAATTCCTGAATTATGCAGAAAGCTTTCTTCCCCAGGGTTATTATTTGTATCTTGCATCTAATTGGCTTTATGCACAGCTCCACTTCTTCCTGAACTTCAGCCAGCTCCTTGTTTCCTGTCTGCCATTATTGGACAAACTGATTAATCCTGGTTAATTCATTAATCCTGAATTAATCAAGTTTGTCCAATAACGGCAGACAGGAAACAAGGAGCTGGCTGAAGTTCAGGAAGTAGTGCAGCTGGGCATAAAGCCCATTCAAGGTAAACTCTTGTTGCTTTTTACCCTAAAACAGGAAGTAGTAAGTAAAGTCTATTTCCTTATAAAAACCTTGCAAAACCTTGCATGGCAGTTGCTTAGGTATTAGCTTTCCTGAGTGGTTTATGTGGTTGCTAGGGTGATGAGTGCGGTTGCTAGGGTGCTGCATGTGTTTCTTCCTCTCCGGTGTTCAAGAGTCCTGCATTAATTGAATGTTCAGAAGTGTTTTCCCCTTTGCTCAGACAAAAGCAGGGTTGCAGAGGCAGGTTTAGTGGGAGAGGGGGAGGTGACAGATGTAGAAACATGAAGCACATTTCTCAGAGATGAGCTCATAGAGGATCATTTATATAATCCACTCTCCGTTAGCTGACGCACACCATCCCTCGCGGTCATCGAACACACACTCCTGTCCGACTCAACCAGGGGTGGCGTCCATGAGATGCGTCTGCGTCAAAGCGAGGCGTTTAGTTCGACGGAGGGTTTCATCATGAGCCCAGGAATGGAAATCTGATCCAGGTGTGCTGGGAAATCACAACAGGCCTGACATCACACACACACACACACACACACACACACACACACACACACAGTCCAGTGCAAGAGCTGCTCCTCCACTTACACTGGAGTCATACCTTTTCCTTTAAAGGTGCAGTGTGTAAGTTTTAGCGCATCTAGTGGTGAGGTTGTGAACTGCACCCAACAGAAGTTACAGTGGCCGACAGGAAGTGATGTCGTCGTCTGAGACAGCAGAGAGTGGCTAGTTCAGCAATGAGGTTTCTTTACAAAGATAAATTAAGAAATTAGGTTTACTTGATTTTGCAGTAAAATGATGTTATTGCGAATATTATTGTTGCTTGTTCATCGGTGTGTCAGTGTTTTACTCGCTGACTTTAGCAGCTTTTGATCATGAAGAACAACATCATGACGAAACACGTTTGTCCACTCAGGGCCACCGTAGACGCATGTGGATGTAAGCAGACCAGTGGTGTGTGTAGAGAGAAACGCTCATTCTAAGATAATAAAAACATAACGGTTCATTATGTAAGATCATTATACACAACTGAAAACATAGTTATGTATATGATATTGCATTTCTGTCAGCAGATCCTCACAAATATTACACACTTTAAGTGACATTTGCCCGCTAAATTGATTTTCCAGTGCATTTTTGTACCTTTATGAATAACGTTTTATTTAAAAATGTTCAATTGAGAAATATGCAATGATTGTGAACACGAAGTGATAGTAGATGGCAGTAAGTCACTGTCTTAATGAGCGAGTCATTGAGTCATTCAGTAACGAAGCAACTAGCTGTCTTTATAAATGAATCATTGAATGATTGACTCACGACTCGTTCAAAGCTGCAGAATTGTTCACGAAACACAGATGTGTGCTGGAGTTCTGTAGTTAGCATTAAAGATGAGGTTATTGAACAAGTATCACAGGAAAAATACTTGTACGTCTCACCACACCGGCACCCAGTTTGCGCGTCTAAATTGCAATTTTTTTCCTTAAGGGTTTGTTTACTGTGTGTGATTCATTTAATGGATAGCACATTCACTTCTGGTTGTCTTCGTCCTCTATTGTGCAGTGTTTCGGTCTCCCACATGTGTGTGGCAAGCTGTACCGCCGGGAACATGCAAAAAATAAATAAATAAAGAAGCGTCGACGCAAAAATATGACGTCGAATCATCGACGCGCCGCTACAGCACTAGTTTTAGTGCAGCATTAGATTTTAACTTTTTCTCCCTCATTTACTGTCGGTGGCTGTTTCTGCCCCATTGACTTCCATTATAACTACATTTTTTGATTGCAAAGCCATGACACCATATAATCATGCATGTTTGATTGTTGGTGGTTTTCCCTGTTGGGAAGAGGTAAAATTATCAATGTTTACTGTTGATAACCAGGTGGCACCATTAACCCTTTAGATAGGCCTGTGCAAAAAAAGCTTAGTGTCTTGCTTTTACATGGAGTTATATAGAGCAGGGGTTCTCAACTCCAGTCCTCGCGACCCACTGCTCTGCATATTGTGTGTGTCTCCCTTATTTAACACACCTGATTCAGATCCTCAGCTCGTTAGGATAGCCGTAGAGTCTATCTTAACGAGCTGAGGATCTGAATCAGGTGTGTTAAGTAAGGGAGACATACACAATATGCAGAGCAGTGGGTCGCGAGGACTGGAGTTGAGAACCCCTGATATAGAGTATGATAGCATATTAAAGTGTGTGTGTGTGTGTGTAACATTTTACAGCAGTTTAAAGTAGTGTCTGTTTTCAGCCATGAACATAATGAAAGGTTGGTGAATTTGCCCAGTGTACCGTTGAGTTTTTGAAAATTTTCAAAACATTTTCCTAAAATGCATGTCAAAATAAGATTTGTCACCAAAAATCCTTCCATTTACTGAAAGTTATGGGCAAATTAAGACTCAAAAACACCCCATCGCGGCTGAAAACATCCCCAACAGCACATAAGGGTTAACGTCTAAATGGTTTTGCACCTCGGCCCTGATGTCATGTTTTTGAAAGACTGCAAGCGTGCAGCAGATCCACTAGAGCAGCGCGTCACATGAGTCTCGTGAACAGACTTTGTGTTACTTCACATTGAATTAAACTGAATAATTTGTCAATCAAAATGATCGCAAGTTTTCACACTTCATATTTGAAGAGCTCTTTTCCAAAACGCTATAAATCCATTTCAATAGTTTTCAGGAAAACTACATTTTTTTACCTAGACCCACACATTTTGTGAATATTCAAATTATCCTGTTTAAATGTTTTATTGGTTCAGTCTGAACATTTTGAACAATAATTATTACATCAAACAACAATATTGTTAATGATAATTTAAAAGTTAATTTTATTTTTTTCCAAAACGCTATAAATCCATCCATTTTTTGTATCATTTTTAGTAAAGTTATTTTTAGTAAAGAGTCAAACCTCAAACAAATAGTACCAATTTCAACATATGCATGAAAAAAACGAATTATTAAAAATGATCAATATATGATAACGATATTCAAAAAAGGGATGGGCACCCCTCCAGCACATGCACACACACACAGGCTACATAACATGTGAGCAAAGCGGAGCAGCATGACGCTTAAATATAAGTTAAAAAAAACAAAAAACAAAATAAACATAAAATATACGTTTCACATTTGTTTTTAATAATATTACATTACTTATTTTTATTATTTCATCTATGTTGAGTAGGCTATGAAAAGAGAACCGCATGAGATGAGTAAGATAGGATCAAAATTCAAAAGCTGCCCAATATCGGAAAATATTTGGAGTGCGTCAGACATGATTTTGACCACTTATTAAGTTTTGTTTTGTAGAAAGCTTGTAAATTTAGTTTCATATAAATTGTATCTTCATTTTAATAAATGTTAAATCGACAAATTGACTGGATTAATACATTAGAAGTAAATATCAGACAATATAATCAGGACACAGAGGCGCGCAGGTGAACCGGAGCGCGTCTCATAATATGAACCGAAACACCGCGATGCTTGCCTCACACAGGCCTGAGAACTAAGCTACAGAAAGCTTTAAATATCTACTTTTAAACAAAATAATTAAAAACTAAAATAAATTGGCAACTCTCTGCGTATGTAGGCTAATTCGAAGTATGCGTTTCTATAGGCCTATGCGCGTTCACTGCGAAGATGGCGAGTAAGCATCATCAACTTTATCTTTGTTGCTGACACTGACAGAAAACACTAGTTTATTAATAAACAATTCAAATGTTTCATGGATAATCATTACTTTTGCCGGTTCTTTGTGGCAAGCTTTATGCATACGTTGAAATGCGGAATAGGCAATTAAAAACGCTCATATGGTTTCTCTCCCATTTAATTAAATCAATATATGTGATTACTGATAATACAAATGGCTTAAATGATCTACTACTAGTCGCCTCGAAAACTAGGACTCATTTTGAGGAATAAATGAACATAATAAACCTCTGTTCAGAGTGCCGCCGTGCTGGATTGTGTAGAGCGCTCATTGAATTTGAGGATTTATAGTGTTTAGGCTAAAAACAGGGCTGGCGCTTATCGCGGCTTGGAAAGAAACTGTATCTTGCAGTACATTTTAAACAAGGAAATATAGCGATTTGGCATGAAACGTTGATGGAGCAGTGAAAGGGTTCTGTCCACAGCAGAATGACACGACAAACTCGTTTTTTAAAAAAAATGGCGTTTATCGTGTTTTGGAAAAGAGCTCTTCATTTCATAACAGGACAACAGCATATTACTGCAACACACACACTCACACACACACACTCTGATCTGCATGACCCCATAATGAGAGACCGAAGGAGGAATGTAAACGGCACATTCTTGTCTCGTCCTGTTCAGCTGGTGTTACTGTAGTTTAATCTACACATGTCGAGTCTCCTTCATCTATACAGCGGCTTCACAGTGAGAACAGGAGATTACAGACACAGAGAGATCTGGAATAGAGTTATTGTCCAGATAAAGTTATGTGTGGGAATCAGTGAATAAGTCACGTGCGAACTGCTCGGCTCGGCACTGACGGCTTACACCGTTGAGTTTCTTAACCTTAGCCGCGGAGAGGCTTTTATTGTTTTGATTTCGTCATTGGAGCTGAAATGGCGGGTGGGGGGGTTGTGTCGCCCAGATTTGCTTCCCCCAGTCAGCACTTTCACCAGACATACGTTCTCATCCCACACAAAAACAGAACTTCAGATAAAATATGTAAAATTCCACGAAATTCCACGTTAACACTAGATTCTGCGTTAATTTGCCAATTAAGCAATTCCGTCCGTGATCGCGGAAATCATAGAGCCCTAGAAAAAGCAAATTCGAGATCGGGCTGTAATTGACCAATTCTGTCAGATCAAGTTATGTTTTTTTAACAAGTGGTTTAATCAAAGCCAGCTTAAAAGTTTTTGGTACATATCCTAGCGACAAAGACGAATTAATGATATCGAGAAGAGGATCTATGACCTGTGGAAGCATCTCTTTCCGCAGTTTAGTCGGTATAGGGTCTAGCATACAAGTTGTCGATTTAGATGATTTAACGAGTTTAGTCAATTATTCCTCTCCTATAGCAGCAAATGAATTGAGTTTTTCACTGTCTGATGTGATACTGTAGTAGACGGTTGCATAGTTATAATTTTCTCCCAGATATTATCAATCTTATTAGTGAAGTTCATAAAGTCATTACTGCTGTGCTGCTTGGAAACATCAGGGCTTGACGCTTTATTTATTGCTCATCCCTATTATATCTGTTTTTTATTTGTTGCACACCAATTGAATTTTTACCCTTAGATGGGTGTGGAAGTTTTTTGTATGTACTATTTCAGGGAACAGACACAGTCTCTATATGATGATATCTAGGTGAACGAGTCTGTGTGATGGGAGTTGTCTGACCTTGGTGACGCTAGGTCGCTAGCAGACGGTCCGTTTAGCCAGTTTTGAACAGTTGTGTGTTCCTAAATTGAAATTTTTTCCGTATCTGAAAACAGACGGTGTTCAGTCTCTGTCAGCAGTTTGGACTCTTGAGTCGGACTATCAAGCAGCCAATAAGTAGTGACATGACTTCATAGCCACGTCCTAGCAACAACTAACAGCACCCTAGCAACCGTAAAACAACATTTAGCCTACAAGCCATTTCTCAGCACCAAAACATTGAAAAAAACATGTGTAATATTGCAACATATTTACAGCTCCACAACATCGCACAGACAAGGTCGTTGGTTTTGTCATTGTAAGCACCACTCGCTACGAAATGAACATTATCGGTCGGCCTGATCAAACCGGCCGCTGTCAGGACAACCGACAGAAACCTGTGGACGGCAACGGTCATGTGACCACATGACGCGGTCATGTGACCTCAAACTTACTGCATACATATGAAGGTGGACTCACAACGCGGTCTTGTGACCTCACAACGCGGTCATGTGACCTCACAACGCGGTCATGTGACCTCACAACGCGGTCATGTGACCTCACAACGAGGTCATGTGACCTCACAAGGTGGTCATGTGACCTCAAACATACTGCATACACATGAAGGTGGACTAACAACACGGTCATGTGACCTGAACACAAACTCATGCGCCTGGACTGACCGTGGACGGTGAACACATTGCAGTTCTGCGCTCCGGGCCGCGACGCCTCTCGCTTCCCAGAGGCCTTGATGAAGGGCAGCGCCGGCAGACTCGGTCTCCGCTGGTCCCCGACGGGCTTCCCCGGCTGCTGCCCCATAAGGGCCCGACACACACACACACACACCGGATCCCGGTCCCGACGAGTCAGAGTCCAGCGCCGGTCACGCATCCACAGCCAGATCCAGAAGCCTGTGCGGGTCTGATCACACAGCAGATCATATGTTTAAAGCTTAAAGTGCATAAGAGTAGATATAAGCTGTGTCCCAAACGACACACATGCACTATGCACTCTAACGTGAAGTGTATGAACTTTATATGTTACAATTTAGAGTGATCTGTCATCAAAGACACTGTCTAAGTTAGCCTATGTATTTCATAAATACATACGTTACTCCTGATAACAGATCATACAAAAAGCAGGAACTGTGGTATTAATAATAATAATGTCATTCTCACGTGTCAGAGGAGGACGAAACATCAGTCTTCAGGGTGATGACGTCACTGAAACCTCCACATGATCGACAGAAACTGTGAGTAAGGTTGAGCTGATGAGCTGTCAATCATAGTGACGTCAAGCGAATATGAATCTCTCCTGGCACGCGTCAATAATTCGCTCAGATATGCTGACGTGCATGAAACTACAGTCAACTATCATCCTTGTTCACTTGGAAGAAATGTCCAACAATAACTTTTTAAACAGCAGATCTACTATAGTGATTGTGTCAAGACTGGTTAGCAGTGTCACTCAGTACATAACTGTTACTACATGTAGTAATAACCATTTAATTACGTTTGCAGCAGCTGTAAACAAGCACTTCGACGTCACTACGGTAAATGACGTTGATGAGATTTGAGCTAATTAAACACATGTAGGTGTAAAATAGAGTCTGAACTCTCACAGGAACTCCAACACGCGGTGTTATCCCGATTAAACCCTCGGTTCGTGTAACTTTGACGTGTAGTGTACAGTTGGAGTTTGTTGGAGTTGTAAGTTAGTTGTTAAGTCTCTCGTCACTTCCGCGTGCAGTTCTCCCTCTCTCTCGAGATCCTGAGGCGAATATAAACGCTCTCCGCGCAGTCTTTATGCCTCTCCTGTCGGGCTCGTTTCCTCACCGAACAATCCCTGCACTCTTCTGCAGTTTTTTAGTGTTGATTCTCGCCATGTCTTCCTTTTATTTTATAACTTTCAGCACTTTTTTTGAGTCGCTCGTCGTCGCATGAACCGCCATATTCGCGCACGCGAGCTCCGCTCGTGACGTCACACGCACGCCGCGCTCTTCCGCCAACAATCTTCAGTTCATTTTTTAATTTTTATACTTTTTATCTCTTTATTTTTAACTTTATATTTCCTTGATTGACGTATTGTTTAATTCTTGCAATTTAACACATGCATGAAAATGTTCCTTTCATTTAAAAAGTTGTTCATTTCCTTGAACATACTCAAAACTAACTTTTATTTAAAAAAATAAGAAATCTATAAAAATGTCAATATTTGTAAACATTTTAGATGCTTTATTCTATTGATTGCGTATTATTTGACTTGTTTGATATAAATAATTTTTGTGTTTATTTTATTCTTTGTAAAGCTGCACTTCGGTCACTTTCATTGTGTTTTTAATGTGCTCTAGAAATAAAGGATTAATTATTTTTTTAAGTAAAGTAATAAGTAATATATAATATATAATCAGTATATGAAGAGTTCAGATGCAAAAGCCTCTAAGTGCCATTTGAAATTTTCTTCTAGAATGATCATTTTTATCAAGCTTGTATATTTAAGTTCAGTGATTTCACTTAAATGGCAATTATAATTACCTATTAATTGTTATTTAAGTGAAATTACTGAACTTAAATATACAAGTTTGATGAAAATCATCATTAAAGAAGAAAATTTCAAATGGCATAGAGGCTTTTGCATCTGAACTCATCATATATATTTAGTTTGTCGTGTTTATTGAAGCTCTGCCCCCTAATGGCCAGATCCTGACTGTCACACTATTAAAGGGACAGTTCACCCAAAAAATGAAAACATTGGACCCCATTGACTTCCATTGTATTTTTTTAAGTCAGTGGGCTCCATCACCTGTGTGATTCAGCAGAACACGGAAACCATATACAATATTACTCAACATTACAAACATAAAAGATAAACATTTCTATACTATCTTCAGTGGTACGAGATTAAACACTGGTTAACACGTCTTCCGTGAGGTTTCTGAAGCAGTGCATGATGTGTTTTTGCAAAATAAAAGTCACTTGTTTTCTGTCAAGTTAATTAATTATTGAATAAAAAGTAAAATTTAATGACACAAGTTTTCATTTGTGGGTGTACCGTCCCTTTAACACAACATTACAATAATTTCAATTACATGATGATGTACAACAATAAAAGCCACTTGTTTTCTGTAAAATGCCTTTATTTATTATGATTAGGGTTTGAGCCGGTGTGTGTTTCATCCCTCGTGCTCGACCAGGCGCTGCCGCGTCTCCAGAACGATCTCCTCCATGGTCTCCGGCTTCAGGATGTCTTTAATCTGCAAGGAAACACAGATGTGATGCTGCACTCCTCATGAGCGTTCACACGGAGATCAACGAGGTTATCGTACCTTGTGTGGGAGAGCCGCTTCGTAGCAGTAAAGCATGCTGGTGTCGTACAGCAAGACCTTATGAGCGGCGAGAGCCAACAGGCAGTTCCTGAGCCGCGAGATCACCTCCCGATCCGCCACCGACACCGGCTGGACACACACACACACACACACACACACATCAGTGACCGTGCGTGAGGGGTATCAGGGATCGGATACGATGAGTGTAGAGACTGTGTGTTCGTGTGTATCAGTGTGTCGGACCCGTGCCGCTCTTAAAGTGACAGCACTAATATTCCTGCCGTCTCTATAATCACACACCAGAAGACTGAACACACACTCGCTCTACACTGGATATCTTTCGAAAATATATTTATAAAGTGCAGTGTTATTTTGCATTTGAAAATCTTAAAACACTTTATTTCAATCGTATCTTCGTTCAGTCGTGTCTATTTGTTGCGATTGCTAATTTGTCCTTTTTTAATAACTGAGTGTCTATTGTTTTAAATAATGTTTGAAATGTATAGGCGAGCATTTGAGCTTATAAAACTTAAACTTTTGTATTTATTTTTTAAATAACCGCTCGTTTTGCTCGATAAGACCCTTATTCATCATCTGGTGTCGTTTAAAGACATTTGAAGCTGCACTGAAACTCTCATTTGGACCTTGAACCGTTTGGTCCCCATTGAAGTCCATTATATGGAGAAAATCCTGGAATGTTTTCATCAAAAACCTTCATTTCTTTTCCACTGAAGAAAGAAAGACATGGACATCTTGGATGACACGGGGGCGAGTAAATTATCAGCAAAAGTTTTTTTTAAAGTGAACTACTCAGATGATCTCAGTGCTATGGCAGAGATACGGACCTCCAAGCTGGTGTAGAAGCCGCCGGCCTCCTCGTCCTGCGTCTCCGGCGTGGGATAGAGCCACACGTAGCCGTTGTTCCCCAGGATCACGGACGCGCCGCACGGCAGGTTGTGGAAGTGCGTCTTCTGCCTCTTCACCAGCGACGGGGAGACGAGCACCAGCACTCCCTGACCCAGCTGAAACACAGCACACATCAGCCTCCCTCATTATCATAATTCATGCGCAGAATAAAGGGGCGGGGCCTGGTTGAGTTAGTCAGTAGTGTGTTAAACTGGTGGTTATGGAAAGGGGCGGGGCATTTCCCAAACACGCTCAAAGCGCTCGACCAATCACAACACACTGCTCCAGCCGACCAATCAGAGCACAGTGTGCTTTTCAGGAGGAGACGGGAAGTAAACAGAGCGTTACTGACAGACTGGGAAGGGAGGAGCCGCAACAATGGAGAATATGATGTTTGTTTATATATATGTTTATATATATGTTTGTTTCTCACCTTGCCGTACTTTAGGCTGCGCGTGTGCAGAGAGACAGCGCCGTCCGAGAAGATCGACTGAACCTCGGCCTGTGAACGGTTAAAGATCACAACACTGAACGCCTCAGACTGGCGGAGAACAGGAGCCGCCAATCAACGGATCATGAATCTAAAATCATAAATACATTTTAATGAAAGACTAGTGCTTTGGAATCAGTGCTTATGTTTATACTATTATAGTATTTATTCATAATGTGAATTAGCTTGATTTCTATATTTTCAGTTTAGTTCTAGCTCAACATGCATTTGTTGTATTTAATACTTTTTTTTTATATTTCTGTTTAGCTTTATTTGTATTTCAGTATGAGATAGCCTTTAGCCTTATTTCAGTTTAAGTATTTTTATGCGCTTTTGTAGTTTCTTTAGTTTTCTTATTTCTGTTCAGACTTTAGAAGAAGTTTTCGTCTAATATCTATGTTGTCAATCTGAACAAAATAATGGCTGCAGTCAATTTAAAAAAAAACTAATTCATTTGAATGAAAAGGTCGAGTGAATGATTCAGTGACTCACTCCTTCTCTCGTTTCATTGCTGGATGAATCAGTGCTTTTGAACGAATCTTGAGTGAATGATTCAGTGACTCACTCCTTCTCTCATTTCATTACTGGATGAATCAGTGTTTTTGAACGAATCTCGAGTGAATGATTCAGTGACTCACTCCTTCTCTCGTTTCATTACTGGATGAATCAGTGCTTTTGAACGAATCTCGAGTGAATGATTCAGTGACTCACTCCTTCTCTCGTTTCATTACTGGATGAATCAGTGCTTTTGAACGAATCTCGAGTGAATGATTCAGTGACTCACTCCTTCTCTCGTTTCATTACTGGATGAATCAGTGCTTTTGGACGAATCTCGAGTGAATGATTCAGTGACTCACTCCTTCTCTCGTTTCATTACTGGATGAATCAGTGCTTTTGGACGAATCTCGAGTGAATGATTCAGTGACTCACTCCTTCTCTCGTTTCATTGCTGGTTGAATCAGTGCTTTTGGACGAATCTCGAGTGAATGATTCAGTGACTCACTCCTTCTCTCGTTTCATTGCTGGTTGAATCAGTGCTTTTGAACGAATCTCGAGTGAATGATTCAGTGAGTCGCTGTTAAAAGTGAACAGAAACGGTGTTTAAAGGTTTTGATCACTATTGTGGACATCAGAGTTTATATCGAACTATAAACTTTTATTCCAGTACTTGTGTGATAACAGAGTTACTGTAGGACAGAAATAATGGTCATGTGTGGCTGCAAATACTGTCATAATGCGGTTTGTAATAATATATGCTGAAGGAGTCAGTAAATGATGATGATGATGAAGGATACACTGATGAGATCTCCTTCCTGAAGATAATCCCTCATGGCCAGCTCATCCTGCGTCGACCGCCGTCTCTGACAGACACACACAACAACACACACACTTTACTACACCGATTCAGACCTGGTCATATGAGCTCACAATAAGTGCAGTATATCTCGTGTGTGTTATATCTCATGTGTGTGTCGTATCTCGTGTGTGTTGTGTGTGTTATGAACCGGAGTCTCACCAGCTCTCCTCCGGGCAGATTGACCGACGACAGCAGTAACACTGAATCCAGACGAGAATTAGTCTCGACTTTCCATCGTTTCTGCTGCACCTGTTGTTATAGAGACACACACACACACACACACACATGATCAGAGCTTCAGATGACCATCACACATCCATCATGACCTGATAAACACACAAACCTCAGTGATTCTGCCCACAACCACGTCACCGACCTCACCGTTATACCTGCGGGAGAGAGAGAGAGAGAGAGGTGTGTGGGTGTGTGTGTGTGTGTGTGTGTGTGTGTGTGAGAGTTAGAGTGTGAGTACTCACCTGGTCTTCAGCGGCTTCACACAGATGAGTTTATTGACCCGCTCGACCTGTCCAGCCACTGACGCCGTGAGCCGATCTTCATCCATGTACGTGCCGTGACCCCTGAGGATGAGGAGCCACAAACACACACACACACACACACTGAGGATGAGGAGCCACACCCACCCACACACATTGATGATGAGGGGTGACAATCTCTCTCTCACACACACTCTCACACACACTCTCACTCACACTCACACACACACACACACACACACACACACACACACACACACACACACACACACACACACTGAGGATGAGGGGTGACAATCAATCAATCGCTCACTCACTCACTCTCACTCTTTAACGTAATAAGTACTACTAATATATAATAATTTCTACTTTATCTCATAATTATGACTTGGAAAGAAAAGCAGGCAAACTGATATTAACAATTAAAGTTTTCACTCTTTAGTTTACACTATTTCCAAGGCCTTTTAAGCGTCCCTGATGTTTACAGATCAGATCCAGCCCGGTTCCGGTTCCGGTTGGTGTTTACCTCATGAAGCCCGTGTCAGATGTGATCACATCTCCGGGAACCACCAGGTGTTTGTCGTCCCGGTGAGACTGAGATGTTGTGAGAGAAACATGTTTATGTAGCGCTGGAAGCCTCATCTCCACCGCCATGCTTACACACTCACACACACACACACACACACACACACACCGACCGGAACCGCGCACAGTGGCAGAAAGCTCGCGCTGATTTCATAATAAAAGTGCGACTGTACTTTTTAAAAGCTTGTTTTACTGTTCATTTAAAAGTCGTCATGACGCCGACATCTGAGACTGAATTGATAATTAGTTAAATATCAAAATAATTTTGCTAATGACTTTTTTAAATGTGTGTTGTAAAATGTTAGAACTTTTATTTTGTGCCCGCTAGAGGGAAGCATTGGTTTTGGTTTTATTATGAGAGGTTGTGCGAATTAAAATAAACAAGTGTAAATAAATGAACAAAATAAATAAATTTAAGCATTGATTTCATTATGAGAGGTTGAGCGAATTTAAACATGTGTAAATAAATGAATAAAGTGTGAATAAGTTACGCATAAAAAACACAATGCATAAACAAGCATAATTTAAAATATTTAAAATATTTAAAACAAGTTAAAATATTTCACTTTTTTTCGAGTTTGTAACAACCTTTTTACTACATCTACTCAAAACTCTCGTTTAATTACTATTAAATTAATAAACAAATTTGTATTATTATTAAATATTATTAAATACTATTATAAAAATATTATTAACAAAAAAATTACAAATACAACAGTAAACAAAAAAAATGTAACAGAGTTGCATACTAGGGGGGGTTGATGTAAATCTACATAAAGACATGATGTAAATCTACATAAATTTTCCAAGTTTTAATTGCTTTTTACAGTTTTGAACATGGAATTTTGCCATTAAAAGAATAAATGTATAAATGTATTATGTAAACACGTAGTAAATACATAACGTAAAGGCGCATTCCCCTTTTACAGAAAGACAGAAATCCAGTAAAATAAAGGCATAAATAAGTTCACAATGTTATTACTTAATGAAACACAATTTATAAAAAAAAAAAAGTAGCATTTCTTAAGTTAAAATATTCCACACATTTTTTTTCGATTTTGTAACATATTTAGTAAATTCATCCACTCAAAACTGACTCTTTTATTGTGGTCCCTACGCATAAAGCGCGGCGTCTGTCTTCCGGGGGCGTGTCTAATCGATCACGTCACACTCACACACATATATTCATCAGCGCGCGCACTGTCTCTCTCTGCTCCAGTACTAGTAGTCAGGATCAACTTGTTAGGGATGAGCGCTGGTCCTGGTTCGGGTTCGGGGTCGGGTTCGGGTGCGGGTTCGGGCTTCGGTAAAGCCCTGGTCATCATCACCGGGGCGTCGCGAGGCTTCGGCCGGGCTCTGGCTCTCTCCGTGGCGCCTCACCTGGCTCCGGGCTCGGTTCTGGTGCTCTCGGCCCGCTCGGAGGACCTGCTCCTGGAGCTGAAGCGGGATCTGGTCCGCGGGGACCCCGGGATCACGGTCCGGTGTGTGGCCGCAGATCTCGGGTGTAAAGCGGGAGTGGAGGGACTCATCGCCGAGACCCGAGACTGCGCGACCGAGCCCGGGATCCAGACTCTGTTGCTCGCCAATAACGCCGGTGCGGATCAATACTTCAGAACACGAGCTTCCAGAACTCAACACAAGAAATTATGCTCAGATTAATCATAATGATGAGATGAAAAGTCTTAATTATGGCATCCTAAGTCATATTAATGATACAAATTGAAATAATGAGAAAAAGTAATTTGTGACAGAAAGTCATTATTCGATTTTCCCTGATTTAATGTGTTGTAATTTTTGAGTTTTCACCTCATAATTAAAACTTAAGACTTAGTATGTCATTATTTATTTATTTTATTTTGGGGGTTTTTTTTGCCCAAAAAAGATTTTTCATGACAGAAAGTCACAATTTCACATTTTATCTTGTAATTGTTGATTAAGTCTTAATTTTAACTTTTTCTCAATTATGACTGATTTATCATGTCATCGTAATTTTTGTTTTACTTTTTCTATGATTTACTAACTTTTCTCAATTATGACCTGTCATAATTTTGACTATCCCGTAATTTAAACTTTTTTTGTCATATTTCTACTTTTTATATAATAATTTAATGTTTATCTCAATTTTAATCTTTATTCTTATCATTTTTATCTTTTATCTCATAAATGTTACTTTATTTCATAAATGGGATAATTATGTCAATAAAAAAATTGAATCTCTTAATTTCAATCTATATCTCATAATTTTATATTTTTCGCATAATTATGATGTAGCGTCTCATAATTTTAAAAAAATTGAATAATTCTTTATCTCATAATTTCGACTTTTTGGTCAATTTAGACTTTTTGTTAAACTTTTTGTCAAATTTTGACTCAATCTCATAATTTTGATTTTTTTTTTTTTTTATCTCATAATTTATCTTTTTATTGCATAATTTCGACTTTTTGGTCAATTTGGACTTTTAGTCAAAATTTTGACTCAACCTCATAATTTTGATTTTTTTAATCTCATAATTTAAATTTTTAATATCATAAGCTTGTCTGTGTGTTGTGATTCTGCTGTGTGTGTGTGTGCGCGCAGCTTCTCTCGGGGACGTGTCTCGGCGCTGTCGGGACTTCACGGATGTGTGTGAGGTGGACTCGTACCTGTCGCTGAACGTGAGCTCGGCGTTGTGTGTGACGGCGGGGGTGCTGCGCGCGGTGCCGGGCCGCTCGGGTCTGACGCGGGTCGTGCTGAACGTCAGTTCTCTGTGTGCGCTGAGGCCCTTCCCCTCCTGGGTGCTGTACTGCAGCGGGAAGGCGGCCCGAGACATGATGTTCCGCGTGCTGGCCGAGGAGGAGCCGGACCTCAGGGTCCTCAACTACGCCCCAGGTACACACACACGTCAGCGGACACACTCAAAGGTGCAGTGTGTAGGTTTTAGCGCATCTAGTGGTGAGGTTGTGAACTGCACCCAACAGAAGTTACAGTGGCTGACAGGAAGTGATGTCGTCAGAGAGTAGCCAGTTCAGCAATGAGGTTTCTTTACAAAGATAAATTAAGAAATGATGTTTATAAAACTACGACGGTAATAGCCTGCCGAGTCCAAAAATATGAGACGTGATTGGTCAATCTACATTCTAGGGCGTGGCTTAGCCAAAGATGAATTGTATCTTTTCATCTCATTGTGATTTGTCATCATTTCACAATTTTTACATGAAAAGTCCAATTTGAGGAAAAAGTCAGAATTGATCTCATAATTTAACTTTTTTCATCTCGTAATTTTTTCTCATATTTATGATTTAGTATGCCATAATTTATATGAATTCTCATAATTTTTACTCACTCTCAATTATGATTTAGTAACTTTCCTGAATTCTGTCTGGTTTGTGTCCTCAGGCCCCCTGGACACGGACATGCAGCTCCAGGCGAGGAGCCGTTCTGCCGACGACGCTCTCAGGAACACGTTTAGCGTCATGCATGCTAGCGGTCAGCTCCTGACCTGTGACCAGTCGGTCAGCAAACTCCTGACGGTCCTGCTGGAGGACACGTACCCCTCGGGAGCGCACCTCGACTACTACGACCTCTAGAGGTCACTCTCACACACGGCATCAAGATCTTCCCGTCTTTCTTTCTTCAGTCGAAAAGAAATGAAGGTTTTTGAGGAAAATATATATTCCATATAGTGTCTTCAATGGGGTCCAACGGGTCGAATGTGAGTTTCACGATCCAGCCGAGGAATAAGAGTCTGATCTAGACAAACCTGCCGACATTTATACCCAAATACAGATTTATACACTTAAACCACTAATGCTGGTCTTGAATCTTGAAACTGCAATTTGGACCTTCAACCCGTTGGACCCCATTGAGGTCCATTATAAACTTGAAGTGAAGTTGTGCTGGTGTTTTCTCCTCTATTGTGTCGTATATCGAGTGAAACTTTTCTGGAATGAGAACAAATGTGGGCGGGGCTTGAATGTGTCTGTGGGGAGTTGATTGGATGGTTAGATGGTTGTGGTTTGCTATTGGCTGATCTCATGTGAGTGACAGGTTATAGCCCCGCCCCCGTTATCATTGAAGAGAAGCTGCGAGAGGAACTGATTCTGATTCAAGATTATTAACACTATGATGATGATGTGCACCCATAAATCATTTAGAATAATCAAGTCCATTAAAAACTATAATTGTCCATTTGGATTTCACTTAATGATTGCGTTTGTGGCAGACGTTCTGTAATAAACGAATCTCATTTACTGTAGAGCTAATTAATGAAAGTGACTGTCAGAGAGGAGTGATCTTCAGTCAGTGTTGAAACGGTTTGGAATATTTCAAGTGCCTTAATTTATGCATAAACTACAGATTAATTTGCTCTCAGATTATAACCTGACGTTCTGGACCAAAAGAAAACTCTTGTATGTCATTGTTTTGCCAAGCGTTTCTAATATATATATATTACTGATATTTTATTAATAATTACACTAAAGGCTTTGCTTTCATGTGCAAATGTGTTTTTATTCAGGATTCCTCACTTTATATCTTAAATTGCTAGCTGTTTTTTTATATTTTATATATTTGATTTGACTTTTTTTCAATAACCAAAATTTTGCGTATATGTGTTGTGTGTATTCAGTATAATGATTGACTTGTATAAAATCGTGAAGTGTTTCTCTGGCGTCTCCGGATTAAAAGCCTGTTGGTTCCAGCAGTGTGTGTGTGTGTGTGTGTGTGTGTGTGTGTGTGTGTGTGTCGTGTCCAGCATCTCTTTCTCTCTGTGAACACTTGATGAACGCCTGATGTAAACGCGCCTGTTTCCCAAATCTGTGACTAAAGAGGGTTCATTTTACAGACACAGAACTCTTCCCGTCTTTTCCACCACAGTTGTGTCCTAATAAAGTAATTTGTACAGTTAGTGTACTTGTTTCTCAAGGTCTGTAGAAAAATCTAGAAGAAAATCATTTAAAGTTAAAAAAATATATACATAACAGTACATTAGGACCTTCAGTACATTAATGTGGTAAGTGGAAAGAAATATATGGAAACTCAATTTTATATTTATAATATGATTTTTTTCAGTGTATAAATTTGGTGTTTATAAAAGAATGATGTCTTTTAAATCTTATTATTATTATCAGATTTGATTGACATTCATTTTGAGGCTAATGGTTTTCCAAAGTTGGCACACAAATATATTTTGTATAAAGTACGTCTGACCCAGGATCTGTGTTACACAAAAACTACCCAAACACTGGGTTGTTACGCCTGACCCAGGATCTGGGTTACACAAAAACTACCCAAACGCTGGGTCGTTACGCCTGACCCAGGATCTGGGTTACACAAAAACTACCCAAACACTGGGTCGTTACGCCTGACCCAGGATCTGGGTGACACAAAAACTACCCAAACACTGGGTTGTTACGCCTGACCCAGGATCTGGGTGACACAAAAACTACCCAAACACTGGGTCGTTACGCCTGACCCAGGATCTGGGTTACACAAAAACTACCCAAACGCTGGGTTGTTACACCTGACCCAGGATCTGGGTGACACAAAAACTACCCAAACACTGGGTCGTTACGCCTGACCCAGGATCTGGGTTACACAAAAACTACCCAAACGCTGGGTTGTTACACCTGACCCAGGATCTGGGTAACACAAAAACTACCCAAACGCTGGGTTGTTACGCCTGACCCAGGATCTGGGTGACACAAAAACTACCCAAACACTGGGTTGTTACGCCTGACCCAGGATCTGGGTTACACAAAAACTACCCAAACGCTGGGTCGTTACGCCTGACCCAGGATCTGGGTTACACAAAAACTACCCAAACGCTGGGTTGTTACGCCTGACCCAGGATCTGGGTAACACAAAAACTACCCAAACGCTGGGTCGTTACGCCTGACCCAGGATCTGGGTTACACAAAAACTACCCAAACGCTGGGTCGTTACGCCTGACCCAGGATCTGGGTAACACAAAAACTACCCAAACACTGGGTCGTTACGCCTGACCCAGGATCTGGGTTACACAAAAACTACCCAAACGCTGGGTCGTTACGCCTGACCCAGGATCTGGGTTACACAAAAACTACCCAAACGCTGGGTCGTTACGCCTGACCCAGGATCTGGGTAACACAAAAACTACCCAAACACTGGGTCGTTACGCCTGACCCAGGATCTGGGTAACACAAAAACTACCCAAACGCTGGGTCGTTACGCCTGACCCAGGATCTGGGTTACACAAAAACTACCCAAACGCTGGGTCGTTACGCCTGACCCAGGATCTGGGTAACACAAAAACTACCCAAACACTGGGTTGTTACGCCTGACCCAGGATCTGGGTTACACAAAAACTACCCAAACGCTGGGTCGTTACGCCTGACCCAGGATCTGGGTTACACAAAAACTACCCAAACGCTGGGTTGTTACGCCTGACCCAGGATCTGGGTAACACAAAAACTACCCAAACGCTGGGTCGTTACGCCTGACCCAGGATCTGGGTTACACAAAAACTACCCAAACGCTGGGTCGTTACGCCTGACCCAGGATCTGGGTAACACAAAAACTACCCAAACACTGGGTCGTTACGCCTGACCCAGGATCTGGGTGACACAAAAACTACCCAAACACTGGGTCGTTACGCCTGACCCAGGATCTGGGTTACAAAAAAAATACCCAAACGCTGGGTTGTTACACCTGACCCAGGATCTGGGTAACACAAAAACTACCCAAACACTGGGTCGTTACGCCTGACCCAGGATCTGGGTAACACAAAAACTACCCAAACGCTGGGTTGTTACACCTGACCCAGGATCTGGGTAACACAAAAACTACCCAAACACTGGGTCGTTACGCCTGACCCAGGATCTGGGTAACACAAAAACTACCCAAACGCTGGGTCGTTACGCCTGACCCAGGATCTGGGTTACACAAAAACTACCCAAACACTGGGTCGTTACGCCTGACCCAGGATCTGGGTGACACAAAATCTACCCAAACACTGGGTCGTTACGCCTGACCCAGGATCTGGGTTACACAAAAACTACCCAAACACTGGGTTGTTACGCCTGACCCAGGATCTGGGTGTCGTTACGCCTGACCCAGGGTCTGGGTTACACAAAAACTACCCAAACACTGGGTCGTTATGCCTGACCCAGGATCTGGGTAACACAAAAACTACCCAAACACTGGGTCGTTACGCCTGACCCAGGATCTGGGTTACACAAAAACTACCCAAACACTGGGTCGTTACGCCTGACCCAGGATCTGGGTTACACAAAAACTACCCAAACACTGGGTTGTTACGTCTGACCCAGGATCTGGGTTACACAAAAACTACCCAAACACTGGGTTGTTACGCCTGACCCAGGATCTGGGTTACACAAAAACTACCCAAACACTGGGTTGTTACGCCTGACCCAGGATCTGGGTTACACAAAAACTACCCAAACACTGGGTCGTTACGCCTGACCCAGGATCTGGGTTACACAAAAACTACCCAAACACTGGGTCGTTACGCCTGACCCAGGATCTGGGTTACACAAAAACTACCCAAACGCTGGGTCGTTACGCCTGACCCAGGATCTGGGTGACACAAAAACTACCCAAACACTGGGTCGTTACGCCTGACCCAGGATCTGGGTTACACAAAAACTACCCAAACGCTGGGTTGTTACACCTGACCCAGGATCTGGGTAACACAAAAACTACCCAAACACTGGGTCGTTACGCCTGACCCAGGATCTGGGTAACACAAAAACTACCCAAACACTGGGTCGTTACGCCTGACCCAGGATCTGGGTTACACAAAAACTACCCAAACACTGGGTCGTTACGCCTGACCCAGGATCTGGGTTACACAAAAACTACCCAAACGCTGGGTCGTTACGCCTGACCCAGGATCTGGGTTACACAAAAACTACCCAAACGCTGGGTCGTTACGCCTGACCCAGGATCTGGGTTACACAAAAACTACCCAAACGCTGGGTCGTTACGCCTGACCCAGGATCTGGGTGACACAAAAACTACCCAAACACTGGGTCGTTACGCCTGACCCAGGATCTGGGTGACACAAAAACTACCCAAACACTGGGTCGTTACGCCTGACCCAGGATCTGGGTGACACAAAAACTACCCAAACACTGGGTTGTTACGCCTGACCCAGGATCTGGGTGACACAAAAACTTCCCAAACACTGGGTTGTTACGCCTGACCCAGGATCTGGGTTACACAAAAACTTCCCAAACACTGGGTCGTTACGCCTGACCCAGGATCTGGGTGACACAAAAACTACCCAAACACTGGGTCGTTACGCCTGACCCAGGATCTGGGTTACACAAAAACTACCCAAACACTGGGTTGTTACGCCTGACCCAGGATCTGGGTTACACAAAAACTACCCAAACACTGGGTCGTTACGCCTGACCCAGGATCTGGGTGACACAAAAACTACCCAAACACTGGGTCGTTACGCCTGACCCAGGATCTGGGTTACACAAAAACTACCCAAACACTGGGTTGTTACGCCTGACCCAGGATCTGGGTGACACAAAAACTACCCAAACACTGGGTTGTTACGCCTGACCCAGGATCTGGGTTACACAAAAACTACCCAAACACTGGGTTGTTACGCCTGACCCAGGATCTGGGTTACACAAAAACTACCCAAACACTGGGTTGTTACGCCTGACCCAGGATCTGGGTAACACAAAAACTACCCAAACACTGGGTCGTTACGCCTGACCCAGGATCTGGGTTACACAAAAACTACCCAAACACTGGGTTGTTACGTCTGACCCAGGATCTGGGTTACACAAAAACTACCCAAACACTGGGTTGTTACGTCTGACCCAGGATCTGGGTAACACAAAAACTACCCAAACACTGGGTCGTTACGCCTGACCCAGGATCTGGGTTACACAAAAACTACCCAAACACTGGGTTGTTACGTCTGACCCAGGATCTGGGTAAAACACTACCCAAATCCCCCTTGTCCAGTGATCACGTGGCTGCAGATGAAGATGTTTTGTCGGTCTGCTGATGTCAGCTCATGTACGGTGTGATGAGCACACGCAGCTGACGGACAGAAATACTCTCACAGTAACTGTAACTCTCCTCTATTTTTAGCCGAGCCGGAGCGGCTGGAAGGGAAGCGCTGGGAACACGGGCAGTGTGTGTGTGTGTGTGTGTGTGGTCATGACCGTGGAGAACATGGATCCAGTGGAAGTGTTCGCGGCCGGAGAGAAAGGTCGTGGGCTCCGGGTCACGAAGCAGCTTTCAGCAGGAGATGTGGTGTTCGCTGAGGCTAGCTTCGCCGCCGTCGTGTTCGACAGGTGAGCTTCACAGGCGGGGTTTCACAGGTGAGGTCGGGGTTCAACCGGGGACGGCTGACCTGTTAATCCTGATCTTCTCTTCAAAGGAAAACAGGGTTTAAACTCGGAGATGCTGTAATAACTCAATGCAAATTCATATTTTATCCCATAAAAGCATGTGTTCCTGCAGTCGGTGTGTGGATGTTTGCAGGCTGAGGATTAAACCAGTCGAGATGCTTGAATGGAAATGTGAATCCTTGCACCCGGTTATAGTCGCTCTTTCTGTCTTTATTCAGTCGCTATCGTGTCGTTTTCAGCGGGAGAGAGTCCACTCTCATGTTTCACCAGTTTCACCTCTTTCACACAAACACACACAGCGCTCTTGACCTTTTTTAAAAATATAACAATAACAATATGGGAATACGAAGTCATACAAAACACTTGAATCTATATTTTTTATGTCAATCCTACATCTTATACGTCAGGTCTCCAGTTCAACATCTTTACCATTGTTCTGTGTGACCTGAACACAAACACACCTGCGATCGATGACATCAGTCTTCAGTAACGTCATCTTAAAATAGACAGTAATGTAAGTCACATGACGCCATCATTCTAAGCGTGCAAAGTGACACCAGAAGATTGAGACGATTTATAATTTTGTCATGTGATTCCCTGTTATAGTCATGTGATCCTGCCATGTGTCTCATGTGTCATGTTCTGATTGGTTCATTGTTTCGTGGTCATCAGTGCTCGTGTTTGGCTTGTCACTGGCTCACGTCTTGTTTCCTGTAACCCTGTTGGGCAGATTGGGTTCATGTTCACGTTGTTTTAAGTGTGATCGTGTGATCTTGACTGTTTTGTAATAACTGGCCTCCAGTAGATCACCTGTTATATCTGCATCATATGGAAAATTACATTTTTATGACTGGATTTTTCTTAATTCTCTCCTTAATTTCTCTGGATTTCATTTTTCGTTTAAAAACTTCATTTTAAATTTTAAATGTTTCTAAATTTTGTTTTAAAAGTTAAATTAAATGTTAGTAATCAAAAATCACTGGCCTGTGTTGTTATTGTCGGAGTCTCTGAAGCTTGTGTAAAGGCTCCGCCCTCTTCTGAACGGAGGCGGAGCGAAACCTCATTTGCATTTAAAGGGACACACACCAAACTGGCGCTATAATGAATGATCTGGTGTTTTGAGCTGAAATTTCACACACACACATTCTGGGGACGCCCATCTCATCTGGTGAAAAGGGTGTAATATGTCACTTTTAAATAATCAAAAAGGATGTCTAATCAATTGAATTCATAAAACTTTAACATTTATAAACATTTAATACAAATTACATGACATTTCATGTTATACAGTAAATTCCATTTTACGGCTGGATTCTAGGGCCCTAATAAACACCAGTTAGCATGAGCGTCGCTAATAAGCTGTGTTTGGGATGAGGACGCTGCAGTGTAACGCAGATGTGTGTGTGTGTGTGTCAGTCTCTCTCGGCAGGTGTGTCACAGCTGTTTCCGCCGGCAGCCGAACCCTCACCGCTGCGCTCAGTGTAAGTTTGCGCACTATTGCGACCGCACGTGTCAGCGCGCCGCGTGGGACGAACACAAGCAGGAATGCTCTGCCATCAGGAAGATGGGAAAAGCTCCCAATGAGAACGTGCGGTGAGTCCGGTCATGTGACCTTCTTGACCTTCAGAATGTTCCAATGAAAACGAAGCATTGTAAATGTAACATGTTTACATACTGTGATGATGCTGAAACAATGTAGCGCTTCAGTGTTCGCAGTAAACATTTGCTGTCAGCGAACATCCCGACGACGTCCACATTTAGTGTTGAGCTTTCGAATAGGACATAAATATAGAAATTATTAAAGTCCCACTGTAATCAATAACTTTATACCTTAAAACTCACCTTTGATCACTAAAATTTACTGTTTTTTCCTGAAAAAATTATTTATACTTTAAAGTGGTCATGAACTGGCTTTTTAAATTTTATTATATTGTTGTCTGAGGTGAACTTATGACGTTCGCTTGGTTTTTGCATTCAAAAATATCCCTAGTTTTGAGCCTAGCTGAAAAACGCTGGGTTTTTATGGGCGTCTCGCTCTGAAGACTTGGAAGTAAACGCCCACTGCTGTGAGTGGAGAACAGTTTTGCATATTATAATGAGTTTCGACTCACCCGTCGGTGCACAAGGGGGAAATTGTTTTGAAAACGTCCAATTTTGTAAAATGGCGACGGGAATGATTCGACCCAGAACATGTTGCACCATTCCCGTCAGATCCAATATAGACGGCACAGCACCGTTCTTTACTCTTAATCAGCTGGAACGTCATCAAAAATAAAGTTTATCCATGAAGTCCTATTGGAGTCCAGAGGAATTCTGTATCGCTCGGTAGAACGATCCGGTTTGTCATCACGAGGTAGGCATCTATGTTATTTAGCTATGCGTGTAATGTGCGAATCAGTGGGCGGGGCTAAATAGGCGTTGATCTTCTTCTGCGGGGGTGGGGTTTTATCCTCTTTGTCGTCAACTTTGAAAAACCAGTCGTTTCCTCAATAAAAGCTTTTATTGGACTAACAAAGACGTTTTCAGTTCTGAAACTTACAATATGATGACCTCTTAGATGTCAAAAGCTCAAGGAAAATTTGATTTCTCAGTTCATCACCCCTTTAAAGTATCTTGACTGTAACTCGACGTAACGTGTAATGATGATCACACGTTGATCCGATTGGTTGATCTGCCGTGAACCAAAGACGGTTTTTGAAATCGCTGGAAATGAAACATTTCTGGCTGAACCGTCCCTTTAAGAAGTGTTGGTGACTTTATCCGAAGAAAATAAGTGTTCTGAATGTCCTGTGATGTCAGTCTGGCCGCTCGCATCATGTGGCGTATCCAGAAGGACACGGGCCTGGTGTCGGACTCTCAGCTCACGACCCTTGACCTGCTGGAGGATCACCTGACCCAGATGAGCCCCGATGACCTAAAGGAGCTCAAGGTCGACGTGCAACACTTCTACAACTACTGGCCTAAGAAGAGGAGAGCCGTCGGGGAGTTATACGTGTCGCATCTCTTCGGGGTGGTAGGCCGAGATCCATACACTCCTCACAGTGTGTGTGTGTGTGTGTGTGTGTGTGTGTGTGTGGTAGGCAGAGATTTGTCACATCTTGGTTCACGCGTCCCGACTCTGATGAGGTGTGTGTGTGTGTGTTCCTCAGATTAACTGCAATGGCTTCACGCTGAGTGACCAGAGGGGTCTGCAGGCGGTGGGCGTCGGCCTCTTTCCCAACCTCTGCCTCGTCAATCACGACTGCTGGCCCAACTGCACTGTCATCCTCAATCACGGCAGGTGTGTGTGTGTGTGTGTGTGTGTGTGTGTCATCATGTCAGAATTCCTGAAGTGATTCAGCTTAATGTGTGTGTGTGTCTCTTGCAGTCAGACGGCTCTGGATGCTTCATTCCACTCAGAGAAGAGGTGGGTCAGTTAAACACTAATATTTGACCTTTGACCCCATCATGTCCATGTCATTCTTCACGGAGAGCAACGTCTAAAGCCTCTGTGACCTTCTTTCTCATTTCCGATGAAACACACGGACATGAGAATAAATGTTCAGTAAATATTATGTACAACATCTCCAGTCTGACAGTTAATCACGAGTTATTGAAGGACATCGTGTTTCCTGGTCCGTCACAGTCATTGCTCTGGAACTGAGTCACGTCTTCATCGGGAAATACTTTGATTTGATTTAACACGGTGTTGCATGTGAGTGGCAGAAATAGCTTTTTGGGATTTTTGGCTTTTGGACACAACAACTACATTGTACGTTTATTTTAGGAATGCAATGACATTAAATTAATCCCTTAGTTTTGTAAGACTGAATTATGGAAGTTTCATAGAAAAAGATTAAAAGGGTAATTGTCCAGCTGGCCAGATTCTCTCAAAGTTATGAGCAATTATTCCTCCAGTAACAACAATAGAACATTTGATCAAAGTTATCTGATCTTTAATAAAGTTCTCGAAACATTAGCACAAACGTGTTGATTATTCATGCTTTTTTCTAAACCTTTTAGTTTCTGTTCTTTAAACGGCACTACTTTTTCATTTTATTCTGGGTACATTCAAAACGTTCCAATAATAATTGCAAAATGATAAAATAGAGAAAACATTCCCTTATTGTTCTCTCTAACATTCCTAATCAAGACAAAAAAGTTTGAACTTTCTGAAAACATTCAGAAATAAAGTTTTCATAACGTTCGTAAACGTGAGATGGGTGCGACTTGATGTTTCATAATTCAAACTGAATTGCATGACATGGAATTACGAGAAATAAAGTACACATTTCAAGACAAATTGCGAGATATGAACTCAGTTGCGAGAAAAAAATCAGAATTGCGAATTATGAGGAAAAAAGTCTGAATTGTGAGATGTAAACTTGGAATTACAAAAAAAACCTATAAATTGCCAGATCTAGATTTTCAATTGCAAGAAAACGTCAGAATTGTGAGATAAAAACTTGCGATTACGAGACAAAAACATAATTGCAAAATCTTAACTCGCAGTTACGAGAAATAAAGTAGGTAATGTGAGAGAGAAAAGTTTCAAGATCTAAACTTACAATTGCGAGAAAAAAGTTATAAACTTGGAATTACAAGAAAAAGCTCTGAATCGTGAGTTACCCCGAATTCCGAGAAATAAACTGTGAATTGCCAGAAATAATTGCAAGAGAAACTCAGAAATTACCAGAAATAAAGTAATAAAGTTGTGAGATAAAAACTCAAAAAGAAATTGCAAGATAAATTTGGAAATTAGAGAAATAAAGTAGCCTATGAATTGCTTGATAAGCAAACTGAAGCTCACCAGCTTACTTTTGATATGAAACAGTCTCAACTTTCACATTTGGTCATTTTTTAAAGAAATTTTAACAATAAATACGTTTTACGTTTTGTCGCTTAAGTTCAAATGCACAGACTTTAATCCACAGACTTTAATCTACTAACTCTCCTGGCGGCTTTGTCGGACAAAAATGGCGGATTCGGCGGATGACCGATCATATCGCCTGTCAATCAAAATCAAAGGGTGAATTGCAAGAAGTATAGTCAAAATTAAAAATCGCAAATACTTTTTTTTTGGTGGCAGAAACAAGCCTCCACTCTTCTTGTTGTTGTTGTTGTTGTTGTTGAAGAAACAGTGTTAGCTCACAGACAGCATGTGTGTCTCTGTGTCCTCTGGGAACGCCGTCAGGATCGAGCTGAGGGCTCTGGGAAGCATCTCCGAAGGGGAAGAGCTGACCGTGAGTTACGTGGACTTCCTGAACGTGTCCAAGGACCGGCAGCGGCTGCTGAAGCAACAGTATTACTTCGACTGCAAGTGTGAGCACTGCACCGGCGGCATTAAAGACGACCTGATGACGGCCGCCAGAGACACGGACGGACAGAAGGTTCGTATCAGCCAGAAACACTGACCTCAAACAGCTTCTATATAAAAATCATATTCCTAGTTTGTATAACGGCGTGTTTTTCTGTCCGCAGCCGTCTGCTGAAGTGCTGAAGGAGGCCACAGAGTTCAGTCTCCAGGCTCTGGGCAAGATCGAAGAGGCTCGTACTAGAGGAAACTTCCACGAGGTCAGTCTTCAGAACTGCGGGATATAATTTATTTAATTTTTTTCATTCCGACGCGGAAACAAAGTTCCAGTTTTTTGCTTAGACAAACTGATGAAAAGTTGATTTTCGTTTATAAAAGGCAGTTTGAGTAAGAGTGTTGCGGTCGCGCTTCTGTAGGTGGTTAATCTCTGCCGCGAGTGTCTGCAGAAGCAGGATCCGCTGTTCGGAGACACAAACCTGCACCTGCTGCGCGTCCTCGGCATCGCTAGCGAGACGCTGTCCTTCCTGCAGCAGTTCCCCGAGGCGGCCGGACACGCACAGCGCGCGGTGGAGGGATACGCGTGAGTCTGTGTGCTAAATCATGCTAGCAACCTGTTAAAACATTCTAAAACGGTGCTAAATCTTGCTAGCTACATGCTAGAACTGTACTATAGCTATCATGCTAGCAATGTGCTAGATCTGTAATAAATCATGCAACCCAAATGTTAGCAATGTGCCAATTCATGCTATCAACTTGAAACTAGAAACTTGCTATCAGTGTAATAAATCATGCTAGCAACATGTTAAGACACGCTAGCGATGTTGTAATTCATGCTAGAGACATGCTAGTCATAAAAAACATGCTAGCAGTGTGTGCTAGTAATATGATAAATCATGTTAGCAAACATGTGGTCATGCTAGCAAAGTGCCAATTCTTAAAACATGTCTAAATTGTGCTAAAACATTCTAGCAACTTCATTAAACATGTTAAAAATGTGTTTAAAATAGGCTAGCAAATTGCTAAAACATGGTAGCATCATGTTAAAACATGCTAACAAAATTTCCAGACAATCATTTCCCTGTTCCTGGTCATAGGAAGCTTTACCATCCCAATAACGCCCAGCTGGGCATGGCCATCATGAGGGCGGGCGTCACGCACTGGCACGCGGGGCTGATCGAGGCCGCTCACGGGCTAATCTGTCGTGCATACGCTATCCTCCTGATCACACATGGAGCTCATCATCCCATCACCAAAGACCTGGAGGTAAAACACCACAGCGGCACTGGTGGCTGATGTGTGACAGATGTTGAATGTTACCGTGGGTAAAGTCACTGTCCCAGACAGCAACATTGTGTCGGCCGAGATCCAGCCGACATTGGGGGTGTGTTAAATCCATGTGTGCCAGATGTGTCTCAGATGTGTGCCAGATGTGTGCAAAAGGTGTGCTAGATGTGTATCAGATATGTGCCAGGTGTGTGCCAGGTGTGTATTAGATGTGTGCCAGATGTGCATCAGATGTGTGCCAGATGTGTATTAGATGTGTGCCAGATGTGCATCAGATGTGTGCCAGATGTGTACAAGATCTCTCAGATGTGTATCAGATGTGTGCCAGATCTCTATCGGATGTGTACCAGATGTGTTCCAGATGTGTGCCAGATGTGTACAAGATCTCTCAGATGTGTATCAGATGTGTTCCAGATGTGTGCCAAATGTGTGCTAGATGTGTGCCGGATGTGTGCCAGATGTGGACCACATCTCTATCGGATGTGTATCAGATGTGTGCCAGATCTCTTATCGGATGTGTGCCAGATGTGTGCCAGATCTCTATCAGATGTGTATCAGATGTGTGCCGGATGTGTTCCAGATGTGTGTCAGATGTGTGCCAGATGTGTACCAGATCTCTATCGGATGTGTGTCAGATGTGTGCCAGATGTGTACCAGATCTCTATCGGATGTGTGTCAGATGTGTGCCAGATGTGTACCAGATCTCTATCGGATGTTTGCCAGATGTGTCCCAGATGTTTGCCAGATGTGTCCCAGATGTGTAGCAGATTTGTAACAGATGCGTATTAGATTTGGGTCAGATTTAGGCTGACACTATGTTGCTGTCTGGGGTGTTCCTCCTGTAACAGAGTTGAACATTTGACCTTGATGAGGCCATTGTGAATGAAATTCTGATTCTGATGATGATGATGATGATGATGATGATGACTGTTTGTTAGACATAAGTGTCACTTGAATATGATGTCAGGAAGATAAATGCATTATTATTAAAGGGAAAATGTTACTTCATAACAGACTAATTCAAATTCAAAAAAGACATTTAAGAAAAATATATACTGTAGACAGTGAAAGCATGAAATTTTAATAGCAATTAAAGCAAAATGATGTTACAATTATTTGACCACAATTCAGCATTTTACAGTTTAAATCTACTGATATTACAGTAAATGAAAACATTATTTTAAAGGCAGAACTACTAGATATCGCCATTTCCTCAGTTGATTAATCACAGTATATTAAGATATTACATTTTTTAATCTACAGATGCAAATAGATAAAGTGCAATCAAATATTTAAATGTGTTTTTTAGATGTTTTCTGTCTGATGTCATAGAAGCAAAATAGACCTTAAATCTGAGCTGAAAAAACATTGGTTTTATCTTGCCTTAAAGCAACTAAACCGAATTAAATCTAAGTTGAGTAAGTCACACACACAAATGACAGTTTCCTGAGAGTCTACAGGCTGAGAAAGATTCGATGTTGGGTTTGTGAGAGTTTGTTTATTGTGAGCTTGGATGAAGTGTAATGTGTGTTTCAGGCGATGCGCACGCAGACAGAGAAGGAGCTTCGTCTGTTTAAGGAGAACGAGTCGGTCTATCGAAACATGAGAGAAGCTGTTCTCTCAAGCAAACCCATGATGAGCGTCGCTGGAGAACAAGTGCCAATCAAAGCCTGATCTAAGCAAGAATCTGCTCTCTAATAAAGGCGTTTTCAACAGATCACATTGTGGAGTTTTGATTCAATCTAGTCCAGAATATCACCAAACATGTGCAGTGAGCCTGTCAGGAGATTCGCTTGCTGATCCTCTTGTACACGATTCCATCGAAGCTGAGAGTCTGAAAGCACACGACACTGGTTTCATAAAAGCGTCAGTGATGAGGATGATGATGATGATCAGTGTTGTGAGTAACTCATTACAAGATACAAGTAATCAGATTACTTTTTCAAGTAACTAGTAAAGTAATGCATTACTTTTTCACATTTATTAACTGACAGCTCTTCTGTCTCCACTGTCTACTGTACTCGCAACATGACATCATGACTTTTGCGTAAACATACACGCCACTTTCGAGTCAAGTGCCGTGTTCTCTCTACGCATTTTGAGCTATCCGCGTGTATCCGCGTGTATGTCTACGCCATTAACGTCCGCGTCATTCCGCGTGTCTGTACACGCCGTCAAATGTCCGCGCGAAACGAAGCAAAATGTAGATCTACATCTGGGGAGCGATCTTTTTTTTTCCTATGATGGTAAAGGCTGATTTATACTTCTGCGTCGAGGGTACGCCGTAGTGTACGGCGTTGGCTACGCACGTAGGCGACGCCGTTGTGAGCATTTATACTTCTGCGTTCAGGTATTGGTTGCTCTGCAGTTCTGCTCCGAAACGCTAGGAAGCGGCGGAGGGTTTTAATGTTCCACTGTGTTTAGATTCCTCGCGGCTAGGTTACTACAAGCAATAGCGACTGAAAGAGAGTGGATCATGTTGGAGTTGGAGCTTATTGGGGTGGAAAAACAGTTCATTTTAGTGAAATTACTAAAACTGAAAGGCAGAAATGAGAGAAGACGTCGGAGGAGATGGTACGTGTGGAAATGCGTGAGAAGGTACGTGCGGAAATGCGTGTGAGGAAATACGATGCTACCAAGCCGACCAATCACCGATCTTGCGGTCCGCGTCGTCGCGACGTGTAGTTACATTTTTGAAGAGGTGCGCGTCAGGCAACGCGGAAGGGTACGCGGTATGGGACGCGTCTGTGCGTATGCTACGCCGTACCTACTGCGCGCACCCTACGCAGAAGTATAAATTGGCCTTAAGGGAACAGTCATAAACGCCATTAAAGGACAACTCCGGCGCAAAATGAACCTTTGGTCTAATTACACATTGCTACCTAGTCAACCGTTATCTGAGATTTGTTTTCATGGTTGCCGAATGTAAATAGTTTTATCTCTAAAAACAGTTTAGCCTATAACGCTAGTATAATGCTATATATAGGGCATAGAGTAATGACAAGTAAAAATCGCTTGTTATTACCACTAACAAGGCTCAAAATAGCCCCACTGTAAAACGACAGCATATTAAGGGTCCCTACATTCAAACCGAAGCATTGAGAACTTTGTCAGTGTCCATACAGTTTAATAAGAAGATATTTTATACACACAGTCAACTTCGCGAATACAGGAAGAAGCCATCTTTGAAAAATAGTCTCTACCAGTCGATCTACGAACGCCGATCCAAGTGCGCTGGTGAGATGTGAATAAGGTGATAAGGTGAGCGCGAACAGTAGGCTACGTGTACATATTGAAGAGAAGAAAACGGTTCGTGTTTGTGTTTCTTCCGAAAACAACAGATCATATGAGATTCTGCTCAGTTCAGCGCACTTGGATCTGCGTTCGTAGATCGACTGGTAGAGACTATTTTTCAAAGATGGCTTCTTACTGTATTCGCGAAGTTGACTGTGTGTATAAAATATCTTCTTATTAAACTGTATGGACACTGACAAAGTTCTCAATGCTTCGGTTTGAATGTAGGGACCCTTGTTATGCTGTCGTGTTGGTATGGGGCTATTTTGAGCCTTTTTGGTGGTAATAACAAGCGATTTTTACTTGTCATTACTCTATGCCCTACTAGCATTATACTAGCGTTATAGGCTAAACTGTTTTTATAGATAAAACTATTTACATTCGGCAATCATGAAAACAAATCTCAGATAACGGTTGACTAGGTAGTAATGTGTAATTAGACCAAAGGTTCATTTTGCGCCGGAGTTGTCCTTTAACCCCAGTGACGGGTAGGGTTAGGGTCGGTCATATATTTATATATACAGTAATAACGTTAAGTCAACGGCGTTCATAAACACACTGAAAAGCGATTATGCGTCTTGATAGCGCGCCAAAAATGGAAATACGAATTGGTGTGTCATACACACGCTACTTCATAAATATGCATTTCCTTTAGTCTGAGGATTATTCATTTAACTTTTGCCAAAATAGAACTTTTTTGATGTTATTGAAAAACAAACAAGCAAGCCCAGCCCAGGTGAGAAAAACTATAAGTAACGCAATATTGTAATGCATTACTTTTAAAAGTTACTTTCCCCAACACTGATGATGATGATGATGATGATGATGATGATGATGATGAGTCTGCACTTACATTACTGATAGTGTCTCCGTCCAGCTCGGTCACAGACTCGATCCCCTTCACGAACACCGTCAGCTTATTCCCATCCATGTGAACCACCGTCTGACACACACACACACATCAGCAGATCTGTGACATCTCATCAATCACACGAAACCTGACGTCATAAAATATGATTTAATCTACTCAATTAATCAATCTACTCATGTTTCACTCCAAAATTATGAATCAGTCTATTTGTTGAACACTTATACGCTCCAAAAATATCAATCTACTGATATTTCACCCCACAAAAAATGTTTCACTGGATTAACCAATCTACTCATATTCTACTCATGTGATGTGTGTGTGTGTGTGTGTGTGTGCAGATGTGTGTGACCAGTATCCACCAGCACCAGTTGGAGTTAATATGATTATTAAGCGCACCGCTGTGATATACGGCTATCAGAGGTCTTGAACACTGGCTGGTTGTGTACTTGCTCAACAATTTATTTGGGATCATTTTTAACCCAAAAAAGCTCCGGACTGCAGCTGTAGAGCCACTTAAAGTGACCGATGTTTCTTGTTGTGTGGATCTGACCTTCTCCTTGTCCCCCGTGAGGGTCTCGAGCTCGCACTCCTCTCCCACAGTGAACGAGTACAGGATCACTTTCGTCCCGGCCGTCACCGTCACCCGGAAGTCCTTCCCGTCCTGATGGATCTCCGAGATGCTCTTCACATCTCTGCCTTTCCGGATCTCCTCCTCCGGCAGTCCTGCGACACCAGACCCAACTCATCAAGCCCGTGTTAAACGCACGAGATTACATGCTCATCACAGGCTTACCGATGGCCTTCATGAACGCCTCGAAGTTCTCGTGTGACTCCAGCTGATACTTCCCACTGAACGCCATCAGAAGCTGCAGACATTTACAGTACATTACATTTATTCATTTAGCAGACACTTTCATACAAAGCGACTTGAAAATGAGAAGATGAACAAAAGCAGTGAAACTAACGGACTAAACTAGCCTATATATATATATATATATATATATATATATATATATATATATATATATATATATATCAGTGATGCGCGGGTTGATCCGAAATGAGCGGGTGCCTGCGGTCACCCGCAGTTACGGGTCATCCAAAAATGTTTTTAATGATATTCGGGTCGCGGTCGGTCGGGTCGTTTGAAAAAAAGATGCCAATTAAACATTTGTATATAGTACTAGACACAGTTTTTGATGAAATATACAGCCCTACACATTATTGGCTGAATAACTGGCACGAAGATAACACACGAGCTCAGTCTAAACAGTTCTCGGTTCTATACTAGTGATTCGAGAACCGCTGTGCCTGTGCGTTCGGTATACGCAGTATCAGCTGCTCGTGCTGATCACTTCTCTCAACAGTGGCAGCAACATGTCTCGGTTCAGTGAACTGTTGGAGTTACTGGAGTAAAATATAATTCAGGATATTGATTTATTTCGATTCGGAGGCGACTGTCAGGCATGTCTGAAAGTGAGTAACTTTAGTAACTTGTGGATCAGCACTGACGCAAGACGCCAGAACGATTCAGTTCGAGTGTACTGGTTCGACCGGTTCACTAAAAAGAACCGGTTCAAAAGAACGATTCGTTCACGAACCGGCCGTGTCTACGATGATCACTACAGTCTGCAGAGAGATGGAGGCGGCAAGAGAAAAGGTGAAGACTGGGGAGTGGAAGCTCCGCAAACACACAAATAGAAAGAGTAAAAGTGTGGGGGACATTTGCTGAAATAATGAAAGATGATGACCAAAGTGCTGGCTTTGCCTTTGTTATGTGTAGGCCTACGTCTTCTTGCGATGCTGTGTTGTTACACGTCTATCCCAATAACGCTCCGATGAGCATTTACTACTTTAAAAAAATGCGGTCAGGAAGCGGGTCGGGTACAATGTTTTTTTTTTGCGGTCCGAGTTGCGGGCGGGTAGTTGAAAACGTCGGTCGGTTGCGGGTTGTTTATACATTGACCCGCGCATCACTGATCAGGACACTATAGTTCATTAATGTAAGTGAGGAGAGCAAAATAAAGTAAACTTTGACATATATTACACCAAATATTCTTCAGTAACATTTATACAAATTTAGGAGCAAATATTATTCCTCCACTTTGAGCTGATGATGTTCTGCTGAAGTGTGTTTTCTGTAAGTGCTAATGCTCTTTTACACACACACTGAACAACATGAAGCATGGTCACTGGTTGAGCTAAACTGCTATTATCTAATTGTGGAGTTCAATTTACCAGATATTCAACATAATTCATGTGTGAGAGTCCAACAGAAGGATGGACAAAACCAGTCAAATATCCACTGATTTATCATATTTTATTACAATTTTCTAAACTACAGTGAATAAACTGAGAGCGATGTTGAAGCTGTGTGAGTGAATGTTCCTTTGACTGTAGATGCACTCCACAGAAAAATGAAAATCTGTGTTTATCAGGCTAACAAACATTTCACTAACATTCCCCTCGATAATATGATAATGTTATGTATGTTATGGTTCTGTAAGATTGAACCCCGCTGGACTTACCGCTGATCAGGTCGAGAGGATCCGCAGAAATGCGGAGTTTCCACAGCGTTTCTCACACTCAATGCACAATATGATTATATAAAGACAGATTATGATTAAGCTTCAGTGTGGAATAAATGTCCAAAGGTTACTGTGAAATAAAGACATTCACTCAACTTTGATTAAACGCTGTGAACTTTTGATTAAGCGGCTCTAAGAGTTTCAGACAACAGTGATCTCCAATAAATAATAAAACACTAAATAAATAAAAAAGAAACTGTATAAATTATAAACCGAGTCTGATTCATAACTGTCATCAATCACTGCACTGCTTTGATATTTTTGTACATTACCTCTTTCATAAGTTGTTGTTTTTTTAATTCAATTGAAAAGAATATAAATTACACCTATATGCACTAAATCATATAGCCGGTCTATTTTCTTCTTCTTCCCCTGGCCAATAACAGTGTGTTCATTTAAATTATTGATTGATTGATTGATTGATTGATTGATTGATTGATAACAGACTCTTACAAATAAAGGTTTCAAAAGTTATTTTTTCTTAAAATAACAATTTTTTTCTTAGTATGGAGAACATTTTAATAGTATTCAATAGGAGATTTCCATGGATTTGAAAGGTATAATGCCAATAATGACTTCTGAAAAAAGTAATCAAGGTTTGAAGGATTATATCTGTGTATAAATATATCTGTGTAGTTATATCTAGTGTCTTTTAAAACTAAATCCACCCCAAATAAAAGATAAAGTGAGACAACTATCCCGGTGTCCCCTACAAGCAAAACTGATCAGCTAGTATAACCCCAGCTATATTATTATAATGAAATTCCTTTTTTTTTTTCTTTTGATGAAGCACTTTCCTGTCATTTCAAAGGCAGTAATATGACCATGAAAATGTCTGAGACAAATTTAATAATTACAGCTATTATATATATGTCTCATCGGAGATCTGAATCACTGCAATGTAAACATTCTCCTGTCATTCACTGTTTAATAGTGGGATTCGTTGCATTTTTTTACGTTTTGTATTGCTCGCATTTCATTCAACTAAATAAAATAAATAAAAAAAACGTTCTCCTACTCCCTGTGTACCTATGGCTGTGTGGAGTAATACAAATCACGTGAGAGTGACGTCAGTGCTGCTTTTCACAACATAATTTAGCCTACATCCGAAAAAGGACTCCAATGACTTTAACAATAATTATCTCGAAAATATACGGTGAAACGCAACAGAAGTACGAATTATTATTATTATTTAGACTAATTGCGTCCGATTCACCAAGTCCCGCCCGACGCGATGCCGAGGTTGCCAGATCCGCGGAACAAAACAAACTAAACCCAATGACCCTGTCCCACATATACCAAACCACGCCCATTCCTAAAATACATCTTTATAGTCACTTTTATTCGTTAAACACAACTTCAACTTTAAATCACTATTTAGATCACTATATAGTTGTAATCTTAAAGTATTATTTGTATTATTTGTCAAAGGCAGTTTCATCCTTCACAAAACACATAATCTAGCACAATATTATCATTGATATAGAATTTAAAATGATTAAAATCATACAATACAAAAAATGTCATTCAAATACAATACTCGCAATAGCTATGTCAAACATTTATTAGCCTAACTCAGAGTCTAGAAATCCCACAGGACTTGGCAACCCTGACGTGGAGCTGCAGTCAGTCAGAGTTACTGTAGACTCGAACACCTCAGGTACTGATTATTAACTTAGAATTATAGTTTGTGAGTGACGAGTCACTTTTCTTCTTCTTCTAATGTAATCGCTTTTTGATTAAAACGCATGCTAACTGCTAAATGTATAATATAAATGAATACGAGCATGAATGTAAAGTCAGGCGTAAAAACAAACTGGAAACCGCTGCAATAAATGCGAGAGAAGGATTAATAATGTCGACCTTTGATCTTCACATGAGAACTTATCAAATCATGGACTGATTTCTGCTTGTTTGGGTGTTTTTACGGTGTTAAACTTCTAATTGCAGAAATATAATATACAATCGTAGACATTTCTGTATCTTCATACTTGATAAAACAACATAAGATTATGAACAGAGATTAAAATCAGTGAATATAGACCTGGGTTGTTATAGTTAAACTAAAAACATGTTTGTTACTAGACTAAATATTAACTGAATTAAATATATTTGTATTTTTATTATTTTATTCAAGCTTGTTGCAAAGAAAACATTTGAAAATAAAATTAATAAAAACAATATACTTACTAGAAAAAATAAAACAAATGCAAATGACAAAACGTTTTAATACAACGAAAACAGAAAAGATATAAAACTTTCACTGTGACAGTATTGTTGGGTTATCAATGTTACTAAATGTGAACTAGTTCATGCCGTAAAGAAAAGTTTGTACAAGTAGCTGTGTTTTTCAGTGTTTAGTAAGATAATTTTTAAAAACTTTTACAGTAGCTAGTTGCTAAGGAAACATTTTAATTAAAAAAATGAATAAAAACTATAGACTTATTAGAAAAAAACTAATGCAAAAGACTTTTATCAAACTTATGTTAAAACTTATGTTTAGCTTTATAAATGAACTAGACTTGAGACTTGAAAACTTAAAACGAAACCAGAAAATATAGATAACAATATATGTTAAAGTATCTGAATATGATCCTAAAATCTCTCATATTGTTGGGTTCTGCATGTTGGTGGATGTGAACTAGTAAAGGTAAGTTAGATTAAGTATGTAAAGTGTGTTATTCTGTGTTAGTGAGAGTGTTGTGTGTGTGTCGCCCCGCAGGATGCGCTACAGCAGCACACGTGCCGGCGCTCGCGGCCGCAGCTTCAGAGACGCGCTGTTCTCCGGATACGCTCCCGACGGAGGGATGTTCATGCCGGAGAACATCCCGATGCTGAGCGCTGAGACCCTGAGCACCTGGAGGAGCCTGTCCTATCAGCAGCTCCTGTGTGAGATCTGCAGTCTCTACATCCCTGAGCAGGAGATCCCCAGAACACACCTGCAGGGTGACAACACACACACACACACACACTCCATCTTATCATTTTAAACGCCTGACTACAAAAATCTCAGCTGTAAAATCCATGACCCAAACACACAATTATGATGATGTCCTCATGATAATGTTATGTAGCCGATATGACAGCCTTATGAACCGTATTTCCCTTTTTTGAAGTGATTCCATCATATTTCGAGCGCTTCATCATCCTCATGTTGAACAGCGCACATCTGTGTGTCAGCTGAAGGAAATAACACATTATTTATCGACTTTAATATATACAGTATAAGCCAAATGTTCTTATCGGGCCGATAACGATAACATTATATAATCAAGCCGATACCGATATGGTGGATGGTACATCATGCATCCCTAGAATTTTATTCTTAGAATTTTACATAATTCAACAAACACACATTAAAGGCAGTATTGAGTTATATGGAAGCTTGTGTCCGCTAGGAAAAAAATAAGAAAGGTAATTGCGACTTCAACTAGTTTACTTTAATTATAAATTAAACTAAGTGGAGATTCTGAGTTTATATCCTTTCAATTGCAAGTTAATGTCTCACAGGTCTGAATTGATCTGTCTTATAAAAAGTTGAATTATAATTCTGTTGGGGAAGTTATGCTAGTGTATCAGTGGCGTTTCTGTGTGTCCATAGAGCTCATTGCACGAGCGCTGTCGAGCTTCTCCGTCCCGGATGCGGTGCGACTGGTTCATCTGAAGGATTCTCTCTCCATCCTGGAACTGTTCCATGGAGAGACTCTGGCGTTTAAGGATCTGGCCATGACCTGCACCGCTCAGTTCCTGCAGTACTTCTTACGCAGAGACGGCCAACGGGCCACAATACTTGTAGGTAAGGAGTAACGTCCGTCTCAGATCTGCCCCAGACAGCAACGTAGTGTCGGCCCAGATCCGGCCCACATCTGGCCGTGAGGACGCAATGTGTTCACCCACTGGATTTCTGGAATCTGAATTCTGAGTTTAAATCTCGCAATTCTGACTTTTTTCATTAATTCTGACTTTAAATCTCGCAATTCTGAGTTTAAATCTTGCAGTTCTGACTTTTTTCATTAATTCTGACTTTAAATCTCGCAATTCTGAGTTTAAATCTTGCAGTTCTGACTTTTTTTTTCCTGAATTCTGACTTAAAATCTCGCAATTCTGACTTTTTTCATTAATACTGACTTTAAATCTTGCAATTCTGAGTTTAAATCTTGCAGTTCTGACTTTTTTTCCTGAATTCTGACGTTAAATCTCGCAATTCTGAGTTTAAATCTTGCGATTTTTATTTTTTTCTGCAATTCTGTCTTTAAATCTCACAATTCTGATTTTAAATCTCACAATTCTGACTATTTTCCGGAATTCTGAATTTAAATCTCGTAATTCAATTTTTTTTCATTAATACTGACTTTAAATCTCGCAATTCTGAGTTTAAATCTTGCGATTCTTGTTTTTTTTTTCAGAGTTCTGAGTTTAAATCTCGCACTTCTGACTTTTTTCATTAATTCTGACTTTAAATCTCGCAATTCTGAGTTTAAATCTTGCAGTTCTGACTTTTTTTTCCTGAATTCTGACTTAAAATCTCGCAATTCTGACTTTTTTCATTAATACTGACTTTAAATCTCGCAATTCTGAGTTTAAATCTTGCAGTTCTGACTTTTTTTCCTGAATTCTGACGTTAAATCTCGCAATTCTGAGTTTAAATCTTGCGATTTTTATTTTTTTCTGCAATTCTGTCTTTAAATCTCACAATTCTGATTTTAAATCTCACAATTCTGACTATTTTCCGGAATTCTGAATTTAAATCTCGTAATTCAAATTTTTTTCATTAATACTGACTTTAAATCTCGCAATTCTGAGTTTAAATCTTGCGATTCTTGTTTTTTTTTCAGAGTTCTGAGTTTAAATCTCGCACTTCTGACTTTTTTCATTAATTCTGACTTTAAATCTCGCAATTCTGAGTTTAAATCTTGCGCTTGTCATTTTTTTCTGGAGTTCTGTGTTTAAATCTTGCAATTCGGACTTTTGTTTCGAGAATTCTGACTTTTAAATCTCGCAAGTCTGCCTTTTTTCCGGAATTCTGACTTTAAATCTCACAATTCTGTCTTTAAATTTCGCAATTCTTATTTGTTTCCGGAATTCTGACTTTAAATCTCGCAATTCTGTCTTTAAATTTCACAATTCTTATTTGTTTACGGAATTCTGACGTTAAATCTTGCAATTCTGAGTTTAAATCTTGCGATTTTTATTTTTTTCCCGCAATTCTGTCTTTAAATCTCACAATTCTGATTTTAAATCTCACAATTCTGACTTTTTTCCGGAATTCTGATTTTAAATCTCGCAATTCTGAGTTTAAATCTTGCGTCTTATTTGTTTCCGGAATTCTGAATTTAAATCTCGCAATTCAAATTTTTTTCCGTAATTCTGAGTTTAAAGCTGGCATTCTTTTTCCAGAATTCAGAATTCAACGCAATAAGATTGACCAATCAGAATCAACTATTCCAGACAGCAACATAGTGACGGCCCAGATCCGGCCCACATCCGTACACATTCCTCACGGCCCAGATGTGGGCTGGCTCTGGGCCGACACGATGACTGTGGGTCCGTCTCGTGTCCTGCGATGGAGATTCAGAACTGATGTTTTCCAGGAACGTCCGGCGACACGGGCGGCTCGGCCATCAGAAGCGTGCTGGGTCTCAGTGAAGTGGACATCGTGGTGGTGTTTCCCCGCGGACGGGTCACCAGAGTCCAGGAGCTCCAGATGACCACCAGCGCCGCAGACAACGTCCATGTGTTCGCAGGTAAACGGGAAACGCGACTCTAAAAACGTAGGTTTTGTGAAATCAACTTCAAATTTGGGACACAGCTAGGTTACACATATGGCTTCTATCCAGAAATCATGCTTTAAATGTATCAAAAGTAATGTTACAAAAGATTCTATTTCAAATAAATGCGGTTCTTTACAACTTTATATTCATCAAAGAATCCTGAAAAATGAAATCTATGACGGTTTTCACAGAAATATGTGTTTAACACTGATAATAATCATAAATGTTTCTTGAGCATCAGATCATCATATTAGAGAGATTTCGGAAGGGTCATGTGACACTAAGACTGGAGTAATGAAGCTGAAAATTCAGCTTTGATCACAGGAATAAATTACACTTTACTGTATATTCACACTAATATTTATATAAAGGAATATTTCACTGTTTTTACTGTATTTTTGATCAGATAAATGTGTGTGTGTGTGATGCAGCGGACGGGACGTCTGACGACATTGACGTGGCTCTGAGGAAGCTCTTTGCGGACCCAGAGCTGGTTCGACGGCACGGCCTCATGAGCCTGAACTCTGTGAACTGGAGCCGGATCCTGGTTCAGACGGCTCACTTTCTGTTCGCGTTCCTTCGGCTCAGTGGTGGAGACGGAGAAGACTCGCGGGCCGAGCTGGAGGTGCTGGTGCCCACAGGAGGAGCCGGGAACATCACCGGTGCGAAACCTCACCAAACACCAACAATCAAGAGATTTAATTAGGCAATAATTATATCCCTTAAAACTCATCTCTGATCACCGAAATGACATATTTAACCCGCTGGTGCTCCTGGCGCTCAGAGACGAGAGAGTTTCCTCTAGTGGAAGCGTGTGGAACTGCAGCCGAACAGCATCTCACTGAGAGATCAGCTCACACACCAACACACACACTGATGGACACTTACCAAGCAGATCTTCATGCAGCTTTACAGTAAAATGTCATTTTGAATCTTAAATACATTTTTTGCATTTTTCATAACAATTCACATAAATTCTGTAACTTTTGAAACATTTTCAGTCCAGCAATAATCTGCCGAGTGTCGTCAGTCAACTTCAGTCTGTCCTCTAAAGCGCTCCAGATTCACCAGTTTAAGATGGACATTTAGTTTTCAGCTCTATGCTCAAAAAGTGAATAAATCATTATAAATACAGCATCAATATAATAATTAGGACAATAAAATCCCCTAAAAATACAAAATATTGAATGAAAAAATTACCAAACTAAAATATAGTACGGAATTCTGTTTTAGGACTCTGTTATAGAGCTGTGTGTGTGTGATGCAGCAGAAGTTTGTCTGAAGGATGATGATTATGGTGTGTGTCCAGCGGGATTCATCATGAAGCTGATGGGAATCCCTCTCCGGCTCGTTGCCATGGTGAACTCCAATGACATCGTCCACCGCGCCGTCCAGAGTGCAGACTTCTCAATGGCAGACGCCGTCCAGCAAACCCTGGCTCCGGCCATCGACATCCAGGTGTGTGTGTGCATGTGTGAGAGTGTGTGTGTGTGTGTGTGTGTGTGTGTGTGTGTGTTTACACCTGTGTGTGTTCACAGGACCCGTATAACATGGAGCGTGTGTTCTGGCTGCTGTCGGGTAGAGATGGTGCGCTGGTGAAGAGTTTGATGGAGGAGTTTCAGCAGACGCACACACTCACTCTCCCGGCGTCGCTCCATCAGCAGGTGAACATCAATAACACAATCACATCAACAACACAATCACATCAATATCACAATCACATCAATAACACAATCACATCAGTATCACAATCACATCAATAACACAATCACATCAGTAACACAATCACATCAATATCACAATCACATCAATAACACAATCACATCAATATCACAATCACATCAACAACACAATCACATCAATATCACAATCACATCAATAACACAATCACATCAATAACACAATCACATCAATATCACAATCACATCAATAACACAATCACATCAGTATCACAATCACATCAATATCACAATCACATCAGTATCACAATCACATCAACAACACAATCACATCAATATCACAATCACATCAATAACACAATCACATCAATAACACAATCACATCAATATCACAATCACATCAATAACACAATCACATCAATATCACAATCACATCAGTATCACAATCACATCAATATCACAATCACATCAGTATCACAATCACATCAGTATCACAATCACATCAATATCACAATCACATCAGTATCACAATCACATCAGTAACACAGTCACATCAGTATCACAATAACATCAGTATCACAATCACATCAGTATCACAATCACATCAGTAACACAATCACATCAGTATCACAATAACATCAGTATCACAATCACATCAGTATCACAATCACATCAATAACACAATCACATCAGTATCACAATCACATCAGTAACACAATCACATCAGTAACACAGTCACATCAGTAACACAATCACATCAGTATCACAATCACATCAGTATCACAATCACATCAGTATCACAATCACATCAGTAACACAGTCACATCAGTAACACAATCACATCAGTATCACAATCACATCAATAACACAATCACATCAATATCACAATCACATCAATAACACAATCACATCAGTATCACAATCACATCAGTATCACAATCACATCAATATCACAATCACATCAGTATCACAATCACATCAATATCACAATCACATCAGTATCACAATCACATCAGTAACACAGTCACATCAGTATCACAATCACATCAGTATCACAATCACATCAATATCACAATCACATCAGTATCACAATCACATCAGTATCACAATCACATCAATATCACAATCACATCAGTATCACAATCACATCAATATCACAATCACATCAGTATCACAATCACATCAATATCACAATCACATCAGTATCACAATCACATCAGTAACACAGTCACATCAGTATCACAATCACATCAGTATCACAATCACATCAGTATCACAATCACATCAGTATCACAATCACATCAGTATCACAATCACATCAGTAACACAATCACATCAGTATCACAATGACTGGTGAAACTCCAGCACATATTCCAGACTCCAGTTTAACTGCTGTAAACCAGCTAACAAACATGTTCTAAGAAAGCTAACGTTCTCATAGAGTTGTGTAAACCTTATTTCTGTTCAAGTTTTTTCTTAGTTATGTGAACGTTAAGGGAACATACGCTTTCATTCCATTCTGTTTCTGAACATTCAAAGCGTCAGGTTTACAAAACATTTTTCTTTGTTGAGGAAAGTTTCATTGTGTTATTCTTCAGTCATTACAGAACCAAAGTTTCTTTACAGAAGGCGGGAATAAAATCAGTTTGTAAAAAGTAAAAAGTAGTATGTTTCATTTCATTTCAAAAGTAGTATGTAAAAAGTTTCATTACAGGAAGAAAGTTTCATGTGTCATTCTTCAGTCATTATGGACCGTTACTTACGTTTGAATGTTCTCTGATCGTTCTGAAACAAGTAACATTTAAAAAAAACGTCTGATGAACTTCCAACTGAAACATTTCAGAATTAACGCTCCATGAACGATGTATAAATAATGATGTTGTTCTAACGTTTAGAGAACATTATTAAAGACCAGATCACTCTGAATGAGCGTTCTATTAACGCTACACTGGAGGAACATTGTTCATAACTTGTAAACAGAGAACAGTGTCGTTATTCAGATCAAATCAGTGCGAGCTGGAGGATAATATACTCACATTGATTTCTGTGTGAAGTGTTGTTGTTGTTGTTGTTGTTGTAGTTGTGTGAAGTGTTGTCGTCGGGGTCGGTGTCTGATGACGGGATCCTGGAGACGATGAGGAGATGCTGGCAGGAGAATCACTATCTCCTCTGTCCTCACACCGCTGTGGGCGTGTGGAGACACTATCACTGTCCCATCATCACACCGGGACAACACAGGTCACACACACACTATAACACACACACACACTATAACACACCGCTGCTAAGAACAATTTATTATTTATTGATCAAATCTATTAATTTAATGTTAAATAAAATATAAGATCTCCCAAAAAAATGTGCATATTTTTTTTAAATATCGAAATTAATTAAATGTAGCTTTTTGACAAAAAATAAATGTTACAAAGTGCGAGGGGAGGATGAGGGATCATAAGGCAGAAAGTCGTGCCGCTTCCGTTCTCAGCGTTACGACATCATCATTATTACAAAGCTTCGTTAACTTCGCACTGTAATTAAGCTCTATGTGTTCAGATGTTGCATAGCGACCGCATCACCGGCCAAGTTTCAGGAGGCCGTGCACCAGGCCGGGTTGACCCTTGACCTCCCTGAAGCAGTGCTAGCGCTAGACGCGCTGGAGTCGCGGTACGAGGTTCTGGAGCGATCGGACGACTGGGAGTCGAGACTGAGACGCCACATCGAGTCCATCGGAGACCGGAGGAAGTGAAGCAGATCTGCACACACACACACACACACACACACACACACGCATAAAATCGTGTCCAGAGACGAGAGAGTTTCCTCTAGTGGAAGCGTGTGGAACTGCAGCCGAACAGCATCTCACTGAGAGATCAGCTCACACACCAACACACACACTGATGGACACTTACCAAGCAGATCTTCATGCAGCTTTACAGTAAAACGTCATTTTGAAAGTATATGTTTTGCATTATTCATAACAATTCACATAAATTCTGTAACTTTTTAAACAGTTTTCAGTCCAGCAATAATCTGCCGAGTGTCGTCTCTGAGAAGAGATCAAACTTCAGCCTGTCCTCTAAAGCGCTCCAGATTCACCAGTTTAAGATGGACATTTAGTTTTCAAGTGAATAAATGGATTATAAATACAGCGTCAATATAATTCAGTAGCATAAAATCCCATAAAAATCCAAAATATTACATAAAAACAGCTAAAAAAAACTATAGTACATTACTTTCATTGAACAAAAACGGAGGATTAAAGACTCACAGCAGGTTTTTAATAATGAATGTCGTGTGTATAAACTAATAAACATGATCATCAACTGTGTGATTTTACTGACTGCATGAAGTCCTGATATAATGTGTTTTTATAATGCAGTTATCCAGAGATCGGCTTTCTCATGCCCAATACACACAACTATTATTGTTTATGATAAACCTTTACAGAACGTGTAAGATTTTCCTTGTGTTCAGACCTGGCTCACTGAATTATCAGCCCAGAATATGCATTATTAACACTTTTCCAGAATATTAAAAAATGAGTGTATAATGCGTATCTCATTGGATGCTGAAGCTCGTTGTTCTGCGGTTCTGAACATCATTCTGGACAGTTTCTGCACTAATCAAAACTGCAAAATTCACCAAAACCAGTGACTAATATTCGTTTGCACCTACAATAATCATGCTTAAACTTAATCATCAAATGTAAACAAATATTTTTATATAAAATATTTTTGGAAGTTTTTTTTTAAACTCCTGACTAAATCTATTTGTATATTTGTGTCAATATTTTTAATTGTTCTGAATAAACAGAATCTCACTTTGAATGTGTGTGTGTGTGTGTGTGATAATAAAGGTGAGTGTTTAACTTGAGAAGGTTTATTGCCGTATACATGTTTTAGTGGAGCTGAACATGTGGACTTTGGTTGTTCTGGTGTTGTAGCTCATACACACTCTTGTGATGAACACTGGAGTCAGTTTAAACGAGCGTCACTCATTGGTTAATGCTTTTACTCTTGAATTGGGCTAGTTTCAAATAAATTGCATAAATTATATCAGACTGAAATGCTTTGGAACATATTACTCATTTTATACTCAACCAATGATAAAACTACAAGATGATGCCTAGATTTATCTGTGTGAATTCTGTGGCTGTGATGAAATACACTAGAACAAAAATAGTTTTAATAGTTTAATATCTGCACATACAGCTATCATCAACACAGTTCTACTCATATCTGCTGCTGTGTGTTAGCGATACACATATCTAACGGCTATACAAAGTTGGTTTACAAAAGGTCGATGATGGTTGGTTGGTGGGCGGGCTCCTCCTGAGATGATGTCACGCCTCTGTGAGCGATTCATTAGTGGAGTCTGTAGGGGTGGGCGTGGCTTGACAAGTGCAGGAGCTTCATCAGCAGATCTTGGCTCGTGGAAGCCGCTCCGTCGCCGTCTCCGTCCACACACGACTGATCCACACTGCAGCCCTCTGATTCACACACACACACACACACACACACATTCTGTATGGTGAATTTTACAGGCCAGACAAGTAATTTGGTGAGGTCAATATGTACAGAAACACGCTTATTACAGACTGAACACGTCGTCACGTGATACGCATGTGCGCGCCATCTGCGTTCACAGGTTTGCTAAGTTTACGCAGATGATAATGTTTTTGTTTTTGTTTTTTCAAATTAAAAGCTTGCAAAAAAGCTTGCATCTTGCTTTCTTGAGTATTAGAATTAGAGAATATTGTCTATATTTAACAAAATTATCTATATTTTTTTGAAAAGTTGTGTATTTTTGTTGTAAAATACCGACCTGAGAATCGCTTTACCTGACAATATTTGACCAATCATGTTGTATTGTTTTCTATCAGCTCATAACTACAGATGCCATATCAATGAACAAATCACTGTATTGATCTAAAAGGTCAGAAAGGTCTGAAATTGTTGTGATTCAGTTTGATTTATTCGGGCATTCACCCAATCCAAAACTTGTTTTCCAATCCAAAAAAAAAAGACACTCTATAACAGTGTTTCTCCACTCAGACCTCAGTTGTTGAAACTGATTTTTGAAGAAAGAAAGAAAAAATCCCTTAAACTAATCACCTCAAAAAAAGTGAGGCGCATGAGCTCAAACTGTGTGACAGAAAACAAGTTAACAAGAAGATTGAATCCAATGGACAGCAATATAGCGGATCTGGGCCGACACGGTTTCTGTTTCACTGTGTCACGAGAGATTTATGAGCAGTTTTTTGTAGGCGGGTCATTTTTGACCCTGAACAGCACGAGTGTAACAAGAAGTGTAACAACCCTCGGTACCCGGACAGCAAGATAGTGTCAGATCCGGCACACGCTCATTCCACGTGGGCCGGCTCTGGGCCGACACTATGTTGCCGTCTGAGTATGCAAAGTCAGTATAGGGTTTTGTCCAGTGAAAAAAACATCAACTATCATCTTCAGGAAAAAGAAAACCCACATGAGGGTGAATATACTGTATGAAACGGGTCGAACTAACCTGCGTCACAGCAGACCCCTGGAGCAGCGCAGCGGCCTTCGTAACCGCACGCCTTTCCCGCCGCATCGCAGGGCGTCGGCAGAAGATCCTCCTCCTGACAGCGCAGGGTTTCCGGCGAGCCGACCAGGCAGCCGATGCCGTCACCACAGCAGATACTGGGCCCGAAACACCGGCCGCGGTCGCCAGGACCACACGACATGCACTAGAGGACCCGGAGGACACGTCTCAGGAGTGTGTTCTGCTAGTTTCAGCCCGACGCTGTTATCATTTTCACGTCTTGTGCCACGTTGTTTAAATAGCAAATGCATTTGCACTCACACACCATGAGATCTCGTGTTCTGCAATGAGGTGCTACTGGTTTTTTCTGCTTGTAAATTCATGTAAATAGCACATGTGTTCATGTAAATTAAATGGAATGGGAGACGGGACTCGGATTGGTTTTTTACGCGACACGTTATGCCCAAAACACACCCATTACTCATTAAGAGAATCGAGACGACACTTTTAGACCATGCACCTGGGAGCGCCGACAATTTTCCTCGTCTTAAAACGAGCAAAAGTGGATTCGTACACTGTAAAAAAATATTGTTAGTTTAACTTAAAAAAAGTAAGTAACCTGGTTGCCTATAAAATTTTAAGTTGATTGAACTGGAAAAAGTGAGTTAATGCAATGAAGGAGATTAATTTAATCATCAGAAACTCGAAATAATAAGTTATCTCAACTAAAAAATTTTTTTTAGGTTGATTTGACAAAAGAAAAATGTTGTGATAACAAATCTGGATTTTTTTTTTTTTTACAGTGTACCATGCGCTTAGATCTTTATAATAGGGTCCAAAGAAACCACGATCTCTGATATTTTGAATTTGGACTGCAGTACCTAGTTTCACCACTAGTCATTCCTACAGTCATACGCTCCCAGACAGCAACATAGTGTCGGCCCAGATCCGGGTACCAGATGTTGCTGTCTGGGAGCGTATGACTGAATGACTAGTGGTGAAAGTAGGTACTGCAGTCCAAACTCAAAATATCAGAGATTGTGGTGTCTCCCGCCTCTGCAGACTCGACGCTCACACGGATCGCCAGTTTAAAACACGCAAACAGGACCGAGCGCGATGGACAATGAAAATTGGCACCGTCCAATATCACAGACCAACACACTAACACACATTCCAGCCTGGAAACACACATTTCAAAGTAAAATAACTGGCTATACAACAAGTGTTTTTCAGAGAAACGAGCATGTGAACTAGGCATGTATTTTAATGCTTTAGTGGAGTGTTAAAGTTACATACAGCACCTTTGAGAAGCAAATGAACATACCTGTCGAGACGGCCAATCCTGTACGGCCCGTTTGCCCCCGATGGGGCAGTTGGAGATGTAACAGGCCGAGCAAATGGACATCAGACACAGCAGACACACCACCGTCAGCAGAGCTCCAGACATATCTGTGCCGTCAGAAACACAACACTAGTCCAAATATCAAACATTTCTTAAATCAAGATGCATTTACTGAAATGACATAAGATATTAAGTCTTGTTTTCTGGGGAAATAGATCAAAATAAAGTGAGTTAAGTGAGCAAAATTATCTATAATTTTTTTTCTGACCCCATTGGCAGATAATTTAACTTTTTTTAAGCATCAATTCACTTAATCTTGATTTATTTCCACAGAAAACTTAATATTTTATTCATCTAGTAAATGCATCTTGATTTAAATTTCTTTAGATATTTGGACTGGAAACTGAGTGAGAAAAGCATTTGTTGTAGATAAAGTGGCAGTACTCACTTCAGCGAGGCTGAGATGGCCAGATGTGGAGAAGAGGTTTTGAGCAGCGATGTTCATTTGTGCGGTGTGTGTGGAGACTGTTTTATAGCCCGTTGCTCTCTTTTCTGCGTGATATTATCACATTATTAACTGTTAGCTTCAATCACTGAGCCTTAACTATCTAAATGTTAATGCTGTGACCTGATGAGGTCAGGACCGGTCACTCGGGGGTGTGCGTCATTAGCGGCCCGTGATCCGGCATACGGGAATTAAAACAAGAGCTTTCTGAAGCGTCACTCTTAAAAAATAAAGTTTCCAAAAGGAGCCTTTCGTAATGTCGTGGTTTTGTTGGCACTCAGACATATACATTTTAGTATTATTTAAGTATCAGCTATTTGACGTTTGGTTTTTGATCATTGAAATGGGTAAAATTCAACAATTTGAAAATAAAGTCGCATCCCAATATACTGTACGTGATTGAACCATAAAGGGCCTTTAAAATGTTTAGAAATGTTTATTAATAATGAGAATCTAAAATCATATTAAGATATCTTTAATACTTTTTGAGAGACGGGCATACTATCTATTGAGATCCATTTCTAGTTTTAACATTATTTGTTTATTATAGATATTCCTCCAAAGCTGCATCAAGATGTTCATATCTCCGGGATTAAACCATCGAGATCATGAAGAAAGCAAAAGAAATGTTAATCTAAAGTGATATTAGCCTAAGACTGTATGTAATTTAAGATATTGAGATATATTTAGATATATAGGCCTATATATATATATATATATATATATATATATATATATATATATATTGAGTTAGGGATGCAAACTTGAGGCTTTTCTTTTTTACCTGCTGTAAATTAGCTCCAAATCTCAGGTAAAATATTTATTTTTGATCCCCCTCTACAAAACAGTGGATTACTCAGTAAATATTCATATATGACATTTAATTAAATTTAATTGCCTTTCTTCTTAATTGATGTATTTCTTTTACCATATAAAATTATCAAAATCAAAAAAGTTATAACAATAAATAAATAAATAAAGATAAACATTTCTTAAAATATCAGAACATGAGCATAATGTAATATTTTTAAATGAGATTAACTCTCACATTAGAAGTCTTGCTGTGTTTTTTACTTGTATTAAACCATTCGTTTTCAAGACATTCAATTGGTCACCAGTTGTTAGGCATCTTTAATTTCAACGATCGCTGCGCTCTAGTCTAGAAACACACAGGATTTTAAAAAAAATTGCTCTTTTATAGTTCTTTTATCTTGTTACTTACCGGAAATAGCCAAGGAGTCTGGCACGCGCGCACACACACACACACACACACACACACACACACACACAAGCTCTTGAAGCTCAGCAGCAGCTCATTTGCACACAAAACATGTTTTTGATGAAAACATTCCAGGATTTTCTCCATATAATGGACTTCAATGGGGTCCAAACGGTTCAAGGTCCAAAAGACAGTTTCAGTGCGGCTTCAAAGGGCTTTAAACGACACCAGACGATGAATAAGGGTCTTATCAAGCGAAACGAGCGGCCATTTAATAAATAAATAACAAAGTTTACGTTTTATAAGCTCAAATGCTCGCCTTGCTCTGTTCTGTGATGCGCGTTCGTGACTCTCCTGTTCAAACTCGTTCATCAAAATGAACTAATTTTTTTCGAGACATTTCATTCATTCAACGAACAAAATGAACGAAATGACTTGAAAAAAGATTTGTTCATTTTGTTTAAAGCCCTTTGAACAGTTTGCACTGAAACTCTCAATTGGACCTTGAACCGTTTGGTCCCCATTGAAGTCCATTATATGGAGAAAATCCTGGAATGTTTTCATCAAAATCCTTAATTTCTTTTCGACTGAAGAAAGAAAGACATGGACATCTTGGATGACACGGGGGTGAGTAAATTATTATCATCAGCAAAAGTTTTTTTTAAAAAGTGAACTACTCTTTTAAGTTCTGCAAATGACAATAAATAGGACGTTTTGAGAGAATGTTCTTGGACACATGGCATGTTCTGCAGTGTTCATATGTAACTTGTGAGAGCTGAAATCAAAGGAATAATGAGTGCTAAAGTGATTAATCCGTAGAGTCACGGGCTAATGACAGAATAGTCACATTTAACACGTCCCCTCTGCTTTTCAATCATTTATCTCTAATTAGCCTTTAATAGGTCACATATCCCATGGATTTAATCAAATTATAGATTATTATCTCGGGTCAACATAGGCAGCCGTTGATGAAAAGTCACGTGCCGCTTTTACCAAAGTAATTGTTTGATTCCTTTGAACACGTTTGGGTGATATCGTTCATCAGTGAGTCATGGAAACTTACTAGTGAATCTTTAAATCAAAGTCCTACTGTGGTCAAGCTACAAAATCCAGCGTTTAATGTTGTTTATGTGTGTGTGTGGTGTGTTTAATACGCTTATACACCATGTGTGTGTGTTGATAAGTGGACAGCATTGCTGAGTATTTCCTCCTTAAAACTGCAGCGAACCAAAGACAGTCTCTAAAACACGCTTTGAAATCGCTGGTGTTTCTGACGTCACAAACCACCTTGTAACCAATCAGATCAACGTGTGATCGCCAACCAGTGGATCTCTGAGTGAGGGTGTAGAGGCGGGGCTCATTTGCATAGGCTATTCGTAGAAGAATCATGCAAACTAAATGAGACAAGTTACATTCAAGATATTTTATGGCATTTTTCAAGGAAAAAAGTTTAAATGATCTAAGATAAGTTTTAAGGGATACAATTGTTGACTTCAGGGCAACTTTAATACACCAGACACTTTTTGCTAATGCTATTTTGTCTTGATGTGTTTCATGTGGACACAGTAACAAGCTTCTGTTTCTACACAAACACATCCTTGATTTTTATGTGGCGATAAATGTCATGTGACTCCGGACCTGCAATAAAAAGATGACATCATGTCAACATTGATTAGACACATGGTGTAATTACAGTATTAATTACAGCAGGGGCTAATGGGGCCATTATTGACCCTTAGGGTCCATCATATCAACTTCTGACATTACCAGAAATGTGAGTTTGGGGCTATGATACTCTTTATTTTTTGGGACACTACAGTAATCACGCATTGAAAGTGAATTTATTTAGCGTTTCTTAGCTTAAAATTCAAAATCATAGGCTACATTGACCTATTTACTTTAGTTAGTTGTTTTCTTTATTCATTCATGTATTAGAAGTGTGTCGGTCTCCACCCTTCTATGATATCTCTATGATCTGCTTCAGGTTTCAGCTCCACCTGCCCGGTGAGCGCGAGGCTGCGTCCCAACACCTCTCGAGTGCCCTACCCAGTGCGCAGCGTCAGTGGAGCGTGTCATAGGCGCGTGAGGCAGGCCCGTGTTGCCTAGGCAGCGGCCGAGTTGGGTTTGAGCCGCGGCCCGTGAGGTGAGAGTGAGAGATTCAACATGGCGGCAGAGTTTCGCTCTCTGGCGATGAAACACCATCAACAGTCATGAATGAAATCGTAATATCGCATTAAAACAGCCTCAGGACGATTTCCAATCGTTTTGTTTTACATTTTCAATATCCTCTGAAGGACATTATATGATATTTTGTGTAATCGCGAGTCGATGGTTGTAACGTAACGTACATTGATTAACGCGGTAACATTCGCCCATTAATGTCGTGTTATTTCTCATCGGGTTAGTCTGACGGATCTGAGGAGAAAATGTGCTTCAGGTAAATGTGTTTTCCTCTCGTTCTGCTTTGTTTTTGTCCTATTCTCCTGTGTTGTCGTCGTCTGATCTCTGACAGTCAGCTGATACACGGTCATTATGCAGATTTAAAGCAAACGCGTCTGAATTTATTCATAATATCGTGCAAAACATTACATTTAAAACAATTACACTGTTCTACCAATTTTGATTTAATCCTAATGCTATATCACAGTGTTTATCACGGTTGTTTCCGAATAGAAAAACAAATTAAGTTAGTCATTATTTTATTTTCAATAAGCACAAATAAGATCATGTTCACGGTGTGATCAATGTAAATAATGTAAAGCACTGATATAGATTTAGTGATTATTTTGTATGCTTTACACTGTTGTTGTTGTTGTTGTTGTTGATGATGATGCACTCTAATCTGACCTCAATATTACTGAAAAACACTGCACTCATATTCTCACTGAATAAACCCATGGAAGCTTGTTTGCTTCGGAGTAAAAGATAAAAAAGGTAACTTTTTATCTTACTTTTTTTCTCTTAATTGCCAGTTTATGTTGCACAATTTTGAGAAAAAAGTCCAAATTGTGAGATAAAAATATAATATAGCCCAGATAATATTAAAAACCAGGCTAAATAACCTTTTTATTTTGTATTCTGTTGCATTAGTGGCGTGTCACGTGGCCAGTTCCTCCCAATAGTTAAACAAATGCATCAGTGCCTTGTTTAAACACCACCCATCTTGTGTTGTAGTATTGTAACATAATTCTTTTATGTTATAATAATTCTACTGCATGTCTAATCAGATGCCGTCTGACTAACCCGAGACAGCTCTCATATTGTGAGCTGGAGTGTGATGGAGTGACTGAGGGACACAGGATAGTGTAGTGTCCGTTTTACATATCGCAGTGAAGCCTGTGTTTTGCATTTGTTTGAGTTTGAGGGCATGTGCTGGATTCCTGACGCGTGTAGAGTTACTGATGTGTGTAGAGTTACTGAGAGCTCCAGCGGCTGTTCTTGACTTCATTCACTCTCTCGGTGTTGCGAGAAAGAGTTGTTCAGCTGTTCCTGTGCATTTTTCCTCAATAGAGTATTGAGGGAAAATGCTCCAAAAATGTTTTATTAAAAATTACAAAAAATAGTATTAAAATGTAATAAGCTTTCTGGACAAAAAAAGAGGTAAGATGTGTCACTGACGTGAAATGAAGCTGCTGTTGGTTTCTTCTGTGTAGGTGATTGAGATTAGCGGCGTACCTCAGGGCTCCGTCAGCGGCCCGTTCACGTTCACCATGTCCGCGGTCCCGAAAGCTCCTGTTCCCTCGGGCCGGGACGATCTCTCCATCTCGTCTCTGCTGTCCGGAGACCTGGAGGAGGAGGAGGAGGAGGGCGAGAGGGCGGAGGGGGACCTGGCCGACCTGGAGGTGAACCCGTACGACGGGCTGCCGTTCTCCTCCCGCTACTACAGTCTCCTGGAGGAGAGGAAGCGGCTGCCCGTGTGGAGCCTGAAGTTCAGTCTGCTGGAGCACATGGAGGAGCACAGCATGATCGTGCTGAGCGCGGATGGAGGCTCGGGGAAGAGCACACAGGTGGAGCATCACACACACACACACACCCTCGGGTTTAACATGAACACTCGCCACATGTTATGATGTTTACTCTCTCTCTGCGTGCGTGAGTCAAATCTGCGCAGATTTAACACAAATACTCGTGAGTCATCTGATCAAGATATACTCTATTAAATATTGTTCAGAATCTGCTAACTTGAACACACGCGTCACTACGCTACACATGACAGCACTTGTTCATTAGCATTGAAGCAATAGCGAAGATTAAAACGCATTTGGGGAACAGACATTTATTTTCCAACATCCTTCTTTTTTTCTGATGTTTTTTGTACTGTATTGATATTGATCTGTCCTATCTGTTCTGTTCAATCCCAATCTTTTCCATTCTATTCTATTCAATTCCATTCTGTTCTATTCTATTCTATATTCTATTCTATTCTATTCTATATTATTCTGTTTTAGGGTTTATTCAATTCCATTCTATTCTATTCTATGGTTTTATTCAATTCAATTCCATTCTATTCTATTCTATTGTATGGTTCTATTCTATTCTATGGTTTTATTCAATTCCATTCTGTTCTATTCTGTGGTCTTATTTAATTCCATTCTATTCTATATTATTCTATATTATCCTATTCTATTTTATGGTTCTATTCTAATCTATTCTATTCTATGGTTCTATTCTATTCTACGGTTTTATTCAATTCCGTTTTGTTCTATTCTATTCTATTCTATTCTATTCTATTCTATGGTTTTATTCAATTCCATTCTGTTCTATTCTATATTACCCAATTCTATTTTATGGTTCTATTCTATTCTATGATTTTATTCAATTCCATTCTGTTCTATTCTATATTACCCAATTCTATTTTATGGTTCTATTCTATTCTATGATTTTATTCAATTCCATTCTGTTCTATTCTATATTACCCAATTCTATTTTATGGTTCTATTCTATTCTATGATTTTATTCAATTCCATTTTGTTCTATTCTATATTACCCAATTCTATTTTATGGTTCTATTCTATTCTATGATTTTATTCAATTCCATTCTGTTCTATTCTATATTACCCAATTCTATTTTATGGTTCTATTCTATTCTATGATTTTATTCAATTCCATTCTGTTCTATTCTATATTACCCAATTCTATTTTATGGTTCTATTCTATTCTATGATTTTATTCAATTCCATTTTGTTCTATTCTATATTACCCAATTCTATTTTATGGTTCTATTCTATTCAATGTTTTTTTTTCAATTCCATTCTGTTCTAGCTTAGTTTTGTTCGATTCTGTTGTATTCTACTTTAGTGTCCTATTTCATTCTGTTCTCTGACCTGGCTGTTTGTCTCATGTGTGTGTGTGTGTGTGTGTGTGTGTGTGCAGGTTCCTCAGTGGTGTGTAGAGTACGCTCTGTCGCACGAGTTCTCTCAGGGTCTGGTGTGTTGTTCTCAGCCGTACGCGGCGGCCGCTTCCAGTCTAGCGCTCAGAGTGGCGGATGAGATGGACCTGAGTCTGGGGTTAGAGGTCGGCTACAGGGTCCCTCACGAGGACGGGTGCACCCCTGACACTATCCTGAGGTACACACACACACACACACACACACCCTAGTCTGGGGAACCTGGTCCAATCATGGCCATGATTTTATGTGTTCACACAGTAAGAGCCAAAACCAGTGGTAAAGCTTGTGCTGTAACTCTGCAGGTTCGTGACGGACTCGCTCCTGCTGGAGGAAATGATGTCAGACCCTCTCCTGCGCCAGTACGGGGTGTTGGTGATCGACGAGGCTCAGGAGCGCACGGTTTCCACGGATGTTTTGCTAGGGCTCCTGCGTGACGTGTGCCAGCAGCGCCGCGAGCTCCGGGTGCTAGTGCTAACCGATCCCGCCAGCGCGCACACCTTCGCTAGCTTCCTGGGAGAGAGCGTGCCTCACCTCAGCGTTCCCGCGCCAGCCTCCAGCGGCGAGATCCTGTACCGGGAACCGCCCACAGGACGTGACCTAGCAACCGCTTCCTGTCACATGATCCTGGATCTGCACCGCAGGGGGGAGCAAGGAGACATTCTAGTGTTCCTCCCTAGCGTTCAGGTGTGTGTGTGTTTATTATTTATTTATTTAACCAGAAAGGTCCCGTTAATTACGCTAAGAGGTCATAATTAACCCTTTTGTGCAGGTTTTCCTGCTTGAATGTTGATTATTCTCCTCATATTCTCCATTGTTGCGGCTCCTCTCTTCCCAGTCTGTCAGTAACGCTCTGTTTACTTCCTGTCGCCTTCTGAAAAGCACACTGTGCTCTGATTGGTCGAGCGCTTTGAGTGTGTTGGGGAAATGCCCCGCCCCTTTCCATAACCGCCAGTTTAACACTCTACTAACTAACTCAACCAATCAACCGATCAACATGTGATCGTCAACCAGTGGATCTCTGAGTGGAGGCGGGGCTCATTTGCATATTCATAGAACCACGCATACTAAATGAGGCGAGGGTGTCGAGTTACATTCAAGATTATTGGACAAAACCATTTAAACTTTGGTGATGAAAGATGAGTTTTAAGGGATAAATGATTGACTACGGGGATGTTCAGAGGTGTGTTGTTGTGCTCGTCAGGAGATCCAGGAGTGTGGAGCGGCGCTGGAGAAGGAGTGTGTCTCTCTGAGCTCTCATCTGTCGTCTCTGCGCGTGATGGAGCTTCACACCGGCGTCGGAGGCGCGTCGCAGGAGGTTTACGAGCCCGAGAGCGCCGAGGACGAGCAGGAGGACGAGCAGGAGGATCCGGCTCACAGACGCAGGGTCGTTCTCACCGACGCCTTGGGAGAGGCTTCCTTCTCCCTCCGTAACGTCCGATACGTCATCGACACCGGCGTCCAGCTGAAGACCGTGAGTGTGTGGAGATCGGGCTGAAAAGCTCAATACTGCAGTGTAAAAAGTGCTGTGTGGTCTCCTGTGTCCACAAGAGGGCGCAAGCGAGCCGAGGATTCATTTTGTTGAAATGAAACAACATTCTCTTTTTAAACCGCATTAACTTTTGAAACAATTGTTCTTATATAAAATATAATTTCCTTAATGTGCATGCAAGTCAGATTAGGTTACAATAGTGCATGCAACTGTTTGTGCATCTGAGAAACACACTTACACACACAGCGTAATGAACCACATGAACACACAACAGCAAACTGACATTCAGACTCACTTGTACTCTCTACGTCTACATACTGTTGGTCAGAAACACCACACACACACACACACACTCCAGACAGATGCACAATCCAGTTTTCGTAGTCGCGATCAGAGTTTGCGTGTGTTGTGATGTTCAGTGTTGCTCCCCCTGCTGTTCCTGCACAGATCTACAACCCACAGATCCGAGCGGATTCACAGCTTCATCAGCCAATCAGCAGACAGCAGGCCGACGCTCGAGCCCGCAGGGTCAACAGCAAACTGCCCGGTGGGTAAACACACACACACACACACACACACACCCTACTAAAGTGCCCCATTATCATTATTTTTCAGATACTATCTTTCATGTAGTGTGTAATACCTGTCCTGTTGAACATATGTAGGTTTGTCCCTAACTTGCATAATGCCCGCCTCTGGTGTTGATTGGCTGAGGTGCGTCTCTTAGCCCCGCCCTCAAACACTGTAGTGTATCTGAGACTGGAAGAGTTTGTTGGTGTTTGATACGGTGAAACCCACGCCATCGTTACTGTTCGTATCACTGTGATCAAGAGCTGAGATTCAGATATGATAATGAGCGTTCGGTTTCTGACCAATCACAGCAGAGCAGCTTCAGAGAGGCGGGGTTTAGAGAGACTGGTGTGAAGGTGTGTGTGTTGTGTCCGCAGGTGTGTGTTTCCGCTTGTACTCTGCGCTGATGCTGGAGGAGATGCCCGCGTGCCGGAGCCCGGCGGTGGCCGAAGCGAACCTCAGTCACCTGGTGCTGCTCCTCAAGAGGCTGGACATCGCAGACATGGGCCAGTGTCAGTTCCTGGACCGGCCAGGTCAGAGCTCCACACACACACACACACACACACACACACACTCAGATCAATCATCACACTGTAGCAGCACATCAAACACACAACATACATTTACATATCTGTAAACATATCTTTACATTGTCGTGCTTCCAATGTGTGTGTGTCACCCTAGCAACCATCCAAAACACCCTAGCAACCACCCAAAATACCATAGAACACCTTAGGAACAACATAGCAACCACCCAAAATACCTTAAACACCCTAGCAACTACACAGAACACCCTAGCAGCTGCCTAACAACTACTCAGAACACCCTAGCAACCACTTAACATACCTTAGCAACCGCCTAATAACAACTCAGAACACCCTAGCAACCACTTGACATACCATAGCAACCACCCAAAACACCCTAGCAACCACCCAAAATACCATATAACACCTTAGGAACACCATAGCAACCACCCAAAATACCTTAAGCACCCTAGCAACTACACAGAACACCCTAGCAACCGCCTAACAACCACTCAGAATACCCTAGCAACCACTTAACATACCTTAGCAACCGCCTAACAACTCAGAACACCCTAGCAACCACCCAAAACACCCTAGCAACCACCCAAAATACCATATAACACCTTAGCAACACCATAGCAACCACCCATGAGACCCTAGCAACCACCCAAAATACCTTAAACACCCTAGCAACTGCCTAACAACCACTCAGAACACCCTAGCAACCACTTAACACACCTTAGCAACCACCTAACAAAAACTCAGAACACCCTAGCAACCACTTAACATACCTTACAAACCACCTAGCAACCAACCAGAACACCCTAGCAACTACCCAACATACCTTAGCAACCGCCTAGCAATCAGCCAGACCACCCTATCAACCACCCAAAATACCTTAACAACCGCTAACTTTAATCTACTTTAAACTAATTTAAAATTCAAACTAATTTAAACTTCTAAATATAATCTAAACTTCTTCAAACTTTCTGATCCAAACTTTCACAAGCCAACTTAAAGTAAAGTCAAATTTTCACATTGTCATGCTTTCGATGTGTGTGTGTGTGTGTGTGTGCAGCCCCTGAGGCGCTGATGCAGGCGCTGGAGGATCTGGATTATCTGGCGGCTCTGGACGACGACGGGAATCTGTCCGAGGTGGGCATCATCATGTCTGAGCTTCCGCTGGAGCCGCCGCTAGCTAAAGCTCTGATCGCGTCCTGCGAGTTCGACTGTGTGAACGAGCTCCTGACCGTCGCTGCCATGCTGACCGGTACGCCTGCGGACGCGCACACAACGGTCTTTACTAGCGCTGGGGATCGTGGGAACTTTAACCATTCCGATTCTGCTTATCGATTCCTATAACGTCAAAAAATACTTTCGAAAGATATCCAGTGTAGAGCGAGTGTGTGTTCAGTCTTCTGGTGTGTGATTATAGAGACGGCAGGAATATTAGCGCTGTCACTTTAAGAGCGGCACGGGTCCGACACACTGATACACACGAACACACAGTCTCTACACTCTCACAGAGGAATCGATAAGAGGAGGCGAATGTTTAATTTTATAACAAGTATCTGACCCCAGATCTGTGTTAGCGATCTCCAACGCTAGTGTTCGTGTGTGTTTGACCTCTTCCAGCTCCGCCGTGCTTCATTACGCCTCCGGCTGGTAAAGAAGAAGCGGCTTCCACACACAGACGACTCTTGCTTCATCCCGAGGGAGATCACATGACCCTCATCAACGTCTACAACGCATATCTGCAGCGTGAGTGACATCATCACTATACATGTTCAGTAACCTCCCTATACACTACATAGTGCGCTTGTCTGTCTCCTCAGATAACGAAGATGAGGTCTGGTGCAGGACGAACTTCCTGAACGCCTCTGCGCTGCGATTGGCTGTGGTGATTAGGGCGGAGCTACTGGAGGTGATGCAGCGAATCGAGTTGCCCGTCTCTCCGCCCGCCTTCGGTTGCCAGGACAACAGCACAAATATAAAGAGAGCTCTGATATCGGGATTCTTCCTGAAGGTAAACGCACCCGCGTGAAAAGCCAAAGCTGGATTCTGATTGGCTGACAGACGTTCCTCATTCCCAGTGTGCAACTGTGGAGTTTAGTTAGAAGTGTGACTGTAATTAAACACACAGCGGTTCACCTTCAGGCTGATAACAGATGAGCAGTGCTGTTTAAAGGAGTAGTTCACCTCAAAATGAACATCTCCTGACAGCGGAGGAACGGTCTTATCTAGCGAAACCAGCGGCCATTTTATAAAAAAAAAATCAAATGTATGGCCGTTTGGAATCCACGTGTGGGCCGGATCTATTCCTCTAAGGTTAAAGGAGTAGTTCACTGATAGTAGTTCACAAAAACTGATAATTTACTCGCCCCCATGTCATCCAAGATGTCCACGTCTTTCTTTCTTCAGTCGAAAAGAAATGAAGGTTTTTGATGAAAACATTCCAGGATTTTCTCCATATAATGGACTTCAATGGGGTCCAAACGGTTCAAGGTCCAAATGACAGTTTCAGTGCGGCTTCAAAGGGCTTTAAACGACTCCAGACGATGAATAAGGGTCTTATCTAGCGAAACGAGCGCTCATTTAATAAATAAATAACAAAGTTTAAGTTTTATAAGCTCAAATGCTCGCCTTGCTCTGTTCTGTGATGCGCGTTCGTGACTCTCCTGTTCGAACTCGTTCATCAAAATGAACAAATCTTTTGGTTCATTCAAAGAATGAAATGAACGAATTGACTCGGGAAAAGATTTGTTCGTTTTGTTTAAAGCCCTTTGAACAGTTTGCACTGAAACTCTCATTTGGACCTTGAACCGTTTGGTCCCCATTGAAGTCCATTATATGGAGAAAATCCTGGAATGTTTTCATCAAAAACCTTAATTTCTTTTCGACTGAAGAAAGAAAGACATGGACATCTTGGATGACACGGGGGTGAGTAAATTATCAGCAAAAGTTTTTTTTAAGTGAACTACTCCTTTAACCTCAGAGGAATAGATTCGGCCCACACGTGAATTCCACACGGCCCAGATGTGGGCCGGCACCATGTTGCTGTCTAGTAGGTTTTGATTGCCGTGAGAGGACTGCACATGATCAGTTTTAAGTCCTGGTGTGTTTGATCTTCAGGTTGCTCATGACGTGGACGGCTCGGGGAACTATCTGCTGCTCACACACCGGCACGTGTCCCACCTCCACCCGTTCTCCTCGTACCGCTGTCGCCGGCCGCGACCCGACCCGCCCAGCTGGGTGCTCTACCACGACTTCACCATCTCACACGACAACTGCATCTGCATCGTGTCCGAGATCCACCCTCAAATGTGAGTGTGAACGGATCAAATCCAAATTATAAAACTAAATAGTAATAACTATTTAGTTATTACCAAATAAATAACTAAATAGTTGTTTATTTAGATATTTTTTTAAATAACTAAATAAAAATCCAAATTTAGTTATTTAAAAAATGTCCTGGCTCTTCCAAGCTTTATAATGGCAGTGAATTACTGTTTCTGTTGATGCACTTTATTGATGGACGGATGCACTTTTATGATGGATAGATCAACTTTTATGATGGACAGATGCACTTTTATGATGGACAGATGAACTTTTAGGATGGATAGATGAACTTTTATGATGGACAGATGAACTTTTATGATGGACAGATGAACTTTTATGATGGACAGATGCACTTTTATGATGGACAGATGAACTTTTATGATGGATAGATGAACTTTTATGATGGACAGATGAACTTTTATGATGGACAGATGCACTTTTATGATGGACAGATGCACTTTTATGATGGATAGATGCACTTTTATGATGGATAGATGCACTTTTATGATGGATAGATGCACTTTTATGATGGACAGATGAACTTTTATGATGGACAGATGCACTTTTATGATGGATAGATGCACTTTTATGATGGATAGATGCACTTTTATGATGGATAGATGAACTTTTATGATGGATAGATGAACTTTTATGATGGACAGATGAACTTTTATGATGGACAGATGCACTTTTATGATGGACAGATGCACTTTTATGATGGATAGATGCACTTATGATGAATAGATGCACTTTTATGATGGATAGATGCACTTTTATGATGGACAGATGCACTTATGATGAATAGATGCACTTTTATGATGGAAAGATGCACTTTTATGATGGACAGATGCACTTTTATGATGGATAGATGAACTTTTATGATGGATAGATGCACTTTTATGATGGACAGATGCACTTTTATGATGGATAGATGCACTTATGATGTATAGATACACTTTTATCATGGATAGATGCACTTTTATGATGAATAGATGCACTTTTATGATGGATAGATGCACTTTTATGATGGACAGATGCACTTATGATGAATAGATGCACTTTTATGATGGAAAGATGCACTTTTATGATGGACAGATGCACTTTTATGATGGATAGATGAACTTTTATGATGGATAGATGCACTTTTATGATGGACAGATGCACTTTTATGATGGATAGATGCACTTATGATGTATAGATACACTTTTATCATGGATAGATGCACTTTTATGATGGATGGATGCAATTTTATGATGGATAGATTCACTTTTATGATGGACAGATGCACTTTTATGATGATAGATGAACTTTTACAATGTATAGATAAACTTTTATGATGGACAGATGAACTTTTATGATGGACAGATGCACTTTTATGATGGACAGATGCACTTTTATGATGGATAGATGCACTTATGATGAATAGATGCACTTTTATGATGGATAGATGCACTTTTATGATGGACAGATGCACTTATGATGAATAGATGCACTTTTATGATGGAAAGATGCACTTTTATGATGGACAGATGCACTTTTATGATGGATAGATGAACTTTTATGATGGATAGATGCACTTTTATGATGGACAGATGCACTTTTATGATGGATAGATGCACTTATGATGAATAGATGCACTTTTATGATGGATAGATGCACTTTTATGATGAATAGATGCACTTTTATGATGGATAGATGCACTTTTATGATGGACAGATGCACTTTTATGATGGACAGATGCACTTTTATGATGGATAGATGCACTTTTATGATGGACAGATGCACTTTTATGATGGACAGATGCACTTTTATGATGGATAGATGAACTTTTATGATGGACAGATGAACTTTTATGATGGACAGATGCACTTTTATGATGGATAGATGCACTTTTATGATGGACAGATGCACTTTTATGATGGATAGATGCACTTTTATGATGGATAGATGCACTTTTATGATGGACAGATGCACTTTTATGATGGATAGATGCACTTTTATGGACTTCAAAACAGAAACAGCCATTCACTGCCATTATAAAGGTTGGAAGAGCCAGGACATTATTTAATATAACTGTGATTGTATTCGTCTGTAAGAGGAGTGTCATACACTAGGATGTCTTGAGGACGAGTAAATCATGGGCTGGTTTTCTCTGTGAAGTGAACTCCTCCTGTGAGCTGGTTTAATCTGGTCTCCTGTGTGTTAGGCTGGTGGAGCTGGCGCCGCAGTATTATCTCGGGAATCTTCCTCCCAGCGACGGCCTGGATCTGCTGATGAGCCTCAGACTGAGTCTGTTCCCTCCGGGCGATCCGGACTCCACCCCTCAGGAGAAACGCCTCGAGGACGCGAGCGACGAGTCCAGCGCAGACACCTGCAGCGTTCAGTAACCGCTCAGATGATGCACTCGCTGGAACACACACACACACACTCAGTCACTGGAACACACACACTCACTCGCTGAAACACACACACACACTCAGTCACTGGAACACACACACTCAGGCCGCGGTGCAATGAAGAACTCCAGATGAGCTTTAGTCAGGCTCAGATCTGTTATGTCTGTAATTGTCATACTATAATATATATATTTATATATATAAATATATTTTAATAGTGAATAAAGACTGGATTTGTGGATAAGAAAGGGAAGTGAGTCCAGCAAACACACTATCGGTTCCTGCAGCCAATCAGACGAAGCTCAGTCATGTCCAATCACATGATCAAGACTACCGCCCCTCTCTCTCTCTCTGTATATGTGTATGAGTGACGGCCGCAGCCTGTGGTGTGGAGGCTCGTTTCTGCCCTGGGATCAAAACTGAAGATGATTACCACGCTTTAATCTGGCAGTGCTGGCTGTAGTCTAGAATTGAGAAATTTAAACTCAGAATTCCAGAAAAAACGTCAGAATTGAGAGCTAAAATAATCTTAATGAGCTTTTTCTATTTTTATTCCATGTTGTAAATAATCGTCCCTAAAGCAGTAATGAGCAGCTGTACACCTCTAATCCTGCTGTGCATCACGTGTGTGTGTGTGTGTGTGTGTGTCACGCTCCTGTACGGACTGTTATGTGTGTGTTGGTGTGTGTCTGTGTTGTGTTCTGAGGATTCTCAGTCGTTCAACCAGAACTAGAACTATATTAGTGTGTGCATTAATCATGATCTGGTTGTTACGAGCGCTCTACTGTAAACACTCGAGCTCTTCATTTCCTTCACATGAAAAACATGCTTTCATGAATCATAAATAAGTCATAAAAGATGAAGAGTCTAAATAATTACTTAAACTCATAATGAATAAGTGGACATTGACAGAAGACATTCTAAGTCATTCGACTTTTTATCTCATAATTATGACTTGCTATGTCTATTACATTTTTGTCATTATTTTAACTGTCAATTTTAACTCTATTATAGAATTATGACTTAGAATTTAGACTTTTTACCTCATAATTTGGACTTGATGTGTCCATTTCAGCTTTTTGTCATAACGTTTACTTTTTTTACCTCATAATTATGACTTGGTATGTCATAATTAAAAATGAAATTATTTTTTGTTATTATTTTTACTCAATTTCACCGTATAATTATGACAGTTTTTCAAGAATTGAGTAATAATTTAGACTGTACCGCATAATTGACTTAACTATGTGATAATTTCCTCTTTTTATGTCACGATTGACTTGGTCTCATAGTTGACGTTCCGCTGGGCAGAACTGGGCTTTCACACGACGGCTTCTGATTGGCTGTCAGTGTTTTCATCATTCCTCTGCTGTTCTCTTAGACGTCAGTTATTGTGAACGGGCTTTTAGTCCGAGACGAGCGGCTCAAACACACACACACACATCTCCTGATAGAACACGTGTGTGTGTGTGTGTGTGTGTGTCCCTGAGCCGCTCCTCTTCCTCCTGCTGTGATTCGACGTTCGGGATCCGTGTGTTTGATTGTGTTTCGGGGTTTTAGGGGTCGTTTACTCCTGTAGTTTGTTTTTTGTATTTTTCTAAATCTTGTTGCTCTCTCCCAGAATTCTCTGTGTTTGTGTGTGAACTCTTGAGTGTTTAAATGTGACTTTAATACAGGGGGGATTTGAACACTAATTAAAACTTGTGGTGCTTTTTGAATTGCAGTTTGTTTCTCTAAGTACAGCAGGTTTCTTTATGTCTATATCTTTGATATTTTGCAACCACTCAAAATAGCTTTAGTGTTCCTGGGCAAACATTAATAAATACATCATAAATCTCTCATTATATCTAAATATAAGATTCAGCAGTTTTGTTAACTTGTTTTCTGTCAGAGTCAGAATTGTGAGATTTCTGAATTTAAACTCAGAATTCAAAGGGGGAAAAGTCAAAATTGTGAGATTTAAACTCAAAACTCCAGAAAAATGTCAGAATTCATCGGACAAAAAAAAGTGTAAAAATAGCTGAATTGAAACACTGAATTCTGGAAAAAAATCTGAATTGTGAGATTTCTGAATTTAAACTCAGAATTCATAGGAATTTTAATTCAGAAATCTCACAATTCAGATTATTTTTTCCAGAATTCAGAGTTTCAATTTAGCAATCAATTTTTACACTTTTTTTCTATGAATTCTGAATTTTTTAGTTTAAATCTAACAAAAAAATATTCCTATGAATTCTGTGTTTAGTTTTTAATTGCGAGATTTAAACTCAGAATTCCCGAGAAAAAAGAAAAAAAGTGAGAATTGTGAAGTTAATTATGTTTATTATATGTTAATTCCACGCTGTGAATGAGCTTCCCCGACCCTGAGTGTTTCCACAGTGGCGTCAGCAGGAAGCAGTAACGAGCGGCACATCTCCTGAAGCAGATTTAATGAGATGTTCGTCCCGTCTGAGAGATGATCACGGCCCGGTGGAGCTGCTGGTAATGATTATAGTGTTCTCGGCCTTCTCCTGATCCAGATCCACACCGGGTCTGACTCCGGTTCCGGCCGACTCCAGGCTCCGTCTTCATTTCTTGTCGGGTTTGGCCTCCAGCGGTTGCCCGATGTCCTTCCCTCGAAGCTTCAGACCTGATGGACAAGCCCAGATCCAGTCAGTCTCCATCTAAACAACAGCTTTACAGTCATGACGGCACACACAGCTTTACAGTGAGAACAGGAGATTACAGTAACAGTGTTTTACAGCAGATCTGGAATAGAGTTATTGTCCAGATGAAGTTAGTTTTGATTGATGCGCTTCCATTGCAGAGATCATCAGCGATTAGCTTAGCGGCCGTTATGGTTATAATCTCCGTGTAAACTTCAAAACACGAACCTGTGAAACGCTGACGGCGCATCACGTGTTTACTCTATAGATATGCACGTTTGAATATATATATATATATATATAGACACACAACACACTGGCTTAACACACTCAGTACATAATTATGATTTATTAATATTTTTATGCTCTCTCATAATTATGACTTGTGAAAGTTTTTCATTATTTTCACGATCAATTTCAACTTTATCATATAATGATGACTTCGTATGTCATGAATCAAGTAATAATTTAGACATTTTATATCCTAATTGTGAGTTGCTGTGTGCTGAAGGTCTGCAGAGCTGCTCACCGATGGCTCTCTCGATTTTGCCCATGACCTGGTTATTGGGGATGGCCCGCCCGCTCTCGTAGTCGGCGATCACCTGAGGCTTCTCACTGATTTTCTGGTGAACAAAAACACACAACATATTTCTGAAGGAGCATTTCTACGGAGGCGTATTGCATTCACTTGAAGAAAAAAAATCTACTCTGTTTTTCTGAATTAATGAGTTAATTTTTCATGAGAATTTTTTTTTTGCTCTGTTTTTCTGAATTAATAAATTCATTTTTCATGAGAACATTTTTTTTTCTCTGTTTTTCTGAATTAATGAGTTAATTTTTCATGAGAAAATATTTTTTTCTCTGTTTTTCTGAATTAATGAGTTAATTTTTCGTGAGAAAAAAAGTTTTTGCTCTGTTTTTTAGTTTTTGCTCTGTTTTTTCTGAATTAACTCGTTAATTCAGAAAAACAGAGCAAAAAAAAATCCATGAAAAATTAACTCGTTAATTCAGAAAAACAGAGTAAATTTTTTTTCTCATGAAAATTTAACTCATTAATTCAGAAAAACAGAGTACATTTTTTTTTCTCATGAAAAATTAACTCATTAATTCAGAAAAACAGAGTACATTTTTTTTCTCATGAAAAATTAACTTGTTAATTCAGAAAAACAGAGTAGATTTTTTTTTCTTCAAGTGAATGCAATACGCCTCCGTACATTTCTGATCAACTTTTGAATTTTTGTGATTGCGAGCCAATAACTCGACAGCAGAGAATGTTATTTTTAATACCCGCTCGCCGCCAGATGGCCTTCAATCCCTCGTCATTAAACCACAGACTGTATAACATATGAAAACTAAAGTGGGCGGAGCCGGCCGTCGCCATCTTGGCTGCGCGTCACTCGCGGAAAAACGAACATGCAGCGAGGCGGATTAGCTAACGCTAGGAGACAAACGGCTAGCAGTGACATCAGCAGCAATCCACCTGTCACTCAAGTGGCCACGCCCTTAATCACGCAGAACTTTAAGGTTTAATATAATTTAAACGGATGAGTTATAAAATAATTCCCCCCTCACAGTCGTCATGAAGGGCAACATTAGCGATATAGACCAAAACCACCTTTAACACCAGACTGTGAACATGTTTATTTCTGCTTGGCCATTTTAACATGCGGGTCTATGGGAGTGAGTCTCGCCTGCAGCGCCTCTAGTGGCCAGAGGAGGAACTGCAGGATAACTCTCTCAGTGTTTGTTATAGAGAGAGAGAGAGACGGCTCGGGTCGCTCAGACTAACAGTGGCGAGATCTTTCTGCGTCAGACCATGGTCTTGTCGGCCTTTCTGGATCACTTTGCCCACTTCCAGCGGCACTCGCTGGTGGTGCAGCTCCTCCGTCTCCTGGTCCAGTTTGGCCGTGTTCTTCGTCACCAGATGCTGCTTGTTCTGACCCGCTGACCCTGAGAACACCGTTATATCATCAGTGCACATCATTATTGTGTTAATAATGCTGAATCAGAATCACTTGCAGCATCTCTTCTCTAATCTGATGATGTGGGCGGGGCTTTAACCTGTCACTCACATGAGATCAGCCAATAGCAAACCACAACTCCCCACAGACACAATCAAGCCCCGCCCACATGTGTTTAAATTAAAAGATAAAGGTGATTTATCTGATGTGATTACAGTGATGGATGTATTGAGTCACAGCAGTTTTACTGTGGATGATGATGATGACACGGTGTGAGATTAAAGGTCAAAGGTTCATTTAGTAGTTGTTGTCAAACACACTCCAGTAAATCTACAGTCCAACATTATTATTAATATTTATTTACATTTTTTGGTGGTCTCCACGTCATCTCCACGCCTCTGTGCCGCAGCAACCGCCTAAAACACACACACACACACACACACACTTCAGAACTCAGTCTATTGACATGCTTCACATTTCACTATTGAAAAAAAGCATACTTTATTGTATTAGAAATATATTCCCTTTTTCAATAGTGTATTGCAAATATACTAACAAAAATGTTTGCCATATTTAAACATATTAAAAGCATCTAAACAGGTAAAAGCATGATCATACTTTAACTTTTAACACACTTTAAAAATAAAATATGAACACTATACTTGAAGTGAACGTTCTGTTTATTTTTTTAAAAGTGTATTTATTTGCACTTTGACTGCGTGCCGATCATTTGTAACCATCCAGAGCACTCGTTTTAAACTACAGATATTGTTTATATTCGTCCAAACAACAAGAACATAACAATGAAAAATGAAACATGAAACATGTGACTGTCTAGAGTTGTTATGGATCGAGGGAATATTCCAGATTCCAGCGCGCGCCACGTGTTGACCAGCCGAACCCGAACTGTGATCCGGATCATCGATTCGGAACACACTCACCTGTCTGGATTTGGACTGAGAAGCAGAGGGGTTCTTCTTCCTCAACACAGTCACCGTGTCCCAGTCGCTCTCGGCCATCTCTGTGTGTGTGTGTGTGTGTGTGTGAACCAGATCCGCCGACACTGAGCAGAGATTCACTGAACACCAACAGCGACACCCGCAGTTCCAGCCGTCAATCAGCGTGAACTCATTCGTATTTCTGTGGGGAATATTGCAGTGTTTATTATAAATGTGGTGTGTTTAATCCGCTTATACACCGTGTGTGTGTTGATAAGTGGACAGCATTGCTGAGTATTTCCTCCTTAAAACTGCAGTGAACCAAAGACAGTCTCAAAAACACGCTTTCTGACGTCACAAACCACCTTGTAACCAATCAGATCAACGTGTGGACCAGTGGAGAGTGAGTGAGTGGAGGCGGGTCCATTTGCATATTCATAGAACCGCGCATACTAAATGAGGCGAGGGTGTCGAGTTACAGTCAAGCGATTTCAAGGCAGGACAAAACAATTTTCAAGTAAAAAAACTTTTGAATATGTAATTTTGGTGATCAAAGATGAGTTTAAAGGGGGAAATTATTGACTACAGGGGGACTTTAATTCATGTGCCTCGTAATCTTGAATCAGAATCAGTTTCTCTTGCCGCATCTCTTCTCTTCTCTGATGACGAGGGCGGGGCTATAATGTGTCACTCACATGAGATCAGCCAATAGCAAACCACAACCATCTAACCAGCTGCAGCGCCTCCTCCTCCTCCTCAAAAAAGGAGAAATCCATGCACAGTACAATAAAACAATGCAAATATTATGCAATATGGCATTAAAATGTGTTTATATCACTCCTCTGAGCCCAATGAGTAAAAGAGACCGCCTGAATGGAGTAAAGTCATGTGACAGAAGCGCTATAAATCCGCCTCTCGCTTTCTCGTTTCATTTCATGTTTACAAAAAACAAATAAACATAATTAAAAACATACAAACGTTTGTTCCATTGTTCCAAAAACAAGAGGAAAACTTTGTATCACTTAGTATGTTATCATTAAAGGCCGGTAATTAATCTACACATTAAGTTGTGCATAGCAGCATTGCGAGATGGGAACGATATTAAATACAAATATTTGGTTAAATCTGAGTTTTAGGAAAATTCGTAAATAAAACCCCAAAAGTTGCGTGAAACAAATGTGGGCGGGGCTTGATTGTGTCCGTGGTCCGTGTGCAGTATCCAGCAGCTGCAGACCCGCAGCACACCAGTTTCAAAACCCCAGCGCCAGAACCGGAAGTGAGGGGCGGAGTTAGGTTCTAACCAACACCAGCGCCAGGAACGTAATTGAGGGGCGGAGCTTAGATTTGAAACCTAATAACGCCACCTAACGTAATTTGGAGGGTATTTTACACATGAAACAGCTTTTATTGAACAAGAAACGTCCTACTTTCTACGTATGTTATGATGCTATACATTACTGTACAATAAGCATTTTAAAATCTTGATTTTGTGTAAAATAATTGTATACAGTTTCAGTTATTCGTTTCATTGTATTATGAGTTACTTCCTGATCATGATGGTGAAAAAATAATACTTGAAACTTATGGGCATTTTAACAGTTTAATAATTTTAGCTAAGCAGTTTATACGTGTAGATTTAGGAAGATAAGACCCGTTTTGGGTTTTTATGAAGGAGTTAACTTTGTATAATAAAGCTTTGAAAGATATAAAACAAGACAATCATTGGAGGTATTCAAAATTATACACAATCTGATAACTCATTAGACCTCTGATATTTTATGTTCTATTTATTTATTATGTTTACAAAAATCTTAAATTGTTTTGATATTGAAGATATGTATTTGTAAGATGATTTTGATTGTTAAAAAAAAGCATGGGTATTTTTTATAAAATATACTTTATTTCACAAGAACATGTGCAGCATGCATTTTTCGTGTAAAATAATGTCAAAATCTAAAAAAAGAGAAAATTCGGCATTACTTTGTTAAAAATCTATACGACCAATTCAACCCAAGCTAGGCCTGTTTTATCACAACAATTTTGTTTAAATTTAACTTACAATGTATCAAATGAGGAACTCAAGGCCCGTTTTGTCCTTACATGCTTGCTAAAATAATTATAATGCAATAATAATAATTCCGCCCCTCCCTCACTTCCGGTTCTGGCGCTGGGGTTCTGAAACTGGGGTTCTGAAACTGGTGGTGCTGCGGGTCTGCAGCTGGATCTCCATGGCTCTGGAATTGATTGGATGGATGTGGTTTGCTATTGGCTGATCTCATGTGAGTGACAGGTTGCCCCGCCCACGTCATCAGAGAAGAGATGCTACAAGAAGAACTTATTTTGATTCAATATTATTAACACAACAATAATGTGCGCAGATAAATCATTTTGAATAAACCCTGCAATATTCCATAAAAAAAAAAAAAAAAATGTTAAGTTTATTCCTGCAGGCGTCGCTGTGGCTCGGCGGTGACGTCATATCCGCTCTGGGCGGCAGCAGCAGCAGCAGCTTCACTCTCAGGCCGGGAAAACCCGAAACAAGCGAACAGAGAAAAACACTGAGAAATCTCCATCCATCCTGCCGAGTTTCTCTCCCCGGTGGAAATATATCGATATATGTGATCTAAGGTGACAGTCATACGTTTAATCGGTGAGTTATTCGCGCGCTCCGTGCGGTTATTCGTGTGTTTCGCATCGGTTTGTCGCAGGATGTCTGAGTGTTTGTGTCGCTTTGTTCTGTGGAGCAGCCATTTTTAATCGCCTCACACATCAACAAGTCCACTCAAAACCCTAATTAACGCATTGATTAGTCAATACACTGCTCTATTTGAAGCAAACACCCGCGATGCTGGCGATTCTGTCCATGTCTGAAGCTCGTTTGTCGGTTCTGCTGAAGTTTATACATCAGAAGCGGCTCGAGGCTAATCTCCGTTAGCATTGCTAAAGCTCTTAGAGAATTGGTCAAAATCTCGCAGATTATGTAAAATATCATTATTATTCAGCCCTCACGCATATATAACAGACTCTAGTGTGTGATCGTGTGGATGTAGCGTGTGTGAAATGAGCTGTGTGTTCAGTAATCAGCCTGGGGAGCTTCTGTTTACATCTCATGCTAACTCGCTCTATTCGCGTATACGGGTTTGTGTTTTAACCGAGAGATTCAGTGTGAGTGAATATAAGTTAACGCTTCTCGTGTCTCACTAACAGCAGATTGCGGTTTAAAGAGTGGATTTGACTGATGTGATGGTTTTATTTAGCCTGCCACCAATTTCATATTCCGCTGATAAATCACCTCTGTCTTTGATTCCACAGTCGTCGTGTTGTTTAATGTGTGCTTGTTTTTTTTTTTTGTGAAGTGTTTGTGTAATTATTTCTCATGTGTGTCTCATATTGAGTCTGAGTTTGGCTCTGATGATGATGATGATGATGATGATGATGTTGAAGCTCGTCTATCAGAGTGGAAATATAACGCTTTGTGTGTTAGTGTTCACGCTCTTGATTTTGAAGGTGTCTTTGTCCAAGTACTGAGTATTATTAATGAATAACATGTATTTACTAAATAATTGTGGTTAGGGTTAGTTACTGTGTGTATAATTGACTGTTTTTACCTGAGTAACACACACTGTAAAGTGCCACTTTATATTAGGTGTCGTTAAATGTGCATCAACAACATAGTTATGTACAGCGTGTTTATTGTGTAGGTGATGTTGTGAAACACTTGTGCTGATATTGATGTGGGATATATGTCTATATATAAACAGATAATGAGTTATTTAAATGTTATTATAAAGGTTACTTAATATAATGTGGGACCAGATACATTGTTACCTTACTTTCTTGGTTTTAATTCATTTTTTACTTCATAACTTCAGTCAAAAATAGTTAAATGCATCTTTTCTGGGGCTTCTTAAATGCATCTTTTCATTATTTCAACTGTCTGTGAATCTCCTTTCTCTTATAAAAATGTTAGTGTAAATTGAAGGTTTGCACTTAAAGTTAAAATTGGAGATTATTTACTCGTTTTTAAAGGTGTGTGTGACGCAAACACAGATATTCACGCTGTATTTTTCTCAGTTAAAGCAGACGCCGTGTTTTATTCACTGGTCAGCCACAGAAACACCAGTAATGACCGGGAATTATTCATTTAAAGCGTTCTGACGTCAATCATGTCGCTTCAAACTCATAAGACTTTCTTTCATCGAGATATTTTTACTGAAATCGGACCCCAAAATCCATGTAACCAAAAAAAAAAAAGTCAATCTCCTGAAGTGACATGACTACTTTATATGATGAACAGATTTAATGTTAACTTTTTGTCACATAAACACATTGATCAATAGTAAACAGTGACTCAAAAAATGCTTTTTGTATTTGAAGAGTTCAGATGCAAAAGCCTTTAAGTGCCATTTGAAATTTTTTATCTAGAATGACCATTTTTATCAAGCTTTTATATTCAAGTTCAGTAATTTCACTTAAATGACAATTAATAGGTTATCTTCATTGCAATTTAAGTGAAATTACTGAACTTACACATACAAGCTTGATAAATGATCATTTTAGAAAAAAATTCAAATGGCACTTAGAGGCTTTTGCATCTGAACTCATTTCTTTTCAGCATTTTTGTCTTGTTTCCAGTCCAAATATCTAAAAATTCTTAAATCAAGATGCATTTACTAAAGTAATAAAATGCCATACAATATTATGTCTTGTTTTCTGGGTAAATAAATCAAAATGAAGATATTTGTTGCTTAAAACAAGCAAAATTATCTAACAGGGTAAGAAAAATAATGTTGTTTCTTTTTGAATTAACATTAATTTTCGTATCTCATTGGCAGATAATTTAGTTTTTTTTTTAAAGCAACAAATCTCTTCATTTTTAATAATTTCCCCAGAAAACTCATCTAGTGAATGCATCTTTAGATATTTGGATTGGAAGCAAGATAAAGATGCAGAGTAAGAAAAGAAAGGCTTGATCCACGAGAACGACAGTTTTTGAGTCATGAAATTGTTAAATCTGTGTGTTGTTGTGCAACACGTCTGCTTTCCTGAACATGATGTTGCTTTGACCTCACGCCGACATCTCCAGTCCGAGACTCTCTCTAAATGACCCGGTTTGAAGTTTTTGATCAAGATTTCAAGATTGTTGAAATATGAATCTGAACCAGATCCTCTTTGTGGCGTTGAAACTGTAAGAGTCGCAGAGATATTGATTCTTCTTCTTCTTCTGTCGTGTCTTTCCACAGAAACAGACGGTACTGAGGAAGAGGTGCAAAGAAAAATTCCCATACTCGATGACATTACATCGCAATGTCCGATCGTTTGGGGCAAATAACCAAGTCCAAGGATGGGAAAAGCAAGTATTCATCACTCAGCCTATTTGACAAGTACAAAGGGAAGTCAATAGAAACTCATAAAACCACAGGTGAGACTCGCAAACCCAATGCTCATGACCTCCGTGTGAAGTTCTGTTTGTCATATTCACCATGTTTAGCGTCTCGTGTGAAATGATATACATGATTAACTCATCCCATCTGTCCTATGTATCCCATCATATACAGTCAAACCAAAAATCTGACCGCCTCTCTCCTGTCTCCTGCAGTTGTTGCACGACATGGCTTACAGAGTCTTGGCAAAGTGGCCGCTGCCCGGCGCATGCCTCCTCCCGCTCACCTGCCGAGTCTGAAGTCTGAGAGTAAAGGAAACGACCCCAACGTGTTTATCGTGCCCAAAGACGGTACAGGATGGGCAAACAAGCAGGATCAACCCGATCCAAAGAGGTCAGGCCCGAATCCTCAGTCGAACGTGTCTAGTGTGGCGTGTGTGTGGACAGATGGGCGCACTAGAGTGTGTTTTACAGCAGAGGGCTTGTGTTAAAGTCCCGCTGGAGTCCATAATTCTATCCCTTAACTCATCTTTCATATTTAAATGTTTTTCCCTTAGAAATGCTTTCAAATATCTTGTAACTCGACACCCTCGCCTCATTTAGTATGCCCCGTTCTATGAATATGCAAATGAGCCCCGCCTCCACTGGTGGACGATCACACTTTGATCTGATTGGTTACAAGGTGGTTTGTGACGTCAGAAACACCAAAGTGTGTTTTTGAGACTGTCTTTGGTTCACTGCAGTTTTAAGGAGGAAATACTCAGCAATGCTGTCCACTTATCAACACACACATGGTGTATAACACGCATAAACAACATTAAACGCTGGATTTACACCACAGGGGGACTTTAATAAAGGCATGTGTGTAAAGAGAAACGGAGATGCTCATTACTCACTGTCAGTTCTGTGTTTTTCTGAAAAGTATGACCCACTCGAGTTGTGCAAGTCCAAAACTAAACTGGTTGAGGTTGTGGTTACTGTATGATGAAATCGCGTTATACGTTTATATCATGGACGGATTGCTTGTGTCAGTGCTGCATGTGAGCCAGGGATGCGAATAAAAGGGCTTAGTGAGATCATGAAATCACAACGGTTGTGTAATAACCACGATCAGATGATTAATAATCAATGATTGTGAGCGTCGACGAGGTTGTTAGTCGATAGCATTTGCTATCGTCAGCCCGCATTATTTCAACCTGGTTTTAAAATAATTGATTACTGGTGAAAAACTACATTACCCATGATGCTTTACAGAAAATTCCACCAATCAGAGTCGAAACAAGCAAAACACTTCTTTAGCTCCGCCCACTGCCATGAATCGCAGCGAATGACGTAATCTCTCGACACTCTCAAAATACTTAAGTATTTGAATATATATGCATATTGTGCAATAAATCTAATATTGTAAAATATTAGGTAACATTTTAAAACGAATGGTTTTATTGTTTTTAATTCTTTTATGCTGTTTGCAATGCCTCATGGGATTGTAGTTCTTTCCCTCACTGAAGCTGGCAAGCTCAGTCTTTTACCACTGTGTGTTTTTATTTTATTTTTTTTGTCCAATTTTGTAATGTAATGATTCTCCTCGTAGCTGGCTGGTTTGGTTTATGGCTTATAATTCTTCAAAGAAGCCTTTTAATAACCCCTATGGGAGAAATAAATGCTTCCTGAACCAGTGCTGCTGAACAAGTGTGTGGCTCTAATGAACTAACTATTGAATCAAGTTACAAAACTTGTGTTGGCACAAATAAACAAATGTTTCCAACAGTTTAAGCCGTTGGTTGTTGTAATATATAGCCTACTTAAAGGGGTGGTTTAATGCCTCTTTGTACAAGATTTGAAATAAGTCCGTGGAGTGTGTGTGAAGTTTAAACCACTTAACTGTCACCGTCCCACAGGTGGGACGTTTGCCACTCATGAAAAAATGGTAGATACCTCAGTTTGTTTTCATGCCAAAAGTTCAAAAGATAGAATCCATTCAATTATTTTGGAAAAAAAAGGTCTGAAAAGTTTGAAATATCAAGAAAAAAAATAATAAATTCACCATTTGTGATGTGGCAGCTAGCTATGACTTACATGCGTGTTCTTTGTATGTGTTTCTTAGAGGTTCAATTCATATCAAAATCTGCCAAACTTCCCATGCTACTTCTGAATAGGATCTCTACTTCAGAAATTGTATGAAAATTGTGAAAATAATGGTTCATGTCACTCAAAACACGAATGGAAATGCAGGCGCCCTTATATGGGCAGTAATGGAGTCTGATTGTGCCCTAGTGAAAAAGTTTGGTACTGCGCTCAAACAAAATCTTACTGAAAGCTCATTTTTTGAGATATCAACCTAAAATTTGAAACACAACTTGTTCAGATTGTTGGCTTTGATCTTTCTGCCATTTTAGAGTAGCCCAGGTTTTGAAAATATATATTTTATGTAAAATATGAATAATTAATATTTTTACATTGTACATTTCCATAAACTCAAACTTCTATAACTTTTTTTCTGTTTCACATTCTTAATTTATTTCACTTCTACAAAAATCTGCCAGATGTCTTCTTTAAAACAAGACCAATCATATGTCTATATTCCAAAGCATTCTTGAATTACAACCATTTAAGATCAAAATGTGCATTTTCATGTCTATTCAAAAAAGGGGGGGTGACAGTTAACAGGTTAAGCTTAAAATACCCCACAAATCATTTTTAAAGCATGTTAAAATTGTCCCTTTTTTGAGGGCCAGTAAAAACGTGCCGTGTGTGTCCCTTTAAATGCAAATGAGCTGCTGATCCCGGCACAGGGGGCGGAGCTTCAAGAGCTTGTGTGTGTGTGTGGTTCCGATCTATCTCCTCAACATGGACTCACCCCTTTGTTGTGTGTTCCGGGGGCGGGGTTTATGTAAATCTTAGGGTTAGTGATGTCACTAACAGAGGAAGCTCATTATAGTTCCTATCAGTCGTTTGTTGTAGTTCTTAAATGTTTTCTTTAAAAGCAAATCTCTTAACTGTCGTAACTGCAGATGTTGTTTATGCTCAAACACACCACTAACTACAGTTATCAGTACAGTTAAAATCACTTTGTTCTCCAAATATCCAGCTGTATGTTATTATGTGAACGTCTGATTGGCTGACGGTCTGTCGTTCTCCTCCTCCAGTTCCGTTGCATCTTCAGCACAGCTGCCGGAGTCGCAGCCACCGCTGGCTTTACAGAAGTCTGTCTCCAATCTCCAGAAGCCCACGCCAATCACCAGCCAGGAGGTACGGCCCCGGCGTCACCTGTAGTGTGTGCATGAACATGTGATCGGGTTAATGTGTGTGTTTATATCGCAAGCTTCACATCGTAATATATGTGTTTGATGTGCGCTCACGATTGAGCGGATGGTTTGGTCGCGTATAAACGCAGCCATTGAGAGATTGGGGTTTCGCTCATGATGACGAGTGTGTGTTGATGTGATTGGTTCCTCTAGAGCACAAGTACAGGTGGACCAAAGCAATGGGCACAGGTCAATGGAAAGGCAGTAGATCAAGATGGTAAAGATCCTCTCTCTCTTTTCTTTCTTGAGTGGCCAGATGTGGCTCGTTGCGATGTGTTTCACGTGTGTGTGTGTGTGTGTGTGTGTTCAGGTTTAAAGGTCTCAAGCCGACTGCAGCCCTTCTCTCACGAGGAATTTCCGACGCTGAAAGCAGCCGGAGAACAGGACAAGGTTGGCAAGGAAAGAAGCGTCTTCGATCCGTCGTATGGGCCCGGACCAAGCCTCCGCCCGCAGAGTGAGTCCTCGCCACGCTTACACCATTACATATCCACTAGAACAGGAAGGACATTCATATATATGTTCAAAACAGGGATGATGATTTTGTATTTAGGGTTGGGAATCGAAAATCAATTCCAATTGTGGAATCGGATACTTGTTATACAATTAATTTCGACGACTCTGACGAGCTGATCACACACCAGAAGACTGACAACACACACTCGCTCTAGACTGGATAACTTTTGTAACTATATTTGTAATCTGTATTTTATTTATAAAGTCAATGGTATCTTTGTTCAGTTGTCTATTTGTTGCGATTGCTAATTTGTTCGTGTCACTGTCCCACAGGTGGGATGTTTGCCACTATATTTTTAAAACAATAATATCCTAGTAAATACCTTTAGTAATATTGACAAACTATATATCATTTGAAAGCTTACAATCTCTAGTTTCCATATTTAGGTGACTGATTTTCAAAATATATTACAGAGGAACCATAATTTATCAATATGCAACAAGAATATTTTCATACTCATAAAGCGAGTTCAGACCTTTATTTTAAAATGGCATGTGAACATGAAAAATCATGAAAAAATGGTAGATATCTCAGTTTGTTTTCATGCCAAAAGTTCAAAAGATAACATCCGTTAAATTATTTTTGGAAAAAAAGGTCTGAAATGTTTGAAATATCAAGAAAAAAATAATAAATTCACCGTTTGTGACGTGGCAGCGAGCTAGGACTTACATGAAGGTTCTTTGTAGGCTGTGTTTCTTAGAGGTTGAATTCATATCAGATTCTGACAAACTAGGATCTCTACTTCATAAATTGTATGAAAATTGTGAAAATAATGGTTCATATCACTCCAAAAACGAATGGAAATGCAGGCGCCCTTATATGGGTCTGATTGTGCCCTAGTGAAAAAGTTTGGTACTGCGCTCAAACAAAATCTTACTGGAAGCTCATTTTAAAGATATCAACCTAAAAATTGAAACACAACTTGTTCAGATTTTTGGCTTTTATTTATTTATTTATTTTGCAGTTTTAGAGTAGCCCAGGTTTTGAAAATATATATTTTATGTAAAATATAAATAATTAATATTTTTACATTGTACATTTCCATAAACTCAAACTTCTTTACCTTTTTTTCTGTTTCACTTTCGCAATTTATTTCACATCGACAAAAATCTGCCAAATGTCTTCGTTAAAACAAGATTAATCATATGTCTATATTCCAAAGCATTTAAGTTCAAAATGTGCATTTTCATGTCTATTCAAAAAAGGGGGGGTGACAGACAGTAATTACTGAGTGTTATTGTCTTTAATAATGCTTGAAAGGTCTTAAAAAGACTTGAATTTAACTTGAAGAAACCTGTAAGAAGCGACTGTAAGTGTTTTGTCGTTGTTTCTTGTGTTTGCAGACGTGTCGAGCTGGAGGGAGGGTGGTGGGAGGAACCTTCAGCCTCCAGCTCTGTGTTCTGCTTCTCCTGCCTGCGACCCGGACACCAGGAGCATCGGCTCATCTGAGGCCATCACTCCTGTTCCTCCTCCTCCATCTTCTTCTTCATCACCCCCCTCCTCCTCCTCCACGGCTGCTGGCCCGTCTCCTGATGTGAAGGAGCCGTCGCTGAGGCCCGTTCAGCCGGTTCAGACCCGCCGAGCCGCCCCGTCAGCCCTCCAGTACCAGCACCACACCACCACCACATACCACGACATGCTGCCTGCCTTCGTGAGTCGACACGCCTCATCTTAGAGAGCCATGCAAACGCTTTAAAGGTGCAGTGTGTAGGCTTTAGCGCATCTAGTGGTGAGGTTGTGAATTGCAACAGAAGTTTCAGTGGCTGACAGGAAGTGATGTCGTCAGAGTAACTAGTTAAGCAATGAGGTTTCTTTACAAACATGTGTTAAGAAATTAGGTTTACTTGATTATTCAGTAAAACGATGTTATTGTGAATATCAGTGTTTTACTCGCTGACTTTAGCAGCTTCTGATCATGAAGCACAACATAGTGACGAAATGCCTTTGTCTACTCAGAGCCACCTAAGAAACGTGGATGTAAGCGGACCCACGGTGTGTGTAGATAATAGATAATAAAAACATTATACACCACTAAAAACATAATGTGTATATGATCCTCGTAAATATTACACACTGCACCTTTAATTTCAGCTGGTGTCCTTAAAAGCCTCGAGTGTGATTTTATAAACCCTGCAGAGACCCTTCCCCAGTACACAGGATTACGTAGAGATGTATCGGCCAATGATTGGTGCTCTACACGTCGCTCTTTAGTATTTTGAATTTTTAGTTGAATTTTATGCTACTGGATTATATTGACGCTGTATTTATAATCCATTTATTCACTTGAAAACTAAATGTCCATCTTAAACTGGTGAATCTGGAGCGCTTTAGAGGACAGACTGAAGTTTGATCTCTTCTCAGAGACGACACTCGGCAGATTATTGCTGGACTGAAAACTGGACTTAAAAAGAGTTGCATAAATATATGTTTGTTGTTATGGAAAATGAAATGTATGTTTTCAAAAACGTGTTTTACTCTAAAAATGAGAATCAAAGCCAAGCTGTGTTTTGTCTGTCCGCAGTGTCTTTTGTATTTGTAGATCGTTCCCGACTGTATTCTGGATGTTGTTTTGGTTTCCTGTGTCATGTGTGCTGTTTGTCCATCAGATGTGCCCTAAAGAGACCCGTGACGCCCCGGGCTCCTCGGACCACGGCCCGGCCGCAGTGGTGGCGCCCGTGCGCTTCGACTCCCGGTCGCTCTTCAGACCAGCGCCAGAACCTGTCAAGTAAGCCTAGCGCTGATCAGTCATGTGCACTTGAGGAAAGCTCGCGGTATATTAGGCTTGCTACGACTGCCGGTGCTGGCTGTGTCTCCGCTGTTCAGAAGCGACACCACCAATTAAACTTTTATTTATTTATTTATTTATTTATAAATAATAAATTAATTTAGTTCAGTTAGAGAACAGACACTACAATTAAAAACCGAACGTATCTGCTCTGTAAACCGTAAGCCTAAAAGCGTCTATTTAAGCAAATTTGTAATTGTTTTGTTGTTTTTCATTGGGAATTTCATCAAGCAAACCGCCCTCAAATTGGCGCTTATTTGAAAGCGAAACTAAAATGCGCATGTCCATTCATAACGGTGTGTGTCCACTGGAATAGAGTGTTTTGGGTTCGTCCTGTGGATAAACGCTCGCTCTGCTCCGTTATGAAGGACGGTGTTAGTTTCGCTTTCACATTAGCGATTTGTGATGCTGCCGGGAAAATTACTGCCCGCCACATCCCGACTATAAATTCCTGCTTTCAGGGTTCCTAAACCCATTAGGTGCTCTTCGTTTCGGAGTCACACTTGTGATCTTCCCGGTCAAAAGTGATCGGGCACCTAAAAATGAAACTTCTTCCATCCCAGTAAAACCAATGCAATTTATTTTTGTTCTATAATATTTATTCTTTTTAATTTAGTATTTTGAGACAATTTAATTGAATTTATTAATATTTATGCAATATTTATGGTTTATTTTTGCCATGGAAAAATATATATATTTTACTATATATATATATATTATTATTATTTTTTTCAAAAAATATTAATGCAGTATTTTAGTTTAATATAGAGTCTAGGCCTTTAGAAAAAAAAATATTTTTTGAAGAAAATTAGCACTATCTGGTTACAGTATAGAGAAAAGGTGTAGAATCATGGTGTAACCACTAGATGGCATGTACAGCTCTCTATGGAGAAGCATGTGAATTCCCCAGCTGTTTATGAACACATTTTTTGTTGTTGGTGGATTTGAATAAACAGTTGGAACAATCTCAAAAATTATTTCTTATAAAAAAAAATTGAATTTGAACACAATTTTTTTTTTTTCATTTTTACAATTTCCCATTCATTTCCTATCGGGGTCATTTTTGACCAAAGAGCACAAGTGTGACTACTTTTTTTTTAAGACCACTTGCATGCTCAGATCATGACCTCAATTTTTTTTGGTGTTCACATACCCAATGCCATAAAAGTCACCAAGTTTCGTAACATTCCGATGAAGCAGTGATTTTTAAAAATTTCAAAACAGAAAATTTTTCAGTCAGAAAGAGCACCTGAGGGTTAAGTTAAAATTAAAGCCTTAAAACGTCTTAAAAATGGCCAGTTTTTCTTCTGGGGTCTTAAATTTCCTTTAGTCAGGTCAAAAAATGATTTCCAGAAACGCTGTTTGCAGAAAGTTACATGGGTTGTGTATTCTCTATTAGGCTATTAATATGCTTTAATGTAAATAAACATGAGATGAAATCTATTCTATTTGAGGGCAGGTTTATTGGTTTTGGGCCTACGGGTTTGGGCTTTTGGCACGTGGTCGTGGACTGCTTTATCTGCAAATTAAATGACTGAATTTATTGAAATAAAATGTTTTGGGTTTTTTTTTTTTCAGAATTTCTTTTATTTTAATATTAGGTGTTAAATGTGACTGAAGCCTGTTCCTCTTTCCCCGCAGTGGTGATTTAAGGAGAGAAGCCCGGTTCCCACGAAACCCCCCGCGCCCTTCGACCCGCCCGATCCGACGCCCGGGAGACCGAGCGCCCCGTCCCGCCATCATCAACCCTGATGACCTGAAGGACCTCGATGAGCTGGACAACGACTGTGAAGACGGCTGGGCGGGTGAGCGAGCGAGCGCTAGCTCTCGTTAGCTGGTGTTTCACCAATGCGCTCAGTGTTAGCACTGGGTGTCGATTCACGAGCTGGCAGTTTGATCTGGATTATAGCAAAATCAATGTCAATCTTAAAAGGAAAATATATCTCTAAACTATGACTGATCGATTATGGGTGGGTATCGACCGAACGGCCTCAAGTATCAAGAAAGGTCGTGTTTTTCGGTACCAAATTTCGATTCCTGAGATGTTGATCAGTGAAACGATGAGCATGCTGCGTGTGTGGTGTTCTTCAATCATGTGTCTGTGCCATTCATTCACAGAGACTGTGAACGTTTAATATTTAATATTCTCTCACCGACAACATTTCATCACATCACAGAAGAAACTAGACAACCCGTCAAAATAAACGTTTGGTCTGAGATGTGTATTACTCTTGTACAGTATAATGTATATCTTAATGTTTATGCTACTTATACTAATAGAATTATTATTAAAACTCATGTAAACCTCTGTTGTGTAGCACAGCCAGAAAATTAAAGGACGTGTTTAATTTTCATTTGAATATTAAAGCCTTTGTTTGAGTACCAGAAGAATTTAAATAAACAACAGAGAAATTAAATAAATAACAATCACAGGGCCTATTAGTGAATACAAATTAATAAATTAAGTTGTTTTTATGAATTCAATTAGATATGTTTTTGATTAAAATCATTAAAATGGAATATAGACTAAATAAAACGGAAAGCACAGAACTGGGTAAAAATAAAACAGAATTTGTTACGTTTTGAATACGTTTCATGATTTCAATTAATTGCACATGCGGTTTGATTATTACAATTTAATTTAACACCCAGAAAAAAGACAGAATCCGAAAGTTAAAGCGGGGCATAAACGATGCGTGCTAATCCTGAAGTGTGTCTGCGTTAACAGTTCATTATATGTTCATAATATTGTGATGGCGGAAGTGTGGTTCAGGAGGCGGCGTGGGGCGCGTTACCTGACCCCCGACCCCTGCTCACTGTGACCGTGTCTTCAGGTCTCCATGAGGAAGTGGATTACAGCGAGAAGCTCAAATTCAGTGATGATGAGGAAGATCGCTCCCCATGTGTGAAGAGCAAGATCTGGTGAGTTTTCATTTTGTTTTTTATACAAATTTTGATATTGATTGATTGACCCGATTCATTGACTGATACGTTCAACACATGATTCTCCATTTAAAGGAGTCGTTCACTTTTGAAAACTTTTGCTGATAATTTCCTCACCCCCGTGTCATCAGAGATGTCAACGTCTTTCTTTCTTCAGACGAAAAGAAATGAAGGTTTTTGATGAAAACATTCCAGGATTTTCTCCATATAATGGACTTCAATGGGGACCAAACGGTTCAAGGTCCAAATGAGAGTTTCAGTGCAGCTTTAAACGACACCAGACGATGAATAAGGGTCTTATCAAGCGAAACGATCACTTATTTCAAAGCTTATTCCAAAAATGTAACTTTTCTAAGGACAAATGCTAGCCTTGCTCTATTCTGTGAGGCGCGTTTGTAACGTCACGTAATACGTAATTACGTTCAAAAGGTCACGGGCGACGTAGCCGGAAGTACAGAGTCAGTGTTTACAAGTTGAACGCATAGGTTGAACGTGAAAACTAGCTCAAACACCGTTTACAAAAAAAGGAATTAAAAGGTAAAACAACGATGTCGGACGATTTTGATTCTGTACTTCCGGCTACGTCGCCCGTGACCTTTTGAACGTAATTACGTATTACGTGACGTTACAAACGCGCCTCACAGAATAGAGCAAGGCTAGCATTTGTCCTTAGAAAAGTTACATTTTTAGAATAAGTTTTGAAATAACCGATCGTTTCGCATGATAAGACCCTTATTCATCGTCTGGAATCGTTTAAAGCTGCACTGAAACTGTCTTTTGGACCTTGAACCGTTTGGTCCCCATTGAAGTCCATTATATGGAGAAAATCCTGGAATGTTTTCATCCAAAACCTTAATTTCTTTTCGACTGAAGAAAGAAAGACATGGACGTCTTGGATGACATGGGGGCGAGGAAACTATCAGCAAAAGTTTTTTCAAAAGTGAACGACTCCTTTAACACGAGCTGTGTTTTCTAGTGTTTACATGTTCCCTCGATCGGGTTAGAAAAGGAATAAACCGACCCTTTCAATCCGATCGAAACAAAGGTGTTTACATGAAGGCTTTTCAGTGCGTCAGTCCCGTTGCTAGCGGATGGTTTGGTCGCGTGTGTTAGCGGACCAGCGGCTGCTGTTGTCGGGACTGACGCCGGTTCTGGCTCTTGTGTGTTGCAGGGATGACTGGGACCACCATCATGATCCTCACTCCTCTCAGAGCTCTGGTGACGTGGCGTTCCCGCATGACCCCGAGGAGGACCTGTACTCGCGCCAGCCGGAGGCGCTATCCTCCAGGAAGACCAACGGGAGACTCTCCTCAGCAGAGGTAACGCTCGAGGCCTTTACATGCGTCCAGATCTCAGCAATGCTGTCCACTTATCAACTAAAGCCTAGTTCACACTACGTGATTTTAAGCCCGATTTAAGCCCGATTTGCAAATCGTTGAGTCGCCGACAAGTCAGGGTGTTATCGCGTGCAAATCGCGGGCGATTAGCGGACGATTAACGCTCGCCAATCCGTTAGTGTGAAAGAGCCAACAACGCATCAAAGACAGCTCGCAGACACCTCGCAGACAGGTCACCGAGCTCAGAAAAATATCTAGCCTGCTAGATATCTCGAGCAGTCGCGCGACTCAATCTCAGTGATGTCATGAGTACAGCCAATCATAGCAACGCATGGGTTGAGGACACCAGGTAAATCTTACTTTTTCTTTTTTGCATTTTTTTTCTCAGAGCAGATCGTCGAGCAAACAGTGTGCAGCATCAGTTTCTGTCTGACGTCCATATTCGCGTGTTGTGTTCTTCTCTGTAGTTTCGCGTCATTTCTGGTTCGTTTTATTGCGTGGTTTTTCGTTACAAAACATGGTTTCTAGACCAGATAGAATCGTGTTGTTGTCAACTCGTTATTTATTTGATTATTTTCAGGATTTAGACCGTACTGAAACAGCTCTCATTGAGTCACAAATGATTTGCTCTTATTATCCGATCGTGGTTGTATCTCTATGTAGTGCGTTGTTAACTCGTGTAGTGAGTTACCTCCTGTTGTGGATCAATCACGTTGTGTTGTGTGTGTGTGAAGAGCTAAACAACTTGAACACTCATGATTTCACCGAGAGCAAGTCATGTAATGTGAACTGCACAGTTCAGCCCAACATTTTAAAATCATGTAGTGTGAACTAGGCTTTACGCATGCTGTGTGTGTGTGTGTGTGTGTGTGTGTTAAAGCAGGTTAAGAACGGTGTGAGCGGCGAGTCTGCGGAGGAGCAGGAGGAAGCGCAGAGACCGGCTCCTCCTCGAGGGAAGTTTGTCTCGGCTGATCTCTCCGCCGTGGAGCGCGCTCGCAGACGCCGGGAAGAGGAGGAGAGGAGAGCGCGCGAGGAGAGACTGGCCGCCTGTGCCGAGAAACTCAAAAAACTGGATGAGAAATTCGGCAAAACGGAGAAACCCTCACGCCCTGCAGAAGCCGACAGCAAAGAGACGCTGACGCAGTCGCCAGGTCGAAGGTCATCCAAACCCCACCAGGAGGGCTGGCAGTACGCCACTAAAGGTACGCTAGCGCTAGCTACAATGTGGTGCTAAATATTCACATGCACAGTGTATATTGACCATTTCACAAGATATAAACAACACTGGTCCAGAAGCACTTCCTGTTTCAGTTTGTAACTGTTTTCTTTATTTCACATGTAAAGAAAACATCTTAAAGATGTTTGTTTAACTTTTTGATTCAGTTTTAAATGTTCTGTTGGTTGTATTTTATCCCAGCTTTTATGTAGTGTTAAAAAACTGAAACAGGAAGTGCTTCTGGACCAGTGTTGTTTACATCTTGTGAAATGGTCTATAAACAGTCGTTTCGCGTCTATAGGGGAAAATGTCAAATGGGGACAACACGACAATACTTGCCTTTCGGTAATTAGCTTTGTTCACATCCAATCAAATCAATATTTTTACTGAATATTAAGTGTCTTATGAATGACAGCTATGCAACAGGAACAACTCATGTTAGCTATTTTCACTGCAAAAATGTTTCCTTAGTAATAGTATTTTTGTCTTATTTCCAGTCCAAATATCTAAAAAAAATCTTAAAGATGCCTTTACTAAAGTAGTAAAATGTCATAAGATATTAAGTTGGGGTTTTCTAAAATTAAATGATTTGTTGCTTAAAGAAATTCAAAATGATCTCCCAATGGGGTAAAAAATAAAGATCTTAATTTAAACAGAAACAAGATTATTGTTCTGACCCCATTGGCAGATCATTTTGCTTGTTTTAAGCAACAACTCACTTAATTTTGGTTTATTTCCCCAGAAAACGAGACTTAATATCCTATGAAATTTTACTACTTAAGTAAATGCATCTTGACTTAGAGTTTTTGTCTTGTTTCCAGTACAAATATCTAAAATACTAAGTAAAAAAAGCATTTTATGCTTTAAACACTTCATCTCATTGGACACAGAAGTGTTGGACACACCAGCCGAGTCCTCCAGTCAGGATTACAAAGATGAAGGTTGTAATTACCACAACGAAGACGACGTTCCTGAGTCTACTTCTCCTCTCCCAGATTACGGCCGGCACCAGAAGCCCGTTCCGCCCCGCTTCCAGAAGCAGCACCAGGTGACCTTTAATCCTGTAGAGTAAGAGTTCACGGATCAGTTCACTTCAGAATGAACATCTCCTGATCATTCACTCTCATCCAAGATGTCCATGTCTTTCTTTCTTCAGTGGGAAAGAAATTAAGGTTTTTGATGAAAACATTCCAGGATTTTCTCCATATAATGGACTTCAATGGGGACCAAATGAGAGTTTCAGTGCAAACTGTTCAAAGGGCTTTAAACGATTCCAGACGCGCATCACAGAACAGAACAAGGCGAGCATTGAGCTTTTAAAACTTCAACTTTGTTATTTATTTATTAAATGAGCGATCGTTTCGCTTGATTAGACCCTTATTCATCGCATCGTCTGGAATCGTTTAAAGCCCTTTGAACAGTTTGCACTGAAACTGTCATTTGGACCTTGAACCGTTTGGACCCCATTGAAGTCCATTATATGGAGAAAATCCTGGAATGTTTTCATTTCTTTTCCACTGAGGAAAGAAAGACATGGACATCTTGGATGACACGGGGGCGAGTAAATTATCAGCAAAAGTTTTTTCAAAAGTGAACTACTCCTTTAATTGCAAAATTACAAATATCACATAAATATAATATATTTGTAATTTAACTTTTACCATGTAAATAGCCTTAAATACTGATCCATCTCCATCTACACTCATCCAGGACCCGGTGTATAAGGTGGCCCCGTGGCAGCAGTCGGGTCACGCCACGCCGTCGAGCTCGGCTCACACACACACGCAGAGAGGCTTCTACCCGCCGCACGTGCTGGGCTTCGACCCGCGCTGGATGATGATGCCGCCCTACATGGACCCGCGCATGGCTCAGGGCTGCTCGCCGGTGGACTTCTACGCTCCGGGCGTTCACTCCGCCGGTGAGCAACTGTGCTGGGGTTAGACATGATCAAGCATTCATCTCAGACTCTTGACGAGTGCACACGTTTGGGATTCCCAGTGTTAATTTGAGTTATTTTTTTTTGATCATTGAGATGCTAATATAGTTTTTCAGTAATTTTGTTGTCCTTTTTTTTATAAAAAAAAATATTTTGTTATTTTAGTATATCTAGAACATATTTAGTATATATTTTCAATGAAAAATGAGAAATGTTGCCTTGACAAATAGTTAAAGTTTTTTTTTAATATAAATTATTTTACTCAAAACAACTTTTTTGTGTGCGTGTTTTTGGTATAACAATAAAAACCCTGCCTGAGATAATTGGGTTTATTTCAATAATTTACAAACGCATTTGTATGTTCGGTCAGTCGATGCTCACATGACATACAGGTAAACAAACATGCAGTCTTTTTGAGCGTTCTAAAATTGTTTGGTTATAGTATAAGGATGTGAGATATGACAAGTAATCATACGAATTTTTGAACAAATCATTTTGTCATGTCATTAAGTTGCGATTTGAACTGCGAACATATGCATCATAAAAAAAAGTCTCAAATTAAAAACTGTAATTACGAAAAATTACTATTAGAATTTTACTTTTAAATAAATGAATATATGATGATGATAATTTTACACAAGTATATCTCACTTTCAAATAATAAACCACGCTTTTATTTTGGTGGGAAACTAGGGTGACCGTTTAGTTGACAAAAGGTTTATAAGCTGCTCTTCTCCACAAAAATGTTGGAAATGATGTGCATGTGATCCTGATGATGATTTTGTGGAGTGCTCAAGAGTTAAAACGCGTCTTATTGCTTTTATAAAACGTTTTTTTTTAAATTCAGAACATGCTAGTTATATTATGATAATGACATTTGACTTGTCTTTTTTTGAAAGGTCTGGTGAAACCCGTCATTCAGCAGGATCACCTGAACAGCCCCGGTTCCACCTCTGACGAAGGCTGCCATCCCAGCATGCATCAGGAGAGGAGGGCACCATCCACTGAGCCCTACCAAGTGTGGAACCAAGACAGCTACTCGTCAGCGCGCAGTTTCACGCCGCCCTACCAGAGACAGCATGAGAACGAGGAACGTGACGACCGGTCCTGCTCCCGACACGACTCCTATGAAGACCGAGGTCACGATCGCACGGAAAGTCCAGCGGAGGAACTGAACACTCAAGGTGGAACCCATGAAGGGCCTTTAATACTTAGCAGAACCCATCCTGGAGATGCCGAACACAGAGACGTGTCCGTCAGGCACCAGAAAGAACCCGCAGAATCCCGAGACGAGGCCTTCGACACCAAGGAGAAGAGCTACGACTCCGATTTCTGGAGGAAAGACGCTAGCGTGAGGAAAGATGGCGGCTGTCCGGCCCAGTGGTCCGATCACGGTTCCAGCAGCAGCAGTAGCGTTAGCATTAGCATTAGCCAGCCGCCGGAGTCCAGCGGGAGAATGCTTCGGAGGACCGGACCTATCAAGAAACCTGTGCTGAAGCCGTTGAAGGTTCGGTTCAATTCACTTTTATTTGTTTTGAGTGATATGTTGACAAGGGTAATTGTCTAAGTTATGGGTTTCAGAAATTTACATTTAGCGGAAAAAATTATGTAGTAATTTAACCCTCAGGTGCTCTTCGTTTCGGAGTCACACTTGTTATCCTCCCGGTCACCTAAAAAATTAAATTTCCTCCATCCTAGTAAAACCAATGCAATTTATTTTTGTTCTATAATATTTATTCTTTGTAATTTAGTATTTTGAGACAATTTGATTGAATTTATTAATATTTATGCAAAATTTATGGTTTATTTTGCCATGGAAAAAAAAAAAAATATTATTTATTTATTTTTATTTTTTTTTCAAAAAAAATATTAATGCAGTATTTTAGTTCAATATAGAGTCTAGGCCTTGAGAAAAAAAATATTTTTTGAAGAAAATTAGCACTATCTGGTTACAGTATAGAGAAAAAGCGTAGAATCATGGTGTAACCACTAGATGGCATGTACAGCTCTCTATGGAGAGGCATGTGAATTCCCCAGCTGTTTATGAACAAATTTTTTTGTTGTTGGTGGATTTGAATATACAGTTGAAACAATCTCAAATGATTTTTTTTTTTTTTATTAAAAAAGTAAAAATAAAATAAAAATAAAAATTTGTGTGTCAATTCCCCATTCATTTCCTATGGGGGTCATTTTTGACCAAAGAGCACAAGTGTGACTATTTTTTTAAGACCACTTAGCATGCTCGGATCATGACCTCAATTTTTGTGTGTGTTCAAATACATAATGCCATAAAAGTCACCAAGTATCATAACCTTCCGATGAAGCTGTGATTTTTAAAAATTCAAAACAAATTTTTCGGTCAGAAATGACTGAAGAGCACCTGAGGGTTAATGCAGGAACAATGATCTCACTGAAGTAATGAACACTTGTTTGTTAACAAATACAGGTAGAGGACAAGGAGAACGAGAAGCCCAAATCTGAGCCCGAGGAGAAGCCCGTCCCATACAGACTGGAGAAGGAAGTGGTCACTAATGTCTACGACCTGAAAAAAGACGCCCCGCTCGCGTCTAACAGGCACTCCGCTCCGCCTCCCGCGTCTTCCCCCGAGGAAAAACACGCGGATGCTCCGAAGTTGGAGAAAACTAGGAGTCTGCATGAAGATTTGCACAAGGAGAGCTGCTGGGATAGCGCTAAGCCTCAGTCTGTGGACTCCTCTGATAGCAGAGATGCTCCACGCCGCAACAACTGGATATTCATCGACGAGGAGCAGGCGTTCGCGGGGGCGAGAGGAACCGGGCGTGGACGTAGCCGCGGGTTTAGAGAGTTTAGCTCTCGCGGTGGCGCTCGCGGCGGACGAGGCGACTCAAACCGCGGAGGCTATAATAACAATAACAATACGACAGGAGTGCAGCGACCAGCGCGGGGGCGTGGCTCTCGAGATTTCAGAAGCGAAGATCTTCAACGAGGAAAACCCCGTCGACGCAACGCCAGCGAGACGCACAGCGAGGCCTCGGAATACGAAGAGCTTCCCAAACGTCCGCGGCAAAAGGTCGCGGAGAACGGAGAGGCTTCGTACGCGCCGCCCGGAGAGGCTAAACGAGCCGATCGCGAGTCGTGGAGATCCAACAAGGTGTACACCGACGAGCAAAGCGGAAACGGCGACAAGGCGAAATCAGCAAGAGTGTTCGGAAGGTCGTTACCGCCTCGACTCAACGCGGGATACAACCGTGGGTTCGTCTCCAGGGATATTTCCACATGGAGAGGAAGAGGAACTCAGTTTGGATCCGCGCAGGAGAACGGATACAACTTCGGCACGGACTCCTATTCCAAACGCGCGACGGAACGCGACCCGCTAAAATACCCGCCGCCTAAATTCCCCACTTCTTTCGTAGAGAACGGCGTCGAGGATAGAGAGGGAGGCTACTATATCGATAACGATAACCCTGATAACCGGCCAATGAGACGCCGGCGTCCGCCTCGCCAAGATAAACCGCCACGGTTCCGCCGACTACGCCAAGAACGTGAAGGAGGAGGGCAATGGAACGGCGAAGAATATGTAAACGGAGACTTTGCCAATCAGTGGCCGGGTCGACCCAAGGAAGAGCACTGGCCGAATCACTACTCTGGAGGACGACCGCAAGAGGTCACGGGCCAGAGTCAAGCCGAGGATTGGGAAACCGGCTCTGAGAACAGTGATTTCAGCGACTGGAGGGAGAAACGCGGCCCGCATGGCGACTCGCTGGCTGACGCGGGGCACGGGGAACCCGGTTCTGAGAAGAGAGAGCTCTCCAAACGGAGCTTTTCCAGCCAGAGACCGGTCGTGGAGAGGCAGAACCGGAAGAGTGAAGTGTGTGTAATGGAAAACAACAAGATGAGCCGCTCGACGGACACCCAGTGCGGTGCAGGGTCCTCTGGGAGAAACGAGAGCTGGCAGAACGGTGTTGCTTGCAACAGCAAACGGTACGTTTCTTTACAACACACTGTGAGATATAGCTTGAATGTTTCCAATCAAGTCCCCCCAATAATTATATCCATTAACACTCATCTTTGATCTCCAAAATGACGTTTATGTTTTATCCTTGAATCGATTGAATATAACTCGACACCCTCGCCTCATTTAGTATGTGTGGTTCTATGAATATGCAAATGAGCCCCGCCTCCACTGGTTGTCGATCACACGTTGATCTGATTGGTTACAAGGTGGTTTGTGACGTCAGAAAGTGTGTTTTTGAGACTGTCTTTGGTTCACTGCAGTTTTAAGGAGGAAATACTCAGCAATGCTGTCCACTTATCAACACACACACATGGTTAAGCGGATTAAAAACACCATAAACAACATTAAACGCTGGATTTACACCACAGGGGGACTTAAGCTAATGTATCTTGCGTTACTCCCTAAAAAAAATGCATTACGTTACTTGCATAACTTTCCATAAAAGGTTACTGTTACATTAATTTTGCTTTATTAGTCGATGAGGAGAGACTTAATTGATCAAATTGCAAATCTTACTCACCTACATAGTATATATCTATAGAAAGCTTGAATCGTGTACTTTTAAATAAAACAATTAAAAAAAACAATATTCTCAGATTATACAGTTAATAAATAAAATATTTATGTGTAAATTTAAAGTAATGGATTACTTTACTAGTTGCATCAAAACAGTAATCTAACTATGTAATTCGTGTAACTAAAGGGTTATTATACTCATTATTTCAGAGGTAATCTACTTGCGTAATTCATGTCACTTGTAATGTGTAACTCGTTGCATAAAGTTGACTATCTAAGTAACATGATTATTTTTTTATGTAAACAGTTTCTTACATAATTCATGCTACTGGTGATGTTACATAAAAAAAAAAAAGTAATCTGATAACTAGGGCTGTGCAAAAATTAATTGCGATTAATCGCATCCAAAATAAAAGTCTGTGTTTACATAAAATATTTGTGTGTGCTGTATATAATTATTTTGTATATATAAATACACACAATATTTAAGAAAATGTGTTATTCATATATAAAATATTTATATAATATAGATTATGTATTTTTATATATATATATATATATATATTTATATATATATATATATATATATATATATATATATACAGAATTTAAGCGCAAATAATTCTTAAATATATACATGCATGCATAGGTATTTATATATACAAAATAATTATACACAGTACACACAAATATATTATGTAATCACAGACTTTTATTTTGGATGAGATTATTCGCAATTAATTTTTGCACAGCCCTAGTGATTATCAGCATTATCCTGACACTGATGATGAATTTCACTCTATGAATGTCCACTTCAGAGGAGCAGAGGAGTCTGTCCCGGGCCTGAGCTCGGCATCGGTGTACGCTGTGGAGCAGAGCGACGACACCAGCGCCGCCGAAGCCACGGGGAAGATCATCGAGAAAGACATGAAACCCAGAGGCATGAAGGGGGATATGACAGAACCGCTGTCCCAATATGACCTAAACACTTACTCAAGTAAGCCACAAAACACTTTTCTAATGATAGAAGCGCCTTTCCAATACAGAAATGAGTCGGAATAAAACTCTAATGCTCAGTAACATCAGTGTTAGTCAGTGGTCTGTTACACTGGCGGTTATGGGAAGTGAGGAGAAAACAATCGAAACAAGTAGATACAAATGAACAAATATAGATTTATAAGATATTTAAGATTTTCAGGTGTTCATAAACTGTATAAAAAGGTAAAATAACACTGCTCTTTATAAATAAAATATTCATTGGCCCAAAAGTTATCCAGTGTAGAGCGAGTGTGTGTTCAGTCTTCTGGTGTGTGATTATAGAGACGGCAGGAATATTAGTGCTGTCACTTTAAGAGCGGCACGGGTCCGACACACTGATACACACGAACACACAGTCTCTACACTCATATTGAAACGCTCACAGAGGAGCCAAAATTTTATTGCAAGTATCTGATTCCAGAATTGGAATCGGTTTTCGATTCCCAACCCTAATTGGATTATCTGTGATTTGTGTTTGTTCTTAGTTGAAAGTGATTCAGGAGCATCTGTGCCCAGTCCAGAGGTGTACCAGGACGCTCTGTCCAAGAAGCAGCGCCGCCCGCAGGATGAAGACCGCAGGAGGAAAGATCAGGGTCCTCCGGTGAGTAATGCACAGCGCGTCTAAAAGACCATCACAACTTGGTGATTTAAAGGTGCTGTATGTTATTTTTTTACTCTACTAAAGCATAAAAATACCATAAAATCTTTGCAGATATTGAGTTCACAAACACTTCTACAGCCAGTCATTTTACTTATTAATTTACTCATTCTGTGTTGTCAGTCGGTTTTTGTTTTGGTCTGTGTGACTCCGCCCACTTCCGGTTCAGCCAATAGTTATTCGACACTCCGGGATGCCAGTTAGCAGGAAACGCAGCGTATAGTAGCCATGGAAACAAGCAAACAAACGGAGTCAGAGACTGCAGATTCCACATAACTTAAAGGGATAGTTCACTTTGAAATTAATGTTTGATATGTTTTATCTTCCCTCAAGGGCATCCGAGATGTAGGTGTCTTTGTTTCCACAGTATTTTCAATTTTGACATTTTTCAGTCAAACCGTTGTTGTCTATCAGTCATACACTGGAGGCTAAGGGGGTCCACCAAAGTCCAAATTAAACATGATTTAATGACTCGTAAATGTAAGCACACATTGATGGCCTAAGACACGAAACGAGCGGTTTGTGTGAGAAAACCAACAGTATTTATATCGTTTTACCTCTTGTAATCACAGCCACGACAAAATGATCTGACGGCACGGGCGCTTCGGTCTGGAAGTGATCGACGTCACTCTTTGTTTATACAGAGATTTGGGAAGTTTTACCTTTCACTAAACATATTTAGATATACGGAAAACCGCAATGGAAGACGATTTCGGGATATCTAAATATGTTTAGTAAAAGGTAAAACTTCCGAAATCTCCGTGTAAATATTGAGTGACGTCACACGCGAGCGATCACTTCCGGCGTAACATTGAACTGATTCAGTTCGGTTCAGTTGGACATTGAACAACTGATTCAGATCACTTGGATTACGATAAAAACACTGTTGGTTTTCTCACACAAACCGCTCGTTTCGTGTCTTAGGCCATCAATGTGTGCTTACATTTACGAGTCATTAAATCATGTTTAATTTGGACTTTGGTGGACCCCCTTAGCCTCCAGTGTATGACTGATAGACAACAACGGTTTGACTGAAAAATGTCAAAATTGAAAATACTGTGGAAACAAAGACACCTACATCTCGGATGCCCTTGAGGGAAGATGAAAACATATCAAACATTAATTTCAAAGTGAACTATCCCTTTAAAAAGCCTCGATATCCATCTAAAAATCTCTATGAACGAGACATTATTGAAACGCGTACGTATCCCCGTGTGAGCGCCGAGTCTAAGGATGCGTTGGGTCTCTGTTATTTTGAATTTGGACTGCAGTACCGATCTCCACCACTAGCGGTTATTCTAAAAAGCATCACCTGACTGCATATTGAAGGTAATTTGTTTGTGCGCCCAAAGGGTTCAGTGAAAAACAGAACAATTGCGTCGAAGATGCCTCCTCGTTTTGCTAAGAAGCAGGGCAGCATGTCCATCGAGCAACCCGAAGAAACGCTCTCCGCCAACAGCCTGGGCACTGAGATCTGGGAGACCAACAGCACAGGTAAAGCAGATGAGCGCTGTGTGGCTGAGATGAGGAGCTCATGTGATTATTAATGCCGTTGTGTTTCCTCCTGCAGCGCTGAGTGTCCAGTCGTCCGGCGGAGACTCGTGGACCAAGCAGGTGTCCTACACAGGGAGCGAACCCAACTCAGAGGTGCGGCTTGCTCTACTTTATACAAATATATAGGGCTGTAGTCAACCAAAAAAATCCTTAGTCGACCAAAGTCTTGTCCTGCGCAACGATTAGTCGACTAAAAAAAAAGAAAAAAGTGATGTTTTGATTAAACATTTTTTAAACAATTGTCATTGAGCATTTATAAAATAACAACGAAAAAACATCACAAATAAATAAAACTATAATAATAATACAATTCTTTGAAAATTAAGTGATTTTTTTTTTAACTGCAAAAAGTGAGGAGCTCTGTCGCGCACCTGACCACACCACACGCTGCAAAACATATAACCGCTATCTGCCACAACAAAACAAAAGCTCCCAACAAAAGCTCTCGTTTATACAGGCTTTATATTCTTCTTTACTTTCAAAGCTATGGGTTAACTTTCGTCCTGACGATCAAGGCGTTTTAAACAACACACAAAAAACCCAAATAGCCTAAAAAACAATCCTAATAATAGGCTGTAGGACGGCGTATAGGTTTATTTTCGTTTTGTTGCATTATTTAGGCTATTTTTCAAATGTACAAATAAAAACGAAAACATTAAGAAAACACAATCTATTGAGTCAGCTTGATATAGCCGTTAAAAGACTGCTCTTGTCTTTTGAGCGCTCATAATGGAGCAACGCGATCGCCTCCGTCCACAGTCTTGTCGTCTTTGTTTTAAAATGCAGCCAGACAAAAGATTTAGATTTCCTGGACATTTTGTCGACTAAAGCCCAAACAAGCAGCGTTCTAACTGAATGAAAACAGCATCCCTTACCGAGCGCGAGCAGCAGCGCAGCCAGCCACAGGTGCGGTTCCCGAGTGTATTATGTGTGTGCGCTAAACTGTGGCGCAGTTACAAAAATAGCCTAAATTAAAGCATTTTAAAGTTGGGGACAAAACATAGGCTAATTATATTTAATTAAATAACTGCTTATACATGAATAAATATCAGGGAGTAAATCTATTGGTAAAAAAAAAAAAATGCAACTGGTCGACCAATAAGAATGGCAGTCGACCAAGACGGCATCGACCGATTAGTCGACTAAACGACTAAAGTTGACAGCCCTACAAATATATCTCTTGGTAGTTTTGTGGGAATCCCAAGACTCGTTTGAACTTTTTTCCCCCCTATTTTCTATTTTAATTTTTTGGGATTTGTTATAATAGAAGTATTTTTGAAAGTAGTACAAGAGTTATATATTTCTGTTGCAGTTTCTCAAAGTTAAACCAAGCTTTTATGGTGACGGGTTGAAGACCTTCTTCTGTTAGCACTTGATTTGATTTTTAACACTCAATGGGTCGGTCCTACAACAGTATTCAATACCCAACCCTAATCGAGGATAGTTCACAGATACATATCTTCCTTTTAAGATTGACATTGTTTTGGATGTAATCGAGATTGGAATAGAATGTGAAGTTTGTATGAATGCCCTGCCCTTCTGCGTCCAGCATCCCTCACTCGCAGAGCCGAGACTAACGCCCCACTGTCCCGTCCCCCAGGACTCCGACGCCGGGCCCGAGCAGAGCAAAGAGCACAAGCCCGGGCCCATCGGCAACGAGCGCTCGCTGAAGAACCGCAAGGGCTCCGAGGGCCTGGAGCGCCTCGAGGGACCCATAACCCCCGTCAACGGAGTGGACCTTCACGTGGACGGGGTTCTCCCAGTGCCGCCCATCGAGTTCGGCGTCAGCGCCAAGGATTCGGACTTCAGCCTCCCTCCCGGATCCACACCGGTTCCCGTGTCCAACCCCGTCACCAAGCTTCAGGACGCACTCGGTGGCAACGTACGTACACGAGTCCTAGCATGGGTGTGCCATACACGGGCAAACCAAACATTTTCCACTGGTGTGATCACTACAGTTCATTTATGTACGTGAGGAGAGCAAAATAAAGTCAAGTGTGGCATATTACACCCAAATAATCTTCATACAGCGACTACATCTGTTTGAGCTGATCATGTGTGTTTTCTGTAATTACACACACTGAACAACATTAAGCATTGGTTGAGCTAAACTGCTATTATCTAATTGTGGAGTTAAATTTAACAGATATTCAACATAATTCATGTGTGAGAATCTAACAGAAGGACGGACAAAACCAGTCAAATATCATATTTATCACCATTTTATAGACTATAGCGAATAAACTGTGATAATGTGAGAAATGTTGAAAGTGTCTGAATAAATTTCAGATTGACTGTAAATCGTCTGCGATTAATATCGTAATTGTTGTTGTGCGGTTTTGACGTTTTCGAGTACATCCGTCACACTGGGCTTGTAGATCATGAAGTGCTCAAATAGATTTAGTCTATTTACGTTATTTAATATAGTTAATAATTGAAGAGTTCAGATGCAAAAGCCTCTAAGTGCCATTTGAAATTTTCTTCTAAAATGATCATTTTTATCAAGCTTGTATATTTAAGTTCAGTGATTTCACTTAAATGGCAATGATAATTACCTATTAATTGTTATTTAAGTGAAATTACTGAACTTAAATATACAAGTTTGATAAAAATCATCATTCAAGAAGAAAATTTCAAATGGCATTTAGAGGCTTTTGCATCTGAACTCTTCAAATATTAATTAAAAATATAATGCTGATATGTTTCTCCAAATATCTGCAAAACAAATGTGAAATTAACTTCTTGTTTATGAAATCAATGTTAAGTGACTTACATTTTAAACACCATATTGGCTGTTTTTGCTCCAAACATAGTCCGAAACAAAACTGCGTCTGAGCGGCGTTTCCTCACTGAATGAATCGACTCTCTGAACAAATCACTCAATGACTCGATGAGTAAATTAGATTAAACACAGTCAAGCGTTCCTGGTTGGTTGAATCTCAATGACTCGCCCGTCTGGCGGTTTTAAGTTATTTCTCATTTAAAGTATCCTTTCATATTTCAAATATTCAATATTTAGTTTTAAACATTATTTATGCTTTTGTAACCAGATTAAATGCATTCATTATAGCGGTAAAAATGACCATAAAAGGTAAAAATCTAATTGGAAAAAATGATTTCTGTCACTGATGTGAATTAAACGCCACACAGATTATGAGGAAGTGTCCCCATGCCAGCACAATCACGTCTAATAACCATTATCCATAAAAGCCCAGACAATATGGATATGTGTTGTTGGTCCACATGGCACACCCGCTCCTAAAGCAGTGTGTAGCTTGTGTAAGGAAGCGTTGAGCGTTGATCCTGGTGTTGTTGTGTGTTCACAGGCGGGCCTGACTCAAGCCATCCCGATGCTCCGGAGAGACCATCTCCAGCCGGGGATCAACCTCAACCCCATCAGTTTCCCGAGCGCTGACCTCACGCTCAAGGTAGCGATCCTCGTCCTCCCGAACGCTCGTGCCCGTCCCTAGCTTGTTCCTCATCAGCGTCTCTCTGTGCCCTCAGATGGAGTCGGCGCGTAAGGCGTGGGAGAACTCGCAGGCGCTCCCGGAGCAGGGCTCCCCGGGGTCGGGGTCAGGAGCTCAGCCGGCCTGCAGCGTGGGCTCCTCCGTCAGCTACAGCTCCTTCGGTGGCGTGTCCATGCCGCCCATGCCCGTGGCATCTGTCGCGCCGTCTGTCTCCATGCAAGGTAGTGTTGAAAGTGTTAGTGGGGAAAAATATTCATCTTATGACCTTTTCTTTCATGACGATAACGAGACGGCACCAACTCGCATACAAAATTCACTTCTATATGGTGTTTCCAAATAAATGTGTGTGTGGACCCAATCACCAAACAGTGGAAAATATCCATTCACTCCTTCTTAATCCTCAAAAAGCCTAAACGCACTCAATAATCAAGCCGTTTGGATTTTCTGAGCAATATGATGTCATAGTGCTGCTCATTATCATTTAAAGAGACATGCACCGAAACGGGTCGCTGTGTGAACACATTATGCATATATCGAATTTAAATTTGATTCAAGATCAAGAATCAAAATAAAACATGGCAAAGTTGACTAAATATGATGACTCAAAAGTACATTTGATACAGGAGTTCATGCATACAGGAGACTAAATGAAAAAATGGTCTGCCGTCTGTTCATCTCTCAGACTCGTGTGCAGTGATTGAGTATGACTAAATACTGTGTGTGTGTGTGTGTGTGTGTTACAGGCAGTCACATCCCTCCTCTGTATTTGGATGGTCATGTGTTTCCCAGTCAGCCGCGGCTCGTGCCGCCCTTGACTCAGCAGCCGAGCTACCAGCAGGTACGTGTCGGCACCTCCCATCTCAGGCCTCTACCATTACACCAAACGTCTTTTACACACTACAAGTAATCTGATTACATAATTCATGTTACTTGTAACGTTACTTGTTACATAAAGTAATCTGATTATGTAACAAGTAACTTTACATGATTATGTAAAGTAATCTGATTGCATAATTTATGTTACTTTTAATGTTACATAAAGTAATCTGATTACATAATCGTGTTACTTGTAATGTTACTTGTTACATAAAGTAATCTGATTACATAATTCATGTTACTTGTAATGTTACTTGTTACATAAAGTAATCTGATTACATAATCATGTTACTTGTAACGTTACATAAAGTAATCTGATTACATAATCATGTTACTTGTAACGTTACTTGTTACATAAAGTAATCTGATTACATAATCATGTTACTTGTAACGTTACATAAAGTAATCTGATTACATAATTCATGTTACTTGTTACATAAAGTAATCTGATTACATAATTCATGTTACTTGTTACATAAAGTAATCTGATTACATAATTTATGTTACTTGTAATTTTACATAAAGTAATCTGATTACATAATCATGTTACTTGTAATTTTACTTGTTACATAAAGTAATCTGATTACATAATCATGTTACTTATAATGTTACTTGTTACATAAAGTAATCTGATTACATAATCATGTTACTTGTAACGTTACATAAAGTAATCTGATTACATAATTCATGTTACTTGTTACATAAAGTAATCTGATTACATAATTCATGTTACTTGTAAGTTAACGTTACTTGTTACATAAAGTAATCTGATTACATAATCATGTAAAGTTACTTGTTACATAAAGTAATCTGATTGCATAATTCATGTTACTTTTAATGTTACATAAAGTAATCTGATTACATAATCGTGTTACTTGTAATGTTACTTGTTACATAAAGTAATCTGATTACATAATTCATGTTACTTGTTACATAAAGTAATCTGATTGCATAATTCATGTTACTTTTAATGTTAAATAAAGTAATCTGATTACATAATCATGTTGCTTGTAACGTTACTTGTTACATAAAGTAATCTGATTACATAATTCATGTTACTTGTTACATAAAGTAATCTGATTACGTAATTCATTACTTGTTACGTTACTTGTTGCATAAATTAATCTTACGTATATCATGTTACTTAAAGTAATCTGATTATGTAATTCATGTTACTTCTAATCTTGTTGCATAAAGTCTAAACTATCAATCAGATGACCGGACTGCAGCAGATTGAGCTACACTGCAGTGACTTTGCTCATGTTGATCATTTAGAGGCCTTAGATGTGCATCAAATATGATACAGTAGTCTTTATATGGTTGATTCATGCGGGCGGTGTGTGTGTGTGTGTGTCCAGGCCACGGCTCAGCAGATCCCCATCTCTCTGCACACGTCTCTGCAGGCTCAGGCTCAGCTGGGTCTCCGAGGAGCTCTGCCCGTCTCTCAGTCGCAGGAGATGTTCAGCTCCATGCCCCCCTTCAGGTAATGCACTCGCCACAGGAGTACGCCACTCTTCTGCACTTTCAAATCAATTACAGTTCTCGTATTGAATACTTCAGGCTCAGGAATCGGATACTTGTAATAAAATTTCGCCTCCTCTTATCGATTCCTCTGTGACGCGTTCGGGCGCGAGAACTTAAACGCCTCTGATTGGCCGTCGTGTTCATTGGTTCCAATCATGTTCTGTTGCAGGTCTCAGGTGTACATGCACCCGAACCTGTCTCAGCCCAGTCCCATGGTGCTCTCTGGCGGAGCGCCTCTCAAAGGCCCGTACTCCGCCTTCCCCGGCATGCAGCCGTCGGACATGGTGAAGCAGCCGTCGGGATCCCATTACCAGCCCATGAGCGGCAGCCAGCAGCTGGTGTACGACGGCAACATGAACCAGCCGGCGGGGATGAGCACCTCTCAGCTCATGGACTCGCAGCTCATACAGGCAAGAGCCCTGCAGCACACACACACACACACATATTGAACATCTGAGGGTTCAAACAAATGTAAACATTGAGAAAATCTCCTTTACAGTTGTGTGTTTATATTCGTGATGTTGCGCCATTCACTCTCACAAATAAATAATTCATATATTTAAAAATGCTCTCCATAGAACATGATCTTCACATAATATCCTAATGATTTTGGCACCTCCCATATCAGTGTGAGGAAAATAAAAATGTGGGGCTGGTTTTGTAATCCAGGGTCACAAATCTCCATAAGGTCGCACAAGGGTTTGTCTAATGACTGTGTGTGTGTGTGTTCAGGTGACGATGCCCATGCCCGGGTCTCAGCTGCGCTACGGCTCGGCCCAGCAGCACCTCATTCTGCCCCAGTCCATCCAGCTCCAGCAGAACCAGAACCTGTCTGTCGGAGCTCCCCGCCGCATGATGCCTCCCGGGTCTCAGCCGCCCATCATGAGCAGCAGAGAGGTGAGAGCAGGGGCTGCTGGGAAACATCAGGAGTCTAGCACTGCATGGTTAATCGCTATTAAAGCGCTTTGGCTCATCGTGATGTTGTGAATGCTGAGGTTATGAGTAATGTGCAGCGTGTCAGTGAAGCTCGGCTCACTCTGAAAGCACAGAGTTCGAGTCGCTTATCACTAGAGCCAGACCGATATATTGACAGACCGATATTAGGCATTTTCCAAACTATCGGTATCGGCGGTTATAATGGCCAATAAATTAATATTTAAAAAATAAAATAAAAACGGACAAAACACGCTTGAACCATGTCATGAGTGTTGGAGTTGTGTAGTTTGTCCACCAGAGGGCGCTCTACACCGTTCCTGTTGGCAAACCTCGTTGAGTTGGTCATTGCTTGAATAACAATTAAAAGATCATCCCCATCAGTTCTCTAAACTCAAATAAGCAGGACAACATTTGTGACTCATGTCCAGTTTTGCTGTTAAATAAGCCGAGAGTGTTTAGCTAGTAATAGTTACGTTACGTTGCTACAGTGTATTTGACTGACTGTCCTTTTAACTTTTGACGATGTGACTGCAGTATTTCTTTAATAGCGCGTGACAGTTACAGCAATGAGACGCATCATCTCTCCTCGGCCTGTTATATTGAAAATGTATGTTTTACTATTTGCAGTATGACGTAATCCATTGCTAAATTATGGCTCATCGTAGACTAGCTAACCATAAAGCTAGCTAACGCCGCTATCGTCAGTGTGTTCTGTCGTGACAATAAAAGAAACAAGTTTCTTTTTAAAATGCATTATCACATTATTTTAGTTAAAACTCATTAATAACTACAAATAACTAATGTTAGGGAAATCTGTTAATGTTTTGAGCGTTTCTGAAATAAATAAATAAAAATATATATATATATATATATCAGATTTTAAAACCAACAAATATTTGTATCGTTATCAGCCGTCAAAATCCTTTATCGGTCGGGCTCTACAGTCGCTTGCTTTTGAAAAGCAACACATGAGAAGCATTCATGAACCTCTTGTCCAACAAAAGACGACATTTAATAACACACTTTTACTCAACACACACTTCATCAGGACAGCTGAGATGATGCGCTTCTCACACACAATACGGCAGTGGTGTGTTTATTACGCATCATTCAGACGCAGTGTGTGTTTGGCGCCCTCTGGTGTTCAGATGTAGCATCTGTTGGATCAGTGTGGTTAATTGTGTAGCCTTAATGTACCAGAATGTGTGCTGATCGGACTGCAGTGTTCGGTTTGGATTGATTGCAGTAGATCATGTGCTCATCCCTCGGTGTGTCTGATGTTGTTTGTTCTGCAGCCCTCCCAGATGGACATGAAAGGGTTTCAGTTTTCCGATAAGCCCAATCACTCTCCAGGAATACCCAGCGGCTCCTACAGGTGAACACTTCCCACAATCCCCCTGAGCTCACCTTTCAGTGCTTAATCCTGTTCTGTACACCCACAGTTCAGTCCTACACCAAAATTGGCTCAAATCGTCTTCAGGCCATGGTGGCTCAAAGCATTTTGATCGTATCAGTCATATTATCTCTTAAAACTCATCTTTGATCACTAAAATGACATATTTAAATGCGTTTACCTTAAATGCTTTAAAGGAGTAGTTTACTTTTAAAAAACTTTTGCTGATGATTTACTCGCTCCCGTGTCATCCAAGATGTCCATGTCTTTCTTTCTTCAGTCGAAAAGAAATGAAGGTTTTTGATGAAAACATTCTAGGATTTTCTCCATATAATGGACTTCAATGGGGACCAAACGGTTCAAGGTCCAAAAGACAGTTTCAGTGCAGCTTTAAACGATATCAGACGATGAATAAGGGTCTTATCAAGCGAAACGATCGCTTATTTCAAAACTTATTCCAAAAATGTAACTTTTCTAAGGACAAATGCTAGCCTTGCTCTATTCTGTGAGGCGCGTTTGTGACGTCACGTAATACGTAATTACGTTCAAAAGGTCACGGGCGACGTAGCCGGAAGTACAGAATCAAAATCGTCCGACATCGTTGTCCTTTTAATTCCTTTTTTTGTAAACGGCGTTTGAGTTAGTTTGCACGTTCAACCTATGCGTTCAACTCAAACACTTACTTCCGGCTACGTCGCCCGTGACCCTTTGAACGTAATTACGTATTAAATTTAAAGTTTGTAAAATTTGCTAGTGTGTAAAGAGCATTAGCACTGACAGAAAACACACTTCAGCTCAAAGTGGAGGAATAATATTTGTTCCCAAATTTGTATAAATGTTCCTGTAGGATATTTGGGTGTAATATATGTCAGTTTACTTTCGATGAATGACTGTAAATCTCGTTTCTGATTGAGCTCTGTGTCCCTTCAGGCCCGGTTCGGCCAGTCCCAGTGGGAAAGCCTCGGGCCCCGGAGCCCCCGCGTCGGTCGTGTCTCTGCCGGGACATTACACACAGCAGGTATTCAGCGCTCTGCCGCCAGCGCAGCGTTGCTTTAGTAAAGCTGATGGTTCATGTGGCCGACCGGTGTGTGTTCTGCGGCAGGTGTCGGGCCCTCAGGGCAACATGGTCATGCACATGAGACCCCCCTCCAGCGGGCCCTTCCCCAACCCCATCCAGCGGCCCGTCATGCAGATCAACAAGACCGTGATCATCCGCTCCCCGCCGTACCCCGGCCAGCGCGAGCCCAACCCCGAGCATGCTGGGAAGGGCCCTGAGGACGGGATGAAGGTGAGCCACCCACTGTGATCATCAGAGGTAACTACATTTAACGCTCTTCTCCTTTCTTGATGAATACTATCGTCATTAATGATCTTTATGGGGTGATGTCTCAGTAAGCCCTGGACAACGAATAATTATAGTTCACTGTTAACTAATGGAAACTTACTGAAAAAATCCAGTATAAAGTTCTATTCTGTTCAATCTTTTTATTATGAAAATTACTTTTGAAAATTACTGAAGAAATATATCGCCCTAATCTTTATATTGCACTTTTGTTGTTCTTTATGATGATTGAGGGATCTGAAATAACATGCAGTAAAATTAAAGGATTAGTTCACTTTTGAAAAAACTTTTGCTGATAATTTACTCGCCCCCGTGTCATCCAAGATGTCCATGTCTTTCTTTCTTCAGTCGAAAAGAAATTAAGGTTTTAAATGAAAACATTCCAGGATTTTTCTCCATATAATGGACTTCAATGGGGTCCAAACGGTTCAAGGTCCAAATGAGAGTTTCAGTGCAGCTTTAAACGACACCAGACGATGAATAAGGGTCTTATCAAGCGAAACGAGCGGTTATTTCAAAAATATATAAAAAGGTTTACGTTTTATAAGCTCAAATGCTCGCCTTGCTCTGTTCTGTGATGCGCGTTCGTGACTCTCCTGTTCAAACTCGATCAAAATGAACAAATCTTTTTTTGAGTCATGACTCGAAGGGTCCTCGATAAGACCCTTATTCATCGTCTGGTGTCGTTTAAAGACATTTGAAGCTGCACTGAAACTCTCGTTTGGACCTTGAACCGTTTGGTCCCCATTGAAGTCCATTATATGGAGAAAAATCCTGGAATGTTTTCATTTAAAACCTTAATTTCTTTTGGACTGAAGAGAGAAAGACATGGACATCTTGGATGACACGGGGGCGAGTAAACTATCAGCAAAAGTTTTTTTAAAAGTGAACGACTCCTTTAAGTGTCTGTAAATAAAAACAAATGGACGATTATGTAACTATTATAACTAATATAGTGTAATGAACATGTGACCTGCAGTCATGTGACCCTGTGTGTAATGATGCAGAAGTGTGTATGATGTGTTCATCAGTGATGTTGATGAAGTGACTGTGTGTGTGTACAGGCCGCCAGTGACGCCAAGAACTCTTCAGTGATTCCCAGAAGGCCACAGGTCAACGCCGCTCGAACCCGAGCCATCAAACCACAGCCGGTCCCAGTGGAGGAAGGCAAAGCCTGATTAATGGACCTCATGATCACATGACACGGCTCTCTCTCTCTCTCTCTCTCTCTCTCTCTCTCTCTCTCTCACCGGACTGACGCACAGGATCACCAACCCCACTAATCGATCAGAACACATTAATAAACATCACATCGAGAGATATGAATATCTATATATAAATGTATACTATATATATATAAATAGACACGATAGGTTTGGACTTCTCCGCAGATTTTCAAGATCAGCTTTATTTATTTACATTTTGTCTCATTTTTTTTCAAGTGAAGAATAACGGTTTAAAAAAAAGTGGCAAATGAACCGCCGGTTCTCTCTCTCTCTCTCTCTCTCTCTCTCTCTCTCTCTCTCTCGAAGTTTGCAATCAGAAAAACGAGAAGCCGTCTCTTCTCCCAGCTCATGCCCCGCCCACATTGCCAAACCGAGTCAGCTGATTGGACTCCAGGTTTTGATTAACATGAGCAGCTGCAGTGCGAGGCTTTAGTCATTTTTACTGGGTATCATGGAGTTTTAACTTCCTTTAATTTATATATATATATATATATATATATATATATATATTAGTAATCATGCATATTTGCTATTATTATTATTACAGAACACCTTTTATTCAATAAAAAAAAGTTTAAACCCAAATTTGAGGACATTCATCAATAACACTCGGAGCATCTGTGCTGAGCTCTCGTTTCATCTGCTTTCTTGTGTTGTGTAAATGCAGAGCATCTTTGTTCCTCGGCGGTGTTGCTGCTGTGTGTGTGTGTGTGTGTGTGTGTGTGTGTGTGTGTGTGTGTGTGTGTGTGTGTGTTCTCGGAGAGGAACCGTCATGCTTTGAGCTCTGTCAGTCACAGCAGTGACACCAGCAATAATCAACCTTTCTGTAACGATCAGGGTCCAAACCAGTTCCTCTCTCACTGGATCATGACTGTCGTTTCGGATCGACGGCTGTACAGAACTATGACATCATCATCGGCACATGATCATGCTCTCGTTCATCTTTGATATTGGAGCATTAATGCACATTGAAATGCCTTTTTCCATGATTTGTCCAGGGCTTCTGGGTATTTTAGAGGGTCGTTTGCTTCTTGATTGCTGAATATCTGTACAGACTCATTATTGCCCTTTGGCTTTTGTTAGACTTGTATTTAAAGGGCCAGTGATGGATTTACTCAAGTCTATGTTTATTTTTAGGAGTTGGTTTTGTTTTTTCCTGCAGATATTTATCACTCAGTGTTGTTTATCTTATTAAATGTGTGACCATATTTGCCCTTTTATTGGAAAATGATCTCAAGAGAGAAATAAAGCAGATTGTGCTTTTTTCAAAGACGGGTCGTTGTTTGTGTTCCCATTGAGCGTGTGCAGTTACTGAAGCGAAACCCCGGCTTCTCATTGGACCAATCGTTTATATGGACTAATTCAGCTATAGTGAACGTTGCTCTTGTTCTGTGAACATAGTAATGCTGATGTAAACAAATTCAATTTCATTGACTGAAAGTGTTTACTTGATTCACAGAAATTAATCAAACTTCCCAATTAGTTCTGATTAATCGAGCAGATTCGTGAAGAAATTGAGAAACAAACAAACTTCTCTTATTTCGTTACTGGATGAATCACTGTTTCTCTTCAATGAATGATTCAATGACTCAGTCTTCACTTGTTTTTCTACTGGATGAATCAGTGTTTTTGGACAAAGCTCTTAAATGATTCAATGACTCAAAGGGTTTTAATAAATATCTTTAATGGATGATTAAATAACTCCCTCGTAAAGATTTGTTTCGTTACTGAATGAATCTGTTTTAACTAATATTGTGAATGATATGACTCCCTCGTAAAGATTTGTTTCATTACTGAATGAATCTGAATCATTCAAGATATTCACAGATCTTTTCCTGAGTCATTTAAATGAATGATTTGACTCAGAAAAAGATTTGTTCATTTTGATGAACGAGTTTGAACAGGAGAGTCACAAACGTTCATCACAGAACAGAGCAAGGCGAGCATTTGAGCTTATAAAACAAACTGTTTTATTTATTTTTTAAATAACCGATTGTTTCGCTAGATAAGACCCTTATTCATCGTCTGGTGTCGTTTAAAGCCCTTTGAAGCTGCACTGAAACTCTCATTTGGACCTTGAACCGTTTGGACCCCATTGAAGTCCATTATATGGAGAAAATCCTGGAATGTTTTCATCAAAAACCTTAAAGAAAGAAAGACATGGACATCTTGGACGACATGGGGGTGAGTAAACTATCAGCAAAAGTTTTTTGAAAAGTGAACTACTCCTTTAAAAAACAACACAATGACTCGATGACTCGAAGCCGTGCTGTTTGAATCGAGATCGCGATCTTTAAACGATTAATCGTGCAGCTCGATTCTGCAGCCATCTATCAAATAATTTCAAATCAAACAAAATTTACTTTATTTCACTCAAATAACGATTATAAAAAAAAACTCAATTCAAGTTTGGTGCCAGCGAAGTTTCTCGACACTAAACTCTTAAAGGGATAGTCACTCAGAAATAGCCAATCTGACTGTTCCACACCTGTGAGCTCTTCTGCTGAACACTGAAGAAGGTGTTTTTAACCAGACAGTATAATTTTCCCTTCTTTGAAAAAATGAAATTATCCAAAACTTTTTATTTATTTATCCCAGACCTAAAAATAATGTTTGTTTTTATGGTCATCTTTGTTACTGAAGTGACCTGCAGATCACTTTTATCCATTTTCCTGGATTTTATCCAGAGCGACACAGAGAGTATGTGCCTGTGTGTGATGATGATGATGATGATGATGATGATGACGTGGCTCGGTGAAGGAATTCCACGCATTTCTCCGGATCTACAGAAGAGAAGCAGATCTGACCCGCTCGACGAACAGTGAGTATCTGTGTGTGTGTGTGTGTGTGTGTGTGTGTGTGTGTGTGTGTGTGTGTGTGTGTGTGTGTGTGTGTGTGTGTGTGTGTGTGTGTGTGTGTGTGTGTGTGTGTGTGTGTGTGTGTGTGTGTGTTCAACACGAGTGGACCCGACAAGAACTTTAGACGCGAGTTCGGGTGTGTGTTGTATATGTACTTTCTGAAATGCGTAACTTAGACAGTTACTTCTGATAACAGATCACTAACTGTAATATGGACTTGTGCATTTTTCTCTAAAACTGCTTTGAAGCAATTTGCATTGTGAAAAACGCTTTACAAATAGGCTATGTGAATTCTCTGTGTGTGTGTGTGTGTGTGTGTGTGTGTGTGTGTGTGTGTGTGTGTGTGTGTTGGGCATGTCTGATCGCGTTCGTGAATTCTTCATGATTCTTTTGTGTGATTTTAGTGTTCTTCGGCGAATCTTCACCGCGTGTAAATGTTTATGACGCTTGATTTACCTTTTTATGGATGCAGTTTTCTCTCTCTCTCTCCACCGAAGAAAAGTTTGATACGATTTTCACGCAGTAAATTTCACAAATAAGAAACGACAAGTATCCTAACATGAAGGTTTAAAGTAGAATGACAAACTCTTTCTTAAAACATAGGTTAGTAAGGCTAATCTTCACATCGATGAATGTTCATAAACACTGATGATGATGATGATGATGATAGGCTTGAACACACTGTGATTCAGAACAAAGGAATCACACTCGTATTGTAGGCTACAACTTCAACTGCAGTGTGTGATGTGGAAGCATGAATAAAAATGTGACTTTTTTTTGTCCTTTTCAGTTTTTTGTTTTTTTTAATCACTTTGCCTGTGTTAAAGCTAACTGCAAAAAACTTGGCACAGGTGTGTTTTTTTATTGGAATTTTACCATTTCACCGTCATTTTATTAAAAAAATATTTTTTGCATTACAAAAAAATACTCCCTCTCAGCGCCTTTTGGACAAAAATGTCCCCATTGAAACCCATTAAAACTGCCATTTTTAATCCCCGGTTCAGTTAACTATAAAATTATGCAATCTCTGTTAAGAGGCTTTCATTCTGATGGCAAGGTTTCAACATTTTATTTTTTACTATTTTTTATCAGATGGTGTCATTTTTTTTTTTAAAGTTTGGCCTATAAAACAAATATCGCTTTATTCCTTTTTTCTGCTTCGGCATATTATAGAGCCAACTGGATAAATTATGCAACGATATTTGTGTGGGTGTGTTTGTATGGATGTCAGAGTGTGGTTAGTATGTGTGTTATAAATGTGTGTGTTTGTAATACTGAGAGAGAAAAACTGCAATCACTGTGAGCTCGAGTGGGGTTTTGCTGCCACCCAATGGGGGAAATATGTTACTACGCCCAAACAAACTGTTACCCAAAGCTCATTTTTTGAGATATCATCCTCAAATTTGGAACACAACCTATTTAGATTTATGGCTTTGATTTTATTGCAGTTTTGAGTTCAACCTGATTTATAAAATATATATTTTATATAAAATATTTTTTTTAAATAATTGTCATAAACTTATACCTATATAACTTTTTGTTTTGGATTTTTTTGGATTTTTTTTTACTTCAGCAATAATCTGCAAAGGGTCTTCTTTAAAGTGATACCAAACTTAAGTCTGTGCTCTGAAGCGTCACATTTTTATGACATGGACATTTTTGTCCTCTTTTTCCCTTTGTGTAACTTTTTTTAATTGATGCACAAGGGTTAAAAAAATGTAATTGCATCTTTTTATCTCAGTACACAGACAGCAACCTGTGTCGGCCCCGATCCGGCCCACATCTGGCAGACTTGCTGTCCATGCAGACCAGATGTGGGCCGGGAGAGAGAAAGATGCAGTTACATTTTTTATTCTGTCATAGAAACAAGCTCATCATGTGATGTGAAGTTATTGGTTATGTGAAAAATATTGTGTGAATGTGAATGTATGGTACGTGTGGAATGCAGATGTGGGCCGGATCTGGGCCGACATTAATTGTCATTAATTGTTTTATTTTGTGATAAACAAAAGCTCATGTGATTCACAAAACCATAAAAACGGTGATGATGATGATGATGATGCATGTATGTTATTTTGCAGTTGTGCAATGGTACGATTGAAAGCATAATCAAACAAGCCAAATTACAGGTGTGTGTGTGTGTGTGTGTGTGTGTGTCAGGGATGTCCAGCAAACACACTCCGAGGGCTGATGAAGGTCTGATGATGATGCAGGAGCTCGAGGACAGACTCCGGGAACACACTGACAAACTGGAGCACATCCGACTGTCCACCGTGGAGCTGCGGGACACACTCTCAGGGGTGTGTGTGTGTGTGTGTGTGCGCTTCTGATCCTCACAGATGGAGGAAGATGAATGTGTCTCTAAGCA